GCAGTAGTCTCTTAGTTGACACTACAGGCACAAGCGATACAATAAAAAATAAGTTGGGTTACAGCAAAATAATGTTCGCTGCAAGGAATATCATCAAGAAAGTAAAAGGCCAACCACAGAAGGGGAGAAACTATCTACAAGCTGTATATCTAATAAAGGACTTGTAGCCAGAATATATAAAGAACACATATCACTCAACCATAACAAGGCTAATAACCTCATGTGAGAGTGGGCAAAGGATCTGGAAAGATATTTCTTCAAAGAGAAGCGGATGGCCCACAAGCACGTGGGAAGGTGTTCGCCACCGTCGGTCATCAGGGAAATGGCAACCACGGCGCGCGATCCGTTCACGCCCACGGGCACGGCTGCGATCGAAGACGACGCCGGCGAGTGTTGGTGAGGATGTGGAGCAACGGGAACCCCTGCACACGGCCGCGGGCGACGGCGAACGGAGCAGCCGCTTCCGAGAGCCGTCCGCCAGCGCCCCCAGTGTTCCGCACAGAGTTGTCCTACGACCCAGCCATTCTACCCGGCTCCGCCCACGAGGAATGAAAGCGTATGTCCACACAAAACTCGTGCACAAATGTCCATGGCAAAATTATTCCTAACAGCCAAAAAAAGCGGAAACAACTCCAGCACCCGTACAATGGAACGTGAGTTGGCCATACAAAGGAATGAAGTGCTCGTGGGCAAACTCTGAACACAACACAGTGAGTGCGGTAGCTTAGTCACCAAGAAAGAGATCATTTCATATGCGATCTCACTTATGCGAAATGTGCAAAGTAGGCAAACCTATAGAGAGAGGGAACAAATCAGCAGCATCCCAGGGCTGGAGGGTAGGGGAGGAGAAGGAGGAGCAACAGCCCATGGGTGCAGGATTTCTTGTAGAGGGGACCGAAATATTTTGCAATCAGGTTGTAGGGATGGTGGCAACAGCCGTGTGAGAACATTGAGTTGTATGTCTCAAATGAGTGAATTGTACAGCCTGCGACTCACGCACCAATACGTCTGCCTCATTGTTTTATAGAGAGTCTCCTGTCACAGTCAGCCATCGGTGGCGGTGGCGGTGCGGCCAGGCGGGAAGACGATGGCGGGGCCCAAACTAACAGCCCGGCCCCTGCGCTCTCCAGTCTCTTCCCGGAGAGGGGCTGACCCGCGGAGCCTGGAACAAGCCCCAGGAGGCATCTTCTGCGTTAGGAATTTCCATTTTAAAGAAATAAATGGAAGACCAGTCCTGCAACCTGGGGAGCCGGGCATGATCCCCTGCGAGCGCCCAAGCCTAGGTCCCTCGCACAGCCTGGCGTTGGGCCGCGTTTGCTTTAAGCCGTGGCACGGCTCAGAAATAATCGCCTTTCCCACGTCCTATACCTAAGTGCGCTTTCTCATCACCACTCGGCGGCCTATGCAAACCCTAAGGAAATCTGTGGCTCCCCCTGCCCCCTGGGTCAGGACGGCACAAACCAGCAGAAATAATTGTCACGGCTGACTTATCCAGAGTTTGCTTGCACAGCTAAAAGTCCAATGGGAAGGGCCGCCAGCTACACAGCCCGAGCAGGCGTTCGCCTGAAGGCCGCCAGGCGTCTCCACGAGCGGAGGCGATGGAATTGCCGCAAAGCGCCACCCTGACTGGGCTGACCCCCTTACCTGTGATGGCGTCGGTTCTAAGGCTCCTGCTCTGTGTAAGGTTTCCTGACAAATGGTCTCAGATTGCTTTCAGGTGTAAGGGGCAATGAACTAAAAGCAACGGGATGCAGACGACATATAGGCCTCAATGTATAAATGAGTGACGCCAAGTTCGCGCCAGACAGGCAGGTGTACGGGCGAGGGGGACGCTCCTTAACAGGAGATCGGGACATTTCAGAGCAAGACGGGAGGCGGTTCGGATGGCAATAAAAACTGTTCACCTAGCGAGCTAGAAAAATGTAGGCCTTTTACCTAACAGTTTACAGAGGTCGGCGGTGCCGTTGTAAGACCGCAGAGCTCGAAAACGCAGGGGCCCGCGTGCAGTGCGTTCCTTCTCTAACGCCACCCGAGGGCCCCGGGGCTGCGGGGCGGTTCCACCGGGACCTGCAGCGAGGCCTGGGCTGCCCCGCTGATCCTGGGCTTCGCGCCCCGTCGCCTGCCGGGGCGGGACCTGCGCCTGGCTCTCCCAGGAGGCCGCTCCGCGTTCCCCGGCTGCACAGGTGGGCTCCTGCCGCCGCCGGCCACGACCCGCCGTCGCCCGCCCGAGTGCCTGCCACGCCCGCGCTCTGACGCCTCCCTCACGCCTGCGGCTTCGCTCCCCTGACAAGCGCTCGGGTCAGAGACGAGCCAGCGACAGGGCAGACGGGCTCCACGCCATTGTCCCGCGTTCCCATCAGAGTCTCTCCCCATCGCACGCAGAACGAAGTGCTCGGCTGGCCAAAAGGGTCTCTTCTACCCAAAGTCCTCAGTTTCCCCTCGTGGACTCAGCTCCAGCCACACTCGCCTCCTTGCTTTTCGCGGACCGCCGGGCACACCCTCCGCACACGCGTGCGCGCGCACCCGGCCCGCGGTTCCCTGGGCCTGGCAGCCGCCCCTCAGGCCTGCGGAAGACTTGCTCCTTCGCTTGCTCCGGTCACCCCGCAAGGGTCACTTCGTCAGGGGCGTGTCCCTGACGGACCACCCCACCTAATGCATTAGGTGGAGGCACCTGCTAACACCTAAGGTCTGTGCCCCCCCCCAAATCCTAGGTGAAGCCCCAGCCCGCACGTGATGGTAGAGTGGAACCTCAGTTCCCGAACCCAATTCTTTCCAGAAAACTGTTCGAGAAGCAATTTGTTCAAAAACCAGATCTCCTTTGTCACCTGAGAGACGCGTGAAGGATCACCCAGGGGGCAGCAGGAAAGGGCTGCGGGGTAGAGAATCAAGACCCCCAGTTTTGTGAGAAAACCCAAACATTTTTTCTACGAACGACTCAGTCGAGAACCAAGTTGTTCGGGAGCCAAGAGGTTTGAGAGCCGGGTCGGCTGCCTTTGGAGGCGGGGCCTTTGGGAGGTAGCTGGGTTTAGAGAAGGCCTGGGCCGGGGGTCGCAGAGCAGGGTTAGTGCCTCACGGGAAGAGGAACCCGGCACCCCCGCCGAGCTGGCACCCTGACCCGGGAGGAGGAGAGGGGTGTCGGCCAAGCCGCAGTCTCGGTGCTCTGCACGGCAGCCGCAGCTGGGACGCGCCCTCCATCCACCGCGCTGACGCGCTCGGTTAGCACTTGTCTCTTCCCAGGAGAAAGTTCCATCAGCGCAAGGGCTGGCTCTGTGTTTTGTTCTTCTGCTCTTTTCTTAGCACCCGTGTTACCGAGAGTCTCGCTAACAGTCAGTACATGTCTGTTGGATAAGTGAACCTGATGTTTTAACTCGAATACTTCTAAGTAACGCAAAGTTTGTAATTTATGCCATTAGTCCACAGGAGGGCGGCTCGCCACGACCCCCCGCCCCCCAAAAATGAAACTGCTGAAGCAGTGGAGTTGCCAGTGACTGACGTTCTTATAGGTCTATTACCTGAATGGTAGCAAGAACTGTATTTTTTTTTAAATCCAGGCATAAGACAAACAGAAAAAAAACCCACACATACTTTTTAAAAAATTTTTCACTTATTGAAGCTAATGCATTATGAAAATACTAATTGAGAAGTGGAGAAGAGAAGAACTTTTGACAAGCTGATTGTTTCTTGGGACAAGCTAAGGGTTTTCATTTTGTTTTGTTTCTGTGTTTACGTTTTTATTCTAGTCCCGGACATGTTAACTTGATATATGAGCTGATAAGAAGTCTGAGCCCTCTGGTGTATTTTTAAGTTCATTTGTTAGACAAAGTATGAGGAAATACGGTCCATTTCATCAATTTCTCTTTTTTCCCTTTCTGAGTGGCTATTTAAACACAGATAACAGCACACAGGACAAACCGGAGGAGCGGGTTCTGTCCGCGGCCCACGCTCACCTGCTGCCTGAGGTCGGCACCCAGGGGCACCCGTGTGGCCTGACGGGTTTGGAAGCCTGCCGGAGCGGAGGCCCCAGCAAGAAGTCCTCGCGTTGAGAACTTGGGCAAATGACTCCTTGACCTACGCTACTCACATGGTTGCACAACAGGGAAGAAGGAGCCTCGCAGCAGAGGGGACAGGAGCCAAGTCCAAGTGAAGGCTCCGGCCAAAAAATACATACGAAGAAGGTGCGCCCCAGTTCTCTTCTGCCAAGATTCCCACGCCTGGTGTCTGGCCCAGAATAAGAACGCTGTCTTCTGTGGATATGTCACTTTCTTAAATCAACGTATGTTTTTTCTTAACAAAATTTGCCTTTTGTGGGCTTATTCGTTTAGACAGAACTGTATATAAAATTAATATAAACGCGGACCATAAATCTCACGAAATATGAGTGATCGTCACAGACAAACGTGTTTAGCACCTGTTTTGCCCAGAAGGCACTGCCTCAGAGAATCGGCATTTTTCTCCACCGTGTTGCCCTCAGGAAAGCGGTCAGGCGGCCTCTCCTCATTTTCCATCCTGGCAGCGAGTGTGGAAGTTTTCACCAGTAACACAGTTCATTGTCCTTCCAGGACCGGGGGAGGCTGGGTGACAAAATGTGCATCCCGGGCAGCGAGAGGGACTGGAGTTCCCGAGAATGTTTCTTGTCGTAGACACGACTCAGCCTTTTAGAGCCCTTTTCCCTCTTACGAGCCAGGGCACTTTATATGACAAGAGTACTAAGCGGGTTCTAAGTCCCTCCCCGCTGTGACAGCGCAGAACGAAGCGCGGACGGACTGCCGCGCAGCACACGTGGGCGCGCGCCGCGCATGCGCTCACGCTGTCCGCGGTGAGCGGGGCGGGGCCTCCGCCTGGAGATTTGCTCCGGGAAAAAAATCAGTGTCAGGTGGCACTGGCCCTGCAGGGGGAGCCTCACAAGCCGGGTGCGAGAAACAGTCCCAGCTACGCCCGCTCAGCCTCCAGGCGCTTCGGTCATGGTACAGGGCAATGTTTTGGGAGGACCACATGCCAGCTCAGCTGGGGACCCAGCGGAATTTGTAACCCCCGTTGGCCGTCCGAATGGTGAAGGCGTTGCCCTGGGGGAAGGCGAGGGTGCGGATGGTGCTGTGGCTGCGGATGGGGGTGCAGAAGGAGCCGCCCTCCTCCAGCGCCCCGTGGCTCAGGTCCAGCGCGCGCGCCGGGCAGTCCGTGCGCAGCCCCCGGAAGGCACCGTGCAGCTGCGCGGGCCCGCGGGCCAGGCTCGCCGACTCCGGCTGCAGGCGGAGCCGCTTGGGGTCGCGGCTCTGCAGCGCTTCATCGCAGCGCTCGGAAATGTCCCTCAGGACGGCGTCCACTTGCGCACAGTCCTGCCCCGCGGTGACGAGCAGCTCCTCCAGGCTCCTCTTGGCGGTGGCCGCCCCGCAACTCCGGGCCTGCGTGATCATCAACTTCTACAAGAGACGAGGAGGGGCGCCGCCTGGGGCCAGCGTCGGGCGCGCAGACGACACCTGGGCGCACTTCAACTGGGCCCGGGCACGCGGCTCCGCGGACTCCCAGCTGGCCCGCCGTGCCCCACCCCGCCCCCGTCCCGCACTGGGAGCGGGGGCCGGGCGTACCCGACATTTCCAACTCCCGCAGCGTCCCACGTGCGCGCCCCTCTTACGTCCAGCACCGAGGCCAGGTGCCGGGTCCGACCGGCGAGCTCCTTCAGCCGCACGTTGCGCTCCTTGAGCGACGCGATCTCCTCCTGCTTCTGCGTCAGCGTCGCGTGCAGCTGCGGGAGATCGGGACGCTGAGAGAGCGGCAGGCGCCGCTCGGTCTCGTCAGTGCCAAACCCGGACCCCAGGGTCCCATCAGCAACGGGGGCCCGAGCGCAGTCACACTGATGAGAATTCGAGTTTTCTGTTTAAACAAAGCACTTGGACGAAATGCCTCTCAGCTAACCCTTGGTGTGGAGCGGCGGTGAAGAGCAAATGACTTGGGCAACGGGCGGACAGGTTCTGCCTCTGGAGCTCAGCCTCCCTGTACCTCAGTTTCCTTACCTGTAAAATGGGGCTGGTAAGAGTGTCCAGCTCAAAAGACATGAGTATGCAAGGCCAGGAGAACGTACATTGGGAAGCACGATACCAGGCCTACAGAAAGCCCTCAATAAATACGGTGGCCCTGTTCGAAATCTGGCGGGAAGAGGATTCCCACGTAGTGAAAATGGAAATTGAGGCAGGGCCCCGAAGCCAAAGCAGCTCCGTGGGCCACCCGCGGGCCGACCGCTTCCCACGGTCCCGGGGCTCCACTCCCTGTCCGGCCCCAGGACTGCCAGCCGCCGCCCCCGAGGCCCTTACTTGGTTGTTCTCAACCAGCGCGTCCCCCAGCGCCCTCTGGTTCTGGTCGGCCACCTCCTTCCAGTACTGCTCAGGCCGGAGCACTTCCGCGGGGCGCGGCGCCGGCGCGCGCGGGTCCAGCGGCGGGGAGAGGCAGGGCCCGAAGGGCAGCGTGTCGCAAGAAGGGAAGGGGAAGTCTCTGCTGGCCGCGGGAGGTGACATCAAGGAGGACGAGTCTGCAGGAGAGGGGGAGCTGGGTTTGCAGCCTCAGACCCGCGCCCGCTGGTACAGGGGCAAGACGCCACGCCGGATTCAGGGGTACGTGGAGACTCCTCTTTAGATAAGTAAAGCGGCCCTCGCCCCGCGTCCCCACGATTCCCAGGCCCTTCCTGGCACCTGCACGTACGCAGCAGGTGCTCAACCTGCCTGACGTCACACAGACCCTCAGCCCTGCACACTCCTGTCACTCACCTCTCCACCCCGCACCGCAGGGTGGGACCCCTGTCCCAGAACTCACACTCGCAAACGAGAAGGCGCTAGAGACCCTGCGACTCATCGGTTCCGCCAGGATGCCTGGGGGCCCCCTGAGCACCGAAGAGCCTGGCCTTGGACGAGTTGCGGGCCCGCCCTGACGGGTGCCCGGTTTACCACCTTCCCGACCCCGAAACCTGAACCGGTCTCCCCGGGTGGGGACACGCCGCCGTTACTGAACGGCAGAGAGACCGCACTTGCCTGCGATGAGATCCTCCACCGTGTCTCTGAAATCCTGCAGATCCAAGTCCGCCGCCGTTTGCGCGGCGGCATGGCTCTGAAATAAACCAGAGGTGTGAGCTACTTAGTGCCGAGTCTGGCAGGCCTGGGGCACTTCCTAGGCTGACAGCCGTCCTCCCGGCTCTGCTCGGCGGCGGGTCTGCACTCGCTCGCGCCCGGAACCGGGCCTCCTACCTGAAAACCAAAACCCCATCCGAGACGCGGGACCCAGCAGCCTTGCACCGCCATGGCGGGGAGCGGGGCGCACGACGTGGGGATCCCGTCCGCGAGGGTCGCGCTGGGCGCCACCACCGTGCGCGGCGGTGTTAGGCACGGAGCCGCCGCGCTCAGAGCGGGGGTCCTGCGCCCAGCCTCCCGCAGCGGACTGGGTGCGGATCGCCGCCTCGCCCCATTGGCCGGCCACCAGCCAATCAGCTGCCTGCGGCGCTCCCCTCGGGCGCCGCAGGACCTCCGCGTCGACCTACCTCCCACCTGGCTGGGAGCTGCGCTCTCCGAACGGAGCGCGCTGCGCGAACTTCCGGTCTTCCCTCTAGGACCCGACACCGTGCCGGGTCTCACAGGGCAGGGGCTTGAGGCCATACTCGCGCCCAGGCTCCGTCACACTAGACCACTCCTTCCCCATAAAGGGAGGGAGAGGGTAGGAAGACGCGTGGGCGAAGATGCTCACTCTGCGGGCGCGGCCCCTGTTGCTCTTGTTTCTTAAAAAATCAGAGCTCACTTTTCCCGGACAGTGTGACGCACCTCCAGCGCCTTGAACTGGACACTCTCCCGGGTTCCTGCCACGTGCCTGGGAGGCCAGGAACCTTCCCATCCCCTTAATCCCCGAACGTTGAGAGTTGACAACTCTCTACACAGGGTCTCGGTTACTTCTCATACCGATGCCGGGGGGCAGGCAGGGCGCAGCAAGCGGCGAGTCCTCCTTTGACCCTGAAGCTCGGAGAAACCGAACTGCCCGGCGCCGCCCAGCTCTGACACGGCGGCGGGATTGGGGCTCGCGTCCCGGAATGCGGGCGCCCTTTCAGTCCTCCTGCCTCCAGGCCTCGGTGCCTCCGGCGCCCCCGGCCTTTCAGGAAGCCTGGCTTCCGGCGCAGACCGACGGGGAAGCAGTCTCCGCGGGACCTGGTGCGGAGGCGCCTCCAGCAGGCCCACCAAAAATCTCTGTCCTGCTCGGTGCGCTACTGTTGATTGACAGGTCCCTTAGTGCCGTCACACCCTCCTCCTGAAAGTGCGTCTCTATACTATCGCGATGTTTGTGAGAAAGGCTTACTCTGACCCTGGCTTCACAGAGTGTGCAAGCGCCAGGGAGGAGGGGGTCAATCAGGGCGCCGCCGGCACCAGCTGGGAACTCAGGCTCTAGGGGAAAGGAGCTGGGAAAGGGGAGGCCGAGGGCCCCAGAAATGCCGGAGCAGAGGTCCTGCCCTGGCGGAAGGCACTGGAGAGGAGGGGAGACTTCCTCTCCCAGGGCAGGAAGGCCTCTCTCCCTCCGTAGAGCCTGCAGACTGGTCCTGGCCTCAGGAGCCTGGAGGCGAACTCAGCAACGCAGACGCAGGACATGCGCCGTCGGTGCGGGCCAAGTCTTGGTCGGTTCTGGACCTCAGACCCTCCGGGGCACTCCTCCCTGTCCGCCTTCCCTGGCAGGCGGCGGCTGGGCAGCGGACCGGGGTGGGGACCGGCCTGGGGTCTCCCTCCCTATGCACCAGCTCTGTCTTCCCCAGGACAAGTCTTGGAACTCTTGTGTGACCTCTATCCTTCAAACTTTGTGTCCCACCTTCCCAATTAGATACAAATCTGGCATTTCTCCACCTACAATAGCAGGCAAAAAACAAAAACAAAGAAAACCTAGAACATACAGTCACATTAAGTTCTGTATACTGAAGCAAAAATCCAGCAAGAGCCTGCCTGGTTCTCGCTCCTTGCGCAATAGACACCTTGGCATGAGGGCCCACTGAAAGGCATTCGGACACTGTCCTTCCTTGTTGAAGCGTCCAGATCCAAGGAGAACGACAGAACAGCCTCCGCAGGGCCGTGCCCACTCTTACCTTTCTCTGCGACAGCCTGTGCTTTCACGGACCACCTACCCTGAGCCCCCCTGAGCTCTGTCCCAGTCCTCAGAGGAAGCTCCGGGAAGCTCTGCTCCATCACCAACTGCAGCAGTGAGAGGTGGTCATTTCTTCTAGACAGTCCTGTGTGGGGCGTGTCCCCACGGGCCTCCTGTCCCCAGCACCTGCTGCCAGGGAGCTGGGATGGGCACCCTTCTGGGCTGCATTTGGCTAGGACCTCCTGCCCTTCCGGCACTTCGTGCCCCGAGGTGAGCAGGCTCCGGAGCAACCTGGGGGAGGCTCCCTTGTCTGCCTGCGGATGTCCCCCCCCCGGAGCCAGCGATAGAATGGGACGGAAGTACGAAGCTGGATTTTCAGGACAAGGAAAAAGTTAATTGCCTCTTTGTCTCAGGAGGGTAAGCAACGTGAGCCTTTGGAGAGGAAGGAGGAAAGAAACTTTTTAGAGCTGCTGAAGGGCCCCCTCTGCAGAGAGGAACGTTTTCTGCCGGATTTTTCCCAGAGTCCTTTGTTCCTCTGCCTGCTTCCTGCAAATGGAAACTCTCTTCCTCGTTTCCAGTCTTGATCCAGAAGTTTTCCTTGGATCTACACACTCCTTAGACACCCAGGGAATGGGAAAGTTTCACGAAAGGCTGGGAAGGGGCCGCTGAAGGGACAGACAAGACGCCCAGCGTCAGGTGCCCAGCGAGCACCGGGTCCCTCGATGAGCGATCGACGCTCCAGGGGATGGGTGGGAAGGAGGATGGGAGGCCGGCCTGGCGGGGGCGCCCTTGTCAGAACGGCTCCGAGAAGGCGGCCGCCGTCGTGACTTACTGGGAGGAGGGAAGAATTCTGGTCCTCCGGGCTCAGACTCCGGCCCCACGTCGCGTCACCAGCCAGACGTGCCTGCGCTCCCCACGGGCGACAAGCCTTTCCGGAAACACACCCATAGCCCCGGAGTCAGAGTTTGGGCACCGGAGGCAGAGGGGCGCCACGAGGAAGGGGAGGTACCTGCCAGGCGGCCGAGTCCCCTGCAAGCGGCGCGTCGGGCGCGAGGAGCGAGCAGTCGGCGAGGTCCTGCAGGTCTATGGTGGTGAGGGCTGCGCGGGAAGAACCGGAGACGCGCCGGGCGGGCTGCTGGCATCGCCGCCGGGCCGCAGGGACCCAGGCAGAGCAGCCCTTCCCGGCCGCGCGCGCCCCACCTGCCCGGCACGGGCAGCCCAAGGGGTGGTCGCGCGCGGGGCCACCGGGCTCACCAGGCAGCGCCGCGGGCTCGGCGCCCGGGGGATCCTCGTACACCGACACCGGGTTGTCACTGCTGCATCCGGGGAAGAACGTCCGCGGAGGGGCGAACTAGGCGAGCACAGAAACGGAGTGCGGGTCAGCCCTCGGCGCCCAGGACGTGCGGCCCCCGCCGGGCCCCGGGGCCCCCGCCCCACCTTCCTCTCTGGCTTCCCGGGCTTGCCAAGGGGCCGGCCCCGCAACTCCGCTATGCGGTTCGGGCAGATGCTGTCGAAGGCGCGGCGTCCCGCCGCTGCGCCCTCGCACGCCTGCATCCCGCCTCCCCACCGGCCGCGGCCCGCGAACCCCGCCGACGGCTCGGAGGCGGCGGCCTGCGGCCTGCACCCTGCGCTCCGCCAGGTGCCCGCGGGCTTGGGAGCCGTCCGGAGCTCCGGGAAGGCGCGTGGCCGGGTGGCGCCGAGGGGCGGGGGCGACCGCGCGCGGGAGGGGCGGCTCGCGCCGGAGCGCCAGAGGTGGCGCCTTGAGCCCGGACAATCTGCGCGCGGGCGCGGGCGCTCAGCCCAACCCGGCAACGGCTTCCCCCGGGAGCCGCGAGCGCGGGGCCCGGGCCCGCCAGCGCCCTTTCGGCCAGGCTTGGCGCCGCCGCCTCCTGGCCGCGCCAAAGGCGGGGAGGGAGGGAAGGGGTGGACGGGCCCCACCGGCCCCTAATGCCGCCTTCCCGCCTTTGGACCGTGGGGAGGAGACGTTAAGGATTCCTGTTCCATTTTCCTCCCACCCCAGCCACGGAGCAGGACAGAAACGCGCAGTTTTCAAAGCCAGGCTCTGCGGGGTTTGGTGGGGCGAACAATCTCAGCAGGAGCAGTTCCCCCCCCCACCCTCCACCCCCATCCCCCGTCACTGAAGCCCTCCCCCCCAAGACTCCCCGTGCAAGGGGTTCCCCGGCCCCAACTCAAGCTGCATCTGCCTAGGTCTGAGGCCCAGCGCCCCGCCCGCCAGCCCGGCTCTTTCCCCTGGCAGCGCCTGGGCAGACTCTGAAAGGGGGTCAGTTAAGAAAAAGTGACACCCACAAACTCTCCTCCAGTTTCAGAAACCGGCACAATGGAGAGCCCCAAATCCCCTACGACTCAGGTCTCGGTCCCGTTCCCCGGAGGCTTCGGCCCCTCTCGGTGGCTCTACCCGCAGGGGCCGCCTGCCCACGCCTGTCCCAGGAAGGGGCGTCTCCAAGTCCGGGTGAGGGGGCCTCTCGGGGCCACTCACACCCATAGAATCTGAACCATAGTCTGAAACCGAGGCCTTTGTGACCTCCCATTGGGCAGCTCGTGTCTTATGCCCAGTACTAGTAGTGAGCAAGCCTTTTTACCTGGGTTAATAAACAAGACCCCTAACAAGTGAGAGGAGCTGGCATTGACTTGGAGACTCTGATCCTCTGTCAACATGAGAATCCAGCGGGGGGAGGCCCGTCAGCCAGAGCCGGTGTGACGTCGCTGACCCTGAGCAGCTGTGCCTTCAGGGTCGGAGTCCGAGGATCAGAACCAGATTCAGGAGCCCCACCTCTTCAGGAAGACTTAACGCAGACTTGGATGGCGTTGTGGCGAAGATGAGATTATTTACGTTGGGACTCGTGCTTCTTGGGGTGGATAAATGAATGCTGTCCAAAAAGGGGCCTTTTCGGGGGCACCTCCGCCCCCTGCAGCCTGCCCCCAGCTCCACCGCCCGCTTCCCCTGGCTCCCGCACAGCGGAGCCGCTGGCCAGCCCAGCCTCCACCCCCCTCCTCGCCGCCTCCCCAGGCTGTAGAAGGAGCGGGGCGGCTCTTGGCTAGGCTCTGGGGAGATGTCTGCACATGGGGACCGGCACCGATTTCCCAGGCCGGGTTCACTTCCCATCAGTGAGTGCCATGTCCGAGGAGGAAAGTGGGAGCGGGCACAGAACCATGTGTATCTACCAGACAGGTCGCCGCAGCAGGAGCTGGGCGCGCGTGATGCTCTGCCTCCCAGGCTGAGTGATTCTGGGACCAAACCTCCCACATCAGTCTTGGCTGCGCGACGGAGCGACGCTGGGGGAGTCGCCCCCTCCCAAGGGGAAAAAAGTCACATTCCTGCGGAACAGCCGCCCCCCAGCCCCTACCCCCAGCCAGGCTGAGGGCTGCAGAGGCTTTGGCATTTGGCGCAGAGGACGCGACTTTTCTCCTCCTTCTCCCCTTCGCAGACCAGCTCCCCCTCCGATAGCTGGGGCCCCCAGTCCCCTCACGCTGAGCCCCGAGGAGTGAGGTCCTGGAGCGCCTGGCATGTCTGCAGACAGGGAGGGATGGTCCCGGAGGGGCCCGGGGGAGCGCTGGGAGGGCGCACATGACAGGAAGCGGAGGGAGGCTCTCTCTTTGCTTCGTTTGCTTTTTATTTGTATACTTGCCACGCATTTAGTTCTAAACTCAGCAGAACATGCCTTGCTCCCCCCCAAAAAAGACCCGTGTTTTCAACCATACAGAACGTGTGAATAAACAGCACCATGGACAGTAGAGTCACCTCCAACTGCTAACGCTCTCCTGCATTTGCTTGATTTCTGTCTCCAAGTGTTTCTCTGTGTAAGCCCCTCCCCCACCCCTCCCCCTCCCCCGCGATGTGCAGGCTGCCACCAGCCTCCGAGGACTTGCTATGTGCAGGACCTGGGCCGGGGGTTTGTGTGGAGCACCGTGTCACACCCCCGCCTCAGCCCTGCCACGGGAGCCCGCTGGTACCCTCGTTCCTACAGAAGGGCCTCAGACCCGCCCAAGGTCGCCCAGCAAAGTGACTCCGGACTCCACTTGTTCAACTAGCACTTTGCACACCGCCCAACCCCGCCTCCCCTTCGGCCTCCCAACAGCCCAGGGTCAGGGACCAGGGCCCGCTGTCCTGTCTCGGGAAGAGGGTTTTCTGAGCAGACCCCTGCACGCAGCCGGGGCAAGTTGAGCAGCTTGGCTACGGGTGGGCGGGGGAGGGGAACGCAGACCACCTGCCTTCTACCCCCCCTTCCCTCTGCTGTTGGCCTCTTGCGGCCCAGGGTCCCTCCCTGAAATGCCAGGGACGGGGCTCCGCCTGGAGAACGCGCTGGGCTGAGACGAGGAGGAAGGCGGAGCGCAGTGCCTGCCGGTGGGGGCTGTGGCGACTGCCCGGCCGCGGGAACCCCGGGCTCACAGGTAGCAGGTGTGAGCGGGACTCAGCTGCTGAGCCACCTGATCGCACGGTCAAGGGCTCGACTGTAGCAGCCGTTGCTGCCCGCAAAGCCTGGCCCTGCGGCACCTGTGGCTGTGCGGAGCACCGCCTTCACCACGCCGGCCCGGCGAGTCCGCGGCGCACAGCTCCCCCGCTGCGCGGGGCGGGGCACCAGCGCTGCACTCTGGCCGCTCCAGACAGCAGGCACGGATGCGGGCGCCATTGGCCTCGCACCCCAGCTCCCGCTTTGGCCTTCTAGGGGCGAGTGGGCCTCCCTCTCCTGACAGGAGAGGGGTGGGTGGCAGGATACAGGCCTGAAGGTGACCCCAAGTCGCCTTGCAATGGAGCCGTGCCCACCTAGGTCTCCCCTGGCCTGGCCGTTCTTGCAGAGATGCCAACTCCAGAGTGGAGCTGGAGGTGGGGGCGGGGGGTGGCTGCCTCAATTGTTGCGTTGTGGCCGAGGCCTCATTTGCCAGAGGCCTTCACCATCCCTCCAGGTGACAAAGAGGAGTGTTCAGACACACGGGGACAGACTGTTTATTGGGCAAAGGCGGCTCTCTCCTGTGCGCTCAGCAAAATAAATAAGCGACCAGACACTAATATCGTACATTATTTACAACCCACAGGGCGAGCTGGGGACCACGCAGAAGCCCGGAACGCTGCTCCGTGGGCCGACACTGCATCCTCTCAAAGCGATGGGAGAGGCCCGGCCCGGGAGCCAGGAGAGCCAGGGTCAACTTTATTTCGAGCTCGGGGACAAGCGGCACTTGTCACAGATCTGGAGGGGCAGCAGGTGCGCCAGGGAGGTCCCGTTGATGGCCACGAGTAGCCGCAGCTTGCCCAGGCAGTCCTGCAGCTCGGGCTCGGCGTGCCCGCCCAGGCTCAGGTCCAGGCGGCGCGGGAGCCGGAGCAGGCCGTCGGCCAGCGCCAGGCAGCAGATGGCCAGCAGCGAGGGCGCGTAGCCGCAGAAGGCGTAGTCGGCCAGGCTCAGCTCCGCCACGCCCTGCGCCAGCGCCTGCGCCTCCAGCGCTTGGGAGGCCGGGGCCTGCCCGGCGTCCACGCGCGCGTGCGTGAAGTGCTCCAGGAAGAAGCCGACGGTGGGTGCGCCCAGGCTGAAGCGCAACTTGTGCAGCACGATGCGCTCGAGGTTGCAGAGCTGCTGCCGGGAGAAGGCGCCGCAGCACAAAGCCAGGAGCTGCTCCACGCGCGGCGGGTGCACCTCCACCTGCGGCACAGGGCGCTCAGCTCCCGCGCCCCGGGCGCACCCCTGCCTCCACCCTGGGCTCCCCCCGCCCCCCAGCCCTTCCAGCCGCACAGCCGGGGCTGCTCCGCGCCATTACTTCCACTGAAGTCACCTGTGCTGGGCTTCCAGACTACCTTCGCTAACTACTGTCTGGCTAAAACCAGGCTTGCGAAGATTTAAGGGGACTGGAAGCGCAGCGGGGCTGCTGAGAGCTGCCGGGACGGACTGGCTGCCGCCTCTCTCGGGCCTGGGGGTAGCTGTGAGGTTAAGGCTGCGGGGCGGACACATTCGCAAACGTCTGCGGAGCGAGTTCAGGGAGCCCGTCCCCGCACCGTGTGGGCCGGAAACCCAGGGGGCCAGAGGGCCGGGAGTTGGGCGCCCCCAGGCTCCGCAGGCAGGTACCTGTTTGCAAGCGATGAGCAGGGACGTGACCCCGAGCAGCTGGAAGCAGTCCGCAGCCACAGGCGTGGTGGCGAGGAAGCGGTCCAGCGTGTTCACCGTCAGGCACAGCGACTCGAAGGAGAGGCCGAACTGGCGGTGCACGGGGATCAGCCAGCTGAGCAGCCTGCAGCGGGACTCGGCGGTCACCTGCCGGGGCGGGGGCGGGCGGCCGGCTGAGCCTGCGGCCGAGGGGCTGCGGAGGGCACGGGCCGCTGCGACCCAGGGGGCTTGCCAGAGGAGGAGGAGAACGCTGGAGAAATGCGTGTAAACTGGGAACGCGGGGCGCGGCCCCAGCGAAAAAGGCTGGGCTGGGCGGCGGGACGCCTGGATCCACGTGCGCCGCTGTGCCTAACGCACAACCCAGCACCGCGCGCAGTCGTCTCCGCAATTTAGCGGAAGGGGGTGGGGGTGTCCCCACCTTGCAGATGAAGAAACAAGCTCAGGGTTGTTAAATAACTCGCCTTGGGTCGGTAGCTGTGCGGACTCAACCTAGAAAACGTCTTAATTCCTCTGCGTGCTACTGCGTCCCCACCACCAGTTTGGAAGCTTCGAAAAGGTCCCCTTAAGCGTTTAGGGCCCACTTCGCTCTGTCTGTAAAATCTACCCCCTGTCCCCTGGGACGCGGGCTGGGGCTCCACCGGCGCTCACCTGCGGCTGCCGCGCCAGCGCCTCCCGCGCGTGGAAGTGGCTCTCCCGCGCCTTGCGGAAGGCGTAGCAGCTCTGCCCGTAGTCGCGGAAGGTCTGCAGGTCCAGCTGCAACGACTGCTGCGCGGGGCCTCGCCCCCCGGTGGCCGCGGGGCTGCCTGCGCCGTCTGAGCCTGAGCCGGGGGACTCGAACAGGTCGCCGATGCCAGAGTCCCCCGGGAGCCGGCACGGGCTCAGCGGCTGCAGCGGCTGCTTCCTCCGGAGGCGCGGGCGCCTGCTTTTCTTGACCGGGGCTCGCAGGTACTGGTTATTGTCCCCTGTCCCAGCCCGGGCGGCAGGGCTGGCGGGGCACGGCGTCACCATGCTGCGTCCCGGTGGCCGCCCCGCCGCTCCGAGGCCGCGGCGGGCGGGACGCGCGTACCAAAGCGCGAAGGAGCCCCGCTGGCTGGCCCGCGAGGCCCTAAGTACCGACCTGTGCCACGCCCCCGGCCTCTCACTGGCTGGGCCCCCGCCGCGACCGCCGCGCTTTCCCGGCCAAACTGCCGCCCCCGCGCGCGGCCCGCAGGCCCAAGGGGGAGGGGCCCCGGCGGCCGCGCACCCACCCTGCGCAGCCGGCCCTGCGCGCTGCCCGCGTTACCTGGGCAACCGAGCGGTGCGACGGCAGGAGGCGCGAGCAGGCACCCAGCGGCAATGGAGGTGGGGCGGCTGCGCGGCCAGGTGAGCTCAGGACCCGGCTGAGCGCGTCCTGGGGCCACTTCCGCCCCTGGTCGCCGGGCGCGCGCTTTGCCACGTCCGCCTCCAGCCCACACGCGACCCGCACAGGCAGCACCCGCAGTTCAGCGGCGCTCGTGGTTTTGTTTTAGTCAGGACCCGAGTAGCCGGGGTCCCTCCCTGTGCGGGGCTCGGCGCGGCGGTCGCCTGGCGGCCGGAGGAGCCTCGCCCAGCGGGCGGGTGTGCGCGCCGGCCGCCGCTCGAGGAGCAGGCCGGGTCGGCGCATTTGCCGCTTTACCGAGCGGCCGGATCTTCGGCCCCTCTGCCCGGCGGCCATCGTTGCCCGCCTGCTCCCGGTCTCCCGTCTCCGCGTCCGTCCCTGCAGGGCTCGGGGAGCGGAGCGGCAGGGGTCCTGCTGGTTTGCTGCGCCGCTGCGTCCCGTCCGGGACCCTCGAGGAGACGCGGCCCTGGTGGCGCAAGTGGCACTGGGGAGCCTTCCAGATCTGTCGCAGGGGCAGGAAGCCCAGGGGTCCCCGAGAGGTGAAATGACGAGGTGCCAGCCCGGCGCAGGTCCGCTTTTCTCACCCCGTTCCAGGAAAAAAAGGAAGAAAACCTCCGAACGTGTGTGATCAGAACGTAACCTTTTGTCCGCAGACCTTCCGTGGGTTTGGGGTGCTGTCTCCCAGAGATGCGGGCTGCAGGAAAAGGGCCGACTGCGGTTCTGGTCAGCGTCACCCCGACTTCCCTGGAAACCTGAGCCAAGTCTTCGGTCTCCAGACGGTAGGGCGTCTCTTGTAACACGAGCGTCGAGCGGAGAATCACCTGGGCCTGAAAGCCCAGGTGCCGGCCTCCGCCCCCTCGTGGGCGGCCGCGGGGAGCCCCGTGGCAGGGCCTCGAATCCAAGCAGCGGGCCCGACATCGGACCCCGGGGAGGCAGCGCTCAGGGCGAGGGGGAGAACCCCGGGGTCTGGCCTCTCCAGCGGCCGACGGCCCGCGGCGCCGCGAAGGGAACTCGGGGACGCAGAAGCGCCGCCCTCGCTCGCGGGCCTCCTTCCCCTCGTCTGTGCCGCGGGTGTGACACCCAGTCCTTCTCGAGCGTGAACCAGGCTGTTGGGGTGACGCCAACAACGCCACAGGCAGCGCCTGGTCCACCGGCGGCCGAGAGGCGAATGGTGCCCTGATCGCAAGGCTGGGCTCCCCGGAGACGCCTGCAGTGAGAGGGAACCCCCAGCAGGGGGTGCGCGAGCTCCCGCCGGACGGCGACGTTTTTTCAGGACAGGTGCGCCTCGTTTTATTGCTCGCCGCTTTATTGCGGTGCACAGATGTTTCGCTTCAAGTCGAAGACAAGGCCCTTCACCTGCCAAGAGATCGCCGATCGCATCGCGTTGCTGCGGAGGTCGGGCTGCCTGCAATGTTCCGAGGGGCCCTTCCCTCTTGGAGCGGACGTTCTGCCAGGGACAGTGCCGCCCATCCCGTGTTTCCTTCATTAAAGTGTGGGAAGAGTTGCGGGAGAGGATCTCCTGGGTGCAGGGTTAGCAGAGAGAGTACAGGACGCCGGTTAAATCCAAACAGCAGGCTGAGAACAAATAAACCCGAAGTGAAGTGTGTCTCAAACGTGGCATGGGACATCTTTATACTAAAATAATTTGTTTATCTGGAGTCCAAATACTGCACGGGGCAGGCTTACACCAAAGTCTTTGTTGTTCACCTGACGTTCAAACTCCCCGCATCTGGTGGCCCTTCCCAGGCACCGGGGAGCCCGTGGTAGGAGCCGCTGGCCTGGCCTGGACAGACTGCCTGGCTCCAGTGCAGGTCAAGCTAACAGAGAAGGCCAGGGTGGGGCGGAGCTGGAGGGGGGTGTTTGGCAAGAATGTCCCCAGCACAGGAACGGGCTGCTGGGGTCTAGAAATGTGACTCCTGGGCGGGCCTGAGGCCGGCCTGACCCAGAGACACAGAATGAGGGGCCGCGCGGGGAGGAGGCAGGGAGGCAGCAGCTGATACTCCCATAAAATTACCGCGTGGTGCTCTTTATGTGAGCTGTACGCATGCCCTCTCCGGAGTATGCTATGAGGTTGACGCTGCATGGTCCCCATTTTACAGAAAAGGAAACAGGCGGACAGAGGACAAGTTTAGACTTGACCTGACGCCCCTGAAGGGGCCAGACCAAGGCAGAGAGCTGGTGTGTCCTGGCTGGGTGGCACAGTCGTTGGAGTGTTGTCCCTGGCACTGAAAGTTTGCAGGTTTGGTTCCCCGTCGGCGCAGGTAGCAAGGCCCCCGGTCGGGGTGTGTGCAGGAGACACCGATCAATGTTTCTCTCTCTCTCTCTCTCAATCAATAAACACATCCTGGGGTGAGGGTTAAGAAAGAAGGAAAGATCCCCGTGCCTGACCAGTGGGAAACGGACGGGAGGGGCCCGGCTGGGGCCACGTGGGTGCAGCGTGCTCCAAGCTAAGGGCTTTTTGGTCTCTCCCTGAAGGGCCTTGAGAATTACTTTGTTTTCTAATCTCTCTGGGACCTGCACCCAATGCACCTTAAAGGCAGTAGGTAAACCTAAAGTACTTTAAAAATGCCAACCCTAACCAAGCCCAGGCTTCTGTGCTGAAAGCTGTTGAGCGCTGGGCCCGGCTTCTTTGCACCTGTGGGCCCGAGGTTGTCTTGTGTTCTGTTCCATCTTCCCAGGAGGCACTTTGGCAGCGAGAGGTGCCCCCGCACCTGCCCAGCTCTCGGCGGCGGCTGAAGTGGGGCGGATGCAGGCACTGGCAGCACTTTTGTAGCAAACCCAGCGGGTCGCTGCCTAGCCGAGGACAGCTTTGCTGGCGCCTCAGACAATCCTTAAACCCAGGTTCGATTGTCACTAAAAAGTATATTTACTTAAGACTCCATTTTCCATTAATGTATTTAGGTGCCCAAATTGAGAAGTAATTAAGGTGCTTGAAGTCAGACAAGTTTTGCCCGTATTTAGTAAACAAAGGACAGGAATTTCCAGCACATTTTTTGAAGCCGGACGTTTGGCTTCCACGCCTAAAAGTCCACCAGTCCCTGCGGCTGCCTCCCCGCCGCTTTGCCAGTTGCCAGCCTGGCCTGGTTCCTAGGCATGCTCAAGCGCGCTGCCACGCCCTCGTTGCCACACGTGCCCCTCCCCCGGACTCACGCCCACCTGGGCGACCTGCCCGGCACAGGTGGTAGCACGCAATGATAGTTAGCATGCTCAGCTCCGGAGTCAGACTCCGTGGGTTCGAACCCCAGCACGCAAGTTCCAGAAACTCGAGCAAGTGTCCTCGCTGTTAAAAAATATGGGGTCGTAAGAGGACCCTATAAAATTGTCCTGCAGGTTGGGTGAGGCATGATATGTGCCCGGTGTGAGTCAGCGGCTACGTCGTTACGTTCTGTCCAAGCTAAGGCACGTGTCTTTTTGCCACCCAGGCCGGGGAAAATTAATACGTATCATTCAGTCTGTTGCTATCTATGTTGTATGTTATACGTTGATGCGTGTTTGTAGCTGTAAGGGGCACAGAGGCTGCTATCCCTCCCGCAGCTTCCCGGGACGTCATCCGAGCCCCGAGGCGGGCCTGGGGTGGCTGAGCGGGGACGGGGCCTCCAGACGAGCGTCGCCTGGGGCAACGCTGACGTGTTTTCCCTCTGTGAAGTGTGTCTCTGTTGTGTTCAGACGCCGCCTTCCAGAAGGAGGACGTGGCATCAGGAGGGCGCAGTGAGCACGGTGGCCCCCAGAGCGGAGGCCACTGGGGCCCAGGTCCCCGGGGCGTGGACGGCCGGGCGCCTGGGAAGGGCTTCTGGGAACCGTGGCCGCAGCGCCGCTCCCCGTGCTGGGGCCCTTCGGCGGGGCGGCCGCACCTCCCCGCAGGCCCGCGGGGGCAGGTGGGGACAGGCCTCCTGGCCCTGCGTGTGTCACGCCCACAGCGTGAGCATTCACTGGTTCACATGCACTGTCAGACCTGTTTCGGGCCTTCGTTATGTAAGAAGCAGGGGACCCAGGTGAGGCCCGAAAGGTGGCGATGACCGCCATGCGGGGACGTCGGAAGGGAGTGGGCAGAGTGAGGCAGAGCTGGGCTGCTGGCCCGGCCGAGCCGCGCACCTTCCTGGGGGCCCTGCTCCGGGGCTTGCGTTGGGTCAGTGAGCAGAGCGGACGGACACCCTGCCTCCAAGGAGCTCCACCCCGGGCCGGGCCGGGCACGGGGGCGCTGGCCGGCCGGCGGGCTGCGCAAGGGGGCCGCTCGCTCAGAGAGAGCTGGTCGCTGCGAATCCAGCAGGGCGCTGCAGGAAGCGGGGAGTCGGCCACGAGGAAGGACACCTGCCGGAAAGCGGCCCGGCCGGCGCGGGGGCGCAGGCCCCGAGGCCCAGGCAGGCGCGCCCCCTGGGGAGCAGGAGCCGTGCGTGTGGTCAGAGGGCTGGAGACGGGCCGGGAGCAGGGTCGTCCGCTCCGTTCGGATGCGCTCCGATCTACCGGAGCGTTTCATCAGTGCCTCTCCCCGAAGAGGTGGGGACAGTTACCGTCCCCACTTTGCGGGCGAGAGAATCTTGACGGGGTTGAGTGGAAGGCCAGGACCCACACCCAGATCAGGGATTCCATCCGGACCGCCGCCCCGATGCTGTGCTGCGTTCGCTACATGCGGAAGGAAGGCTGTGAGTCGCCCGGGAGGAGGGGCCCCTGGGGTCAGAGCGGCCGCACTTTCCCGGGGTGAACCCCAGAGGTCCTGCGTGGGGTGCAGCAGGGCAGGCAGAGCCGCCTCGGAGCCACGGGGCGCCCGCAGCCGCAGGCTGGGCTGGGCTGGGACCGGCAGGGGGGAACGCGGGGCAAGTCCCCCAGGTGGGGGGGGCTCAGCAGCCACTGGGGCTGTGCCCAGCTTGTCCAATGTCTGCGCTCGGCCACCACTGAGGAGGCGGTCAGAGCGTGCGGGGCTGGACAGACAGGTCTGGCCCGTTGCTGCCCGGCAACCTTGCGGGAGGGAGAGCGCTGAGGGGGAGGGGAGCCAGACTCACAGCTGAGGAAAAGCGTGCCCTCCTCCGCACCTCCCGCTCCCGGGCAAACCTCCTCCCACGTGGAGCAGCCCATCAGACAGTGCGCTCCAGGGAGCTGTCCCAAAGCCCTCCTGCTACCAGAACACGACTGTCCTGAAGGCTGAAGCTGTCGCCCGCTGCTCTTCCACAGCCGTTTTTAATGAGCACCCACTACATGCTGGGTGCTGCTCTGGTTTTGCAGGGGTGGGTGAGACGCCCGCGGCCCCAGGTCGCACGGAGCGGCGGCAGGGAGGCCGAGCGCGAAGCCGCCCTCAGAGCAGGAGGGCTGTGCTGGGCGGGAGAGAGGCCGCCTCCATGAGGGGCTCTCGGCTTCCCAATCGTCGGTCAATCATTGAGTGATCGGTCATCTTCCTTCCCCGCTGTGCAACGCCTCTCCCGCAGCGAGGTCTTCCTGCAGGTCCCTTAAATCCCTGCCGTGGGCGGGGACAGGTGACTTCGGGTTGGGGGCGTCCCCCAGTGCCCAGAGTCTCCCGAAGCAGTTACCTGCAGGCGGCCCGCCCAGCTGGGGGAGCCCGGGCCGGCTGGGGGCGCACAGCGGCTTCCCCACCCGGACACAGGGAAGAGCGAGCGGGTCTCTGACTGGCCACTGCTGCCGGAAGGCAGGCCAGCCTGCGGGGCGTCCCCTGGGAGCGGAGCCAGGCCTCGGTCAGAGGGACAGACCGGCCTGCCTCTCCTTCCTCCCCGCAGAGAAAACAAAGAGGGCAGCAATTAGCGCCTTCAGCCCTGGTAAAAGAACCCCGCGGTGGGAGTGAAGCCGAGCTGCCCAGCTGAAAAGCTACAAAAAGAGGACTGGGTGGGTGGGCCCAGCGGGGCAGCTGCAGAGGCCACCTGGTCATGTGCTGCTCAGAGTCTGAGAAAAGACACCCAGGGCCTGCGGCTGCCAGGAGCCCCGGTGGGGGGAGCAGGGTGGGGCTGCGGAAGGGCCCCCCAGCTCCCGGTGCTGCGACCGCGCGGGTGCGCAGCTCTGGACGGAGGGGCTGGCCCTTCTCTCCCGCGAGCCCCGAGCCTGAGGCTGTGCCCTTCGGACCGGTGCTTCCTGGCCCTCACGGAGAGATGGCCTCTTCCAGTTTCCCTCAGCATCATAACCGGCGTTTGCATGTGTTTTTCTCTCTCTGCCGCCTGCGCTGCTGCCGTACAGGCTTGGCGGAGACCCCGAGGGAGCCGTTTGCGGAGCGGGTTCTGCGCTGCCCCGTTAGCCCAGGGGTAACCTGGCCCTGCTAAGGATACACTCACCACGGCAGCGCGGGAGGAGGAGAGCGGGCTCCGCGGGCGCACCGGCCGACCGGCTGCGCCCCGGTTGTGTGTGAGCTCACTCACCTACGGAGCTCATTCGGGGTCGGCCCTGCGCTTTCCGGTGAATGCCTTTCATTGCCTATTCCTGATGAGAAAAGTAATGGCTGCTTATTGTGACAAAGTTAGGAAAGTTGCACAGTGCAGAGAACTTAATACGGTTTCCTAACCCAAAGCCCTGGCGCCTGGTGGGCGCCCTTCCAGCCCCGTGTGCGTGTCCGTGCCTGTCACACAGGGCGCATGCCCGCTTTCACGTATGCTGCTTATTAAGAAAGCGTGCGGCCCCTCACGCAGCCTTCATCCTCCCAGCCCGCCCTCGCGGCTCCGAACGGCGACGGGCCGCGCCTTGCTCTCGCTCCGTCCTGGCCGGCTCCCCTCCAACCTGACGAGCCCGGTGCCGCCTCGCGCGGCAGGAACCCGCCTGGGGAGTCTGCGCGCAGGAGCGTCCGCGGGGCAAACCGGCAGGGGCTCCTTCCCGCCAGGGCTAGAACGGGACACATGGCCCTCGCCCCCAGCCCCTGGATGCGACAGCCACCCCAGGGCCGTGTGTGGCCAGGACGCGGCCTCGTCTCTGGCCGCCGCCGGTCGCACCTGGCGCCGCAGGCTGGCGTTTCCCCGTGACATGGCCGCGACTTTCCAGAGCTGCAGTCTCCAGTCCGGCGTGACCCCGTCCTCCCGGGGTCAGGCCCCTGGGGCGGCTTGTACCCAACGTCGCACGCCCCGCGCGGCAACGCGGGCTCCTGGGACGGACCAGGCCTGGGTCTGGGACGCTGTTTGTGGGCTTCAATTCACAAATGCTGGGACGGCCGCGGTGGAAAGAAGGGGAAGGGACTGGTCCAAGAGCACGCACGAATGACCGAGCCACGGACGCGGACCACAGGCAGGCACGGTGGGAGCGGGGCGGGCGGGCTGGGCGGAGGAGGGCAAAGGGGGAAGGTCGGGACAGCTGTAAGGGAAGGACAACAGAGGAAGAGATGCTGTGACGCCAGCGGGAGAGGCACAGGGAAGTTTCTTTCTCAGCACAGACGTCTGCGGCCAGAAGCCCAAAGAGGGACAGACCGGCTGCGCGTCCCCAGACGCCGCCTTTCCCGGCGTCCCGCTCCCTCTGTTCTTGCTTCTCTCGTTTCTTTTCGCCACACCCTTGTACCTCCTCCTCCGAGGCAGGGTCCCCCCTGGAAACCAGCTGACCTCAGGCTTACACGGCCTGCTCTTCCTGCGCTCGGCGCTCCAGCTCCCTCGGCCCGTCCTCAGCCCCCCGCCGCCCGCCCCCGGCCCCCGCACAAGGCGCTGAGCGGCCGCTGGGTCGCCACGCCCTGGGGGCTGTGGGCAAAGTGGTAACACACCCCAGGCTGAATGGGACTTGCCTGTTAACAGTTTCCACAGCCTGACCCGAGGCCAATAATTCCATTTTACAATCAAATGTAGAGTGTGTGTATCTCCACCCGTTTCCAGATTCTGTCTTCTATACAGAAATTAAGCCAGTAACAAAACTTCTTATTCGTCAGGAAACACTGAGCACCGGTTACAAGTGCGAGCAAACCGGGCCCGTGCTCCTGCGGGCCCGCCTTGGCCCTCAGCGCCGTCCCTGCCGCGGGCTCGCAGAGCCACGGCCGGAGGCCCCCGACGGCCCTGACAGGAGACGAGGGGACGTTCCTCTCCGTCGTCACAGTCACAACGGAATTTCAAAAGGCGCTCGGACACCGAAACAAGTGAGGCCCCCGAGAAAGACCCAAGCGCTCCCCGGCCGCCCCCGGTCCACGGGCGGGCCCAGGCCAGGACTGAGGCCCTGCGCGCTGGCCGCCCTCGGCCCGGGCACTGTCGCTGGAGTGCAGGAGAGGCCCGGGTTTTGACTTTGAGTGTCAAATACTAAATGACTGACTCCCACAGCTGTTCCTTTTCACGGAAACCTAAGTACAGCAGGTTTGGGGACCCACCTTCTCCCCGGGTCGGGAAGGTGTGAACTCGCCAGGCACCAGCGACGCACAGGGCGGGGAGCAGCGGGGAGCACGGGACTCCTAACACCGAGTCCCAGACAGCACAGACCTGGCCTGCCCGCGAGGCACAGAGGGACGCGCACAGCAGGGGTGGCACCAAAGGGTTTATTGTGTGCGTGTGGCAGACCCACTGCGCGGCATCATCGTTAGAAAGAGACGAGAGAATCACGCGTGAAGACGGCACTGCCCCGCCCCCTCTGCCACGGCTCGCGCCGCCTCAGCCAGGACTGGAGGCCCGGCGGGCTGGCTGCCGGCACACGAGTTCATGGCTGTATCTTCATCTGGATTTTTAAAGCAGGAGATCATGGATTTCAGTTTCAATTAATATTCTCTGTTTTTATCAGTTCCGTTATGATCTGTAGAATCTTGTCATCTGAGTGGGAGAGGAAAAACAAAGTCATTACTGGCTCATTTCCCAGTGTATACAGATGTCAACAACAGGCACACTTCGTTAAAACGTTCTGTTAACTTAAAATACAAAACTAACAGTAATTACAAAAATTCTGCATCACACCAATTTGCTGCTCTGACAAACAGGAGGTGTGACTGTGACTCGCTCACAGCAGCCACTTTTCACGCGACTGTCTGAGGGGAAGGGTGCCCGTGCCCGGGCGGAGGCCAGGTGCGGCACGGGTTCGAATCCCTGCGGCCGCCGGCTCAAGTCACTGGCCGACGCAATGTGTTGCCCTACAGATGTGGTCTTAATTATCGCTGCACTCACACCCACTGTGACAAAAAGGAGGCTAAGGCCTGAGGGGTGATGCTGGGTGACTGTTAGTCCTTCATGAGGAAGTACGTATTTCAAAAGCCCTTCAGACCACAAGTCTGCTGACTCTCCGCCTGGGTCAGGTGCTCCAAGGCCGAAGGCCTGGCTCAGAAGGCGGGGAGGGTCAGGCCTCCCTGGGGGGACTGCCTGGGGACTGTTGTCTCTCCTGTTGTCTTTGGGGGAAGGAAGCAGAAGACCTTAACAGGAAGTGCATTCACAAAGGTGTCAAGAGGGGATGAAGGCCGCCTCCCACAACAAAGGGACGGTGTCTGTCAATCAGACAGACAACAGAGGCTCCTGGGGAGGTTGGTTAGCAGCTGCTCGGATGTTGTGGCCTCCTCACCCCGACTCGGGGGTTAGGACTGAGGGTCCTCCCTTGCCCCGCAGGCTCCCTAAGAGGCCAGCTGGGTGCGAGTGGGCACCGCGGGGCCCTGTGGTCAGGGGCCAGGCCCAACGGGCTGCGGGGGCATAAGCAAGGCCCCCTGGTGGCCGGGAGTCACCGCGGGCCCACAGAGAGCCCGGTTCTCCCTGGGGGAGGGCAGGCCGGCTGAACACAAGTGACGAACTTCAGTTACTTCTTCGTCCAAAGCTCAGCACCACGTCCCAGCCCTTCTCCCTAAAAGTCCAGAGAGAGAGGGCACCAGCGCCCTTCCCCGGCCTCCCCAGCACACACCTGTGCCCCCCTCAGGCGAGCTCTGCTCCGACTTGTTTTACAGCCCACTGTGCCCCCTGCAGAGTGGAGGCTGCTCCTGTCCTTCACGCGCCCCCGCCCCCGCCCCGAGGCTGTGGTAACGGCAAAGCTCCCGGAGGGGGTGCGGGGCGCACAGGCCTGCCCGGCTTCCAGCAGCCGGGAAGACCGCAGGGCGAAGGCCACGCAGCCACATCCGGCTGCACCCCAGCCCGCGGCCGTGAGGACTGACAGGGCAGTTGCTGAATGCAGTCACCATGGACCCATCACCCGATTCTTAAAACCATTAGAGCAGAAAAAGCAAATTTAAGTGCTTCCTGATGTGAAGCAAGGGGAAGTCTAGCACCAACCAGAAACAATCGTTTTCCTGAAAACCTGATTCTCATCAAGCCTTTAGACAGAACTACTGGTTTGCATGAAACAGAACAGTGAATTGCGTTAACTCAGCGTATGAAGACGCACCAACCACATCCTGAATGTGGGAAATGCTACCCAGAAAACAGCCTAGTTCACAACGATCATTTCATTCAAAAGGCAGGGAGATGGCGCTGGGGAAGGGCCATGGGTCAGGCGAGGGCAATCCTGCCACACGGCTGCAGCCACCCCCCACAGAGGGGCTCCATGCGCCCCGCAGGCCTCGGGCCGCGGACGTGAGCAGCTGCCAGGGCCCCCTGAGGACTCCTGGGCGCCTGGCCCGCCCAGGGAGCCTCGGTGCCCATCGCGCATGCTGGGCAAAGGTGCGCGCGGGTTCGACACGGACCCAGGCTCTGCACTTGCGAGAAGGGCAGGGAAGCAGGCCGGAGCCCCCCGGACGGGCCCCCACTCTTGTTTTCTTGGACCCCAGTAGCCGTGGTCCCAGGCAACCGGTGTGCCGATGGGCAGCACAGCTGACAGTGCTCAGTCTTACCACCCTCCGTCCTGCGAGGTGGCCGGAAGTTTAGACGTGATTCGAAGAGAAAGGATAAACTAAAGGAATCTTAGGAGAATCGTTAGGCTGTGAGTCTGATGGAATTCAGCGTTAAGTACATTTTATTAAAACAATTTTTAATCACTTGGAATGAAAGACTTCACTGTGCTGCACAGTGTACTCCAGTGTTTAAAAGCAGTGTTTAAAAAGCAAGTATTTGATTTCCTACCAACATTAGAATCAAATACTTACTTTCAAGGGACATCTTAGGATTTTCGAGCTTCTTTCGGAGGACGGAATCAATGAGGACTCGGAGCTGCTTAAAAATGACCGCTATCTTCACAGGGGCCTGTGGGGAGAAGACGGCCCACCGGCGCGGCCGCTCCCAGGCGGGGGGAGGCGTGCCAGCGGACCGACGAGGTCAGTGTGCGTGCCCACCGCCTGTCCTGGCACACGGGGGCCTCCTTACGGGACACTAGGGAAAAACACAGGCAATCACTTCCTGTAGCTACGCTGCGCTAATCTCAGTTTCCTTACTAAGAATCCATACGTCTGACAAAGTTTTATGTACTCACTGTTAAGTATACGATTGAGTGATATTTAGTAAATTGGCAGAGCTGTGCGATCCAGTGATAGAACCTTCCCACCACCTCAGCTTCTCTGTGAACACCGCCCGTCCGGTGTATTTACGTCTCCCGTCTCAGACACTCAGCTCCCCTGGCGCACCCAGGGGCCTGCGTTAGACCTGCTTAGTGCAGCCGGTCAGTGCTGACGGGCTACAGAGAGAGAGCCTCCTGGCCGGCGGCCGGGTCGGCCCAGCTCTTCCAGGGGTTTCGACAGCGGTGGAAGGGGCACGGTGTGGGGCCGGGCAGTTCTAGGTTCAAGTCCTGCTCTGCCGGAAGCAAGCCATGAAATCTCGGAAAGCTCCTTTAGCTCTCACTGAATGCACGTGCCACGCCTATGGAACAAAAACTAAGCCACCGAAGGCCACAACGCACAGCGAGCTGGCCTGTTACTTGAGATGAATGCAGCCTATAACAATGATATAATCCAATTCTCAAATTTAACACATGTAAGAAAAGATAAAATAACCCACTTTAAGTCAAATTACAGTAAAAAGTTAGGCAGATGCCAAAACACTGTAAACCTCCCTCATCCACGCTGGGAGTGGGATTTTAAGACAATCACTAAAACCAGCTGACGCGCGCACCTGGAAGCAGATCCAGCCGTCCACTGAGACAAGCCGCTCCCGGTGCTGGACTTCGATGTCGCCGCCGAAGAGCAGAACTGGAAAAGGCGTTATCAGGGTGGTTTCCCGCAGGTACACTCTGGCATACCTCACCTGTGCGGGGAGAAGGAGGGAAGAGACTTCACGGCCTAGAAACCTAAGGACGCCACGCCTCCGCATCACGCGAGCACGGCTCTGGAACTTGGAGCACACGGAGGCTTGCGACGCTGCTGTCACAGGCTCGTGTACGCGGCTGCCGCCGCCGCCACCTGTGCGCTTCCGCTCTCCACCGGCGCGGCACACGCCCACCGCGCGTGCGCACAATGCAGCTCGTTCCTGCATCGTTACCTACGAATCATTATTGCTTTCCATTGGAACAACTGTCAACCTGCTTTTGCCCTGCCCTGTATACCCTGAGCATAAATGAAACTGTCAACAAGCAATTTTACAATGTGAATGCTGTTAAATAATCAATGTAGAAATAGAGTTATGCTGAAGTTCCAAGTTTCTGGTTTCTAGACCAGTGTTTGGCTACGGCGGTTAGTTGTTTGACATTTCTCGTGGTTGACAATTACGTTTGACGCTGGGCTTGAAATGACGGCTCCTTGTTACTTAAACAAGCTGGTTTGGGCGGCTGTTTTAGTCGTAACCCGTAAACATCTGGCATTAAGTCATCTTACGGTTTCACGGTCACTCCACCTGTGAGTCCTCCCACGACCCCCTTTGGAAATGCGGCTGTGGGAGACCGAGCCGGCGCCTTAGCGAAGGCTCGGGGCCGGCGCGTCGGGAAACGCCATCTCCTTGCTCCACGTCTCTCTGCTCCAAGCGCTAACTCACCGCGGAGCCCTTGCTCTTCTTCTACTAATGAACAAGGACTGCTGTCCATTGAACGCCTACATGCACCTTGACTTCAAACACGAACGGAACGAACAGCTCGATTTGAGGCCCAAACGCCGTGCTGGCGCTGTCAGGAGGGACTTCTGGACCCCGCCCCAGCGCCAAATTGGGGCGGGCGCTCTTTACCTTCTCCTGGAACAGGAGCCAGCCGTAGGTCTGCAAACCCCGGTTCACCGAGGACGGGTGCACTTGTGCCTTGCCTTGGGCTGTCTCCACGACGCATGCCAGCTTCTCTGTGACATCGACGGATTTTGCACAGATGATCTTCCCCACGTTGTCATAGAGCCCGGCGGCCAGAACGGCTCTGAGAAGGGCGACGTCTTGGAAGGACAGGGGCTGCGAGGCCCTGCTCCCTTCCGTGCCATGAGCAGGTGTGGGTGACGAAAACCCCGCTGCCCTCACCAGCTTCATCAGCTCCTGCTTCACATCCTGCGGGGTTTGTGGGAGGAAGAGACAAGGTCGTGGCTGATTACAGCAGAGAAAGCACCCGATGGCCTTGCAACTTCTATCGCTGTTTCCCATCAAAACTGGGAAGATGTCAAATGGTCACTCACTTCGCTACAGCCCAGGTTAAATCAGAGAGGAAAAAAGATGCTGGAAAGCCAGGGACTAACGAGTCACCTGTTTCCGCCGCCCAGAGGCTTCGGATGTCGAAAACACGCGGGCGTCTGAAATGGGAGGTGACGAAGGGTGCCCCACACTCCGTGGCTCAGCACGCTCCCTCCTGGGGAGCGCCCAGGGAGCGGCGCTGGGGGCCTGGGGAAGCCGGCCCGGCCTGCAAGGGCCTCCTTCACGTGCCTCTGGGAGCCTTACTTTCGTTTGCTAAGAACTTGAAGCAACTTCACTTAACTAAAATGCTTACCTACGTAAAGGGGGACAAGAATAGGGCGGTGGAAGACGATCTGACTTTGGGGTGGGTGCCCAGAGCGACGTACGGATGACGCATCACAGAAAGGTACACCCGAAACCCAGAGGGCCACTGGCCAGCGTCACCCCATACATTGAGTGGGAAAACAAACAAATGACCAAATGAAATTACTACTTAAAATCTTTTTCTACTTTCGGTAGTGCCAATCAGCTAAAATTCTACAGGAAGGACCGCCCGTTCTTCAAAGCAAACAGGATACAAGTGATTACAAGGCAACGTTTACATTTAGGATTTCCGTTAGGTGTCTGGTCTGGGGCTTAAGGGGCTTGGGTTCCGGGGGAGGAAAGACCAGCAGCAGACAGCCGCTGCTGCGCGCAGGGCTGGGGTGAGACAGACAGCGGGCAGCCCCAGGGGGCGAGGAAAGGCTCGGGGCGGGGGGCGGGGGAGGGGGAGCGGCACCTGGGAGGCAGGGCGCGGGGGGGGGCAGACACAGGGGTGGGCGGCGCCGCAGCGGGTCCCAGTCAGCGGCCCAGAGGCGCTCGTCTTTGGCTGACCCCTGCACCTGCTGCGAGAAGAATGAGGCCTGTTCCCCTAGAGGAGTCCCTGCTGCCGTCCCGGCTGTGACAGTGAGTCACAGGGCAGGCAGGGGCCGCACTGCGTGGGGGAAAGCGCGTCTGACCTTCTGGAGCGTGAGCATAGGAGGAGGGACGCCACGAGGCAGGCCCGGCTCGCACTCAGGCCCCTCACAGCCAGAAGGCGCCCCAAGCCGCTCCCTGTGCGCCAAGAACAGGCCCGCTGTCTGGGGAGGGGCCCGGCTCGCCCACCCTGCCTCCCCGCTTCGACTCCACTCGGCTTGTCCTCCCCGTAAGCCTGGCCCCGGACAGCAGCCCGAGCCCGAGGGTGGACGGAGTCCCCGTTTCCCTGCCTCCGGGCCTGGTGACGAGCCTCGTCCCGCTCCGCTGCAGGGTCCGAGAGGCCCCGATGCCCCCCCACGGCCACCACCCCACAGCGCAGCCGGGCCCTGGCTAAGGCTGAGGGAGGCGCAGCTGCATCCAGAGGCAAACGAGTGATTCCGAGCCTGGGGCAGGAGGTGCCAAGGTGGCCCAGACACACTGTCATTCCCAGGACAAGGCAGCGGCCCGGCGGCCAGGCTGTGTGAAAAGGGCTCGGGGAGCCCCGAGGGGCTCTCACCGCCCAAAGGGGTGACAAGCTGGGGATCAAAACTAGCCACCAAGGGCGGGAACCCATCAAATACATTTAAGTCACGAGGTTCATAATGATTTTTATAAAAAACGGTGTTCGTTGATTGCCCAGGGGAACGCTGGGGAACCAACTCGTTACGGAGACTGCTAGCGGGAGGACCCCCCCTCCCCCGCCCCCGGCCACGGCCGCGCCGCGGGGCCGCCCCGGACTCACCTCCAGCGTCAGCAGCGCGGTCCGGCTGAGGAAGTGCCTCCGGCAGTAGGCCATCTCCGCGCGGTAGCCCCCCTCCTGCCGCGCGCTCTTCCACCTGCAGAGACGCAGCAGGCGCCGCCTGGGTCCTGGGGGGCCCTCCCTCAGGGGCCCCGCCCAGCGCGCTCGGTCATCGCCGCCCCAAAGAGGGTCTTGCTGGTGGGAGCTACCAGCTGTGTTTAAAATTTCAACCACAACATGCATTTTTCCTGCTTACGTAAAGCAGTAAATTACCTTCAAACATCAGTTAATACACACATAATAATATGAAATAGGCTGCTCTTAAGTTTTAGAAAGGATTCTAAAACTATGAACCTGTGAAATAACTAATTTCATCTTGGTGTACTCAAATAAGTTTCAATCTTAGTTACGAATCTAAAGCTTTCAGTGAAAGTGGGCGATACACGCTGCACAGCAAGCCGCCCCACCGGCAGCCCCGGGCCCCCGCGTTACCCGAGGTAGGCGTTGTAGGTGGTCAGGTGGTCCGAGTCCGCCACGGCCAGGGCCGCCTTGGCCAGGTCCGCCTCCTCCTTTCGCCCGATCGGGGTGGTGAAAGGAGACTTCTCCGTCATGACAGCGGCGAGCGTCGCCTACCCACGGAAACCAGAGGACCTCCCGTCAAAGGGGGCGCCCCAGGAAACAGCCGCGCTTTGAAGCCGCTTGCTGCTGCTTTCCGGTGGCCTCACACTCTACGACCGCAAACGTGCTTTCATTTTAAGGAGTTGCTTTTCGTTCCATTTTATGGAATCTAAAAAAATACATCACTCTATCTTTATGCCATCTTTGTGAGACAGACGGCAACAGTGTCCCCGGAACCGGAGAGGACCGAAGCTGAGCGGGCAGCCGTCTGTCACAGCGGGTGGCTGTCCCAGAATCGTCGCTCAAACCCCGTGACTCCGGCTGAACCCCCTCCCCCTGAGCGCTCTGCAAATACAGGGCGGGCGAAAGCAGGCTCACGGTTGTTCAGTGGAAAACAGTACAACGGTTAATAAATAAGGACACAAGAATAAGTTCTGTTTCACATACAACGGTAAATCTGCTTTTGCACCATGCTGTACTTTAAAAAACTGTACCTTTACTGTGGACGTTATTGCCTAAGCCCCCACGTCCCCGACCCCTCTGCCCGCTTACACTCGGCCCCTCCCCGCCCTCCAGCCGTCCCCGCGCGGCTGTCCGTGCCGTGGGCTGTGCACACCGGTCCTGCGGCCGGTCCCCGCCCCCTGCCGTCAGTTCCACGTGTCCATGCCTGTGCTTCTGTTCTGTCCGTTTAGTTTGTTCATTAGGTCCCACACGAGTGGGACCATATGCTGTTTGTCTCCCCTGCCTGGCCTGGTTCACTCAGCATAACGCTCTCCGGGTCCGTCCGTGCTGCCCCGAAAGGGTGAGGTGCCCTTCTTTGTTTGGGCCGAGCAGACTCCCACTGTGTCAACGCGCCACGGCTTTTCTATCCACTCGTCTACCCGTGGGCACTCGGGCTGCCCCCAGATCTTGCCTATTGTGAATACACTGCTAAGAACATAGGGGTGCACAGGTCCTCTCGAACTGGAGTGTTGGAACCCTTAGGGTATATTCCTAGAAGTGGAATTACTAGGTCAAAAGGCAAATCCATTTTTAGTTTTTTGAGGTCACTCCACACTGTTTTCCACAGCGGCTGCCCCGTCCGCAGTCCCACCCCCAGGGCAGCAGGGCCCCTTCCCCACGTCCTCGCCAGCACTGGTGGTTTGTTGATTTACTGATGATGGCCATTCCGACAGCTGTGAGATGGTAGCTCACTGTGGTTTTAATTTGCATCTCTCTGATGATTAGTGCACTGAGCATCTTTTCATATGTCTCTGGACCCTCTGTATGTCCTCTTTTGAGAACTGTCTCTTCAGGTCCTTCGCCTATTTTCTAACTGGGTTGTCTGTCTTCCTGGCATTGTGTTGTACAAGCTGCCCATGCGTTTTGGAGATCACAGCCTTGTCTGAGGTGTCAGCGGCGTCTGCGTTCCCCACAACCGAGCTCGCTTCCCACGCTGCGGACGGTCTCCCCTGACGACCTGCGCTGTGGCTACAGCCTCTCAGGCCAGCCATTGGGCGGAGGCCACTGTTTAGGCCCAGTAGGACTCTGGTGCGGTCTGTTTCTAGTGCCGGAGAGAGAGACGCGGGAACGTCACGCGCTCTCTGCCTTGCTTCTGTGGCCACCTCGACGGGCTGTCCCGGGGCCGGCAGAGGCCCCGGGCTGGGCACTCCTGAGACGGCGTGAGGAGCGCTGCGGGCACCTGCCGGCCTCTAGGACCGTTAACCCCTGCAGCGCGAGTGCCTGAGGCTGACCGAAGGCGCAGGCCCAGCCCGGGGAGGGAGGAAGAATGCCTGCCGCACACAGCAGAGCCGCCGAGGCAGGCCCACTGCGGCGGCTTCCCCCTCCGCGCGCCGCAAGCTCGGCTCGGACGTGCACACCCGGCCGTTTAGTCAGGGGCCGGGACCCCTTTCCTTTAGGCTGTCACATAAAAAATGACAACAGCCAACAAAATAGCCATCCCGTGTGGATCAATCAAAATTAGACATATTTTTTGTCAGATCAGCAAAAATATATTTTTCGGTGTGCCACACAGAATTTGGTAATTATCCTGCGTGGGCCGAGAGATAAGAGGTTGACAATCACTGGTCTGCTACATGTTCACTTGAAGAGACGCTTCAAGTGGGAGGTTTCACAGCAAAAGTCTGGACAAGCCGAAGGCGCGCATGTAACAGCGCCTGCAAGCTATCAAAGTGAATGGATGAGCATGCTTTCTTGTGTGCAAAATGTAATAGTCAAAACTTCTCATTTAGCATTCAAATCTCTTGCATTTCAACGTTAGTACAGACATTCTATTTAGCTAGAAAATTAAAAGCTAAAAACTATTCCCAAACTTAGTAATTTCTCAGCGCAAACGGCGTTTGAAGCGGAGCAGCGGCAGCGCCGGTCCTCTTACCACAGGGTCCAGGCAGCCAAACACAGCCCCGAAGATGAGCATCTTGCCGATCTTGACGTTCACAGGCAAGGCCGCGAGGTGCTGGCCCAGGGGCGTCAGTTTGGGCTCGTTTGGTTCACAGGCTCCAATTTTCCGGAGTGAATGCATCGCGTTGCTGATTACTTGAGGCTGAGGAGGGTCTAAGGCCTTGGAGAGGAAATCTTCAGGAGACCCAAGGCTGCATTTCTGCAGAGTGAGAAAGAGCAACCGAGTCAGCGCGACCCACAGCGAAGGCCAGGCTGGAGCGACCCCTGAGCTCGGGAACACCCTAAGCGCAGAGGGTGCCGTCTGCGCGCGGGCGGCCCCTTCCCACAGCCAGCAGTGCACGCATGCGCGGGTGGAGCCTTACGGAGGCGGGTGTGCGATAAGACCTTCCCGTCCATATTTTTAGTTTCTGCATTCCTCGTTTTTATGGAAAGGAAATCTAAGAACCGAGGGATGGCACAGCTCGTTGAGACTGGGGAGCCCTTGGGTGGGCCAGGGTTTCTCAGTGCTGGCTCCACTGTCTCCTCGGGCCAGACCGAGGGCTGAGGGGTGGTGGGGGCCCCGTATAAGGTTTCGCAGCCTCCCTCCTGCCCCCAAAATGCCTGCAGACGGAGCCCTTGTCCCCTGGTGAACAATGACACCCCCGCTGGGCATGGCCCATGCAGGACGTGAGACTGTGTCCTACTCTGTGAAGCGGGAGTGCCTGGGACAGAACTAACGCGCAGCAGGAGGGGCTGTTTATTTACAGCCACTAAACCCAGTCCGTGAACCCCTAGGCAGGGGTGTCCAACCACGGCCGGCGGGCCACACGCGGCCCAGGACCGCTATCGAGGCAGCCCGACACAAAATCGTCAATGCACTTGAAAATCTTTTTTTTTTTTTTTTTTGCGTATCAGTTTTCGTTAATGTTTGTGCACTTAATGTGTGGCCCAAGACAACTCTTCTCCTTCCAGTGTGGCCCAGAGACACCAAATGGTTGGACACACCCGAAAGTCATACAAGGCAGGATGAGGTTAGGTCTTCATTTTTTTCCCTAGCAGGGGTGAAGAATAACAAATTCATCGGAGTTCCTGTGGGATTACCATAATATGAAGACACAGTTCCTCCAAAGGCACACGTAAGATTTCAGGAACGGAATAGTCCATAAAGCCTTCAAATCTGAAAAACAGCAGCAAACGTCAGTCACGGCTGCGGCCCCCGCCCCCCCGCCCCCTCCCCTTCCTCCGCACAGACCCCGGGATTTCACGGCAGCGCTGCTGCGCCTACCTCTCCCTCGTGTACAGCCGGAAGCAGATGCCCTCGCGGACCCGCCCGGCCCGGCCCTGGCGCTGCAGAGCGCTGGCCTTGCTGATGAACGTCTCGACCAAAGAGCTCATCTGACTGCTCTCGTGGTACCTACAGGGGCGGGCGAGGCAATGTAAGTACGCAGCTGACTGAGGCCGACTCTGGAGGAGCTGGGACACTTGCCTCTTGGAATTAAGTTGAAGACAGACCAGAAAGAGTCCATTATCGCTGTGGACCAACACTTTCCAAATTGAGCTTTAAATTTATACAATTTAGCCAGTGCTGCACACTAGCTCGCATACCGTACATTAAAAGCTCTGGCACAAGGAAAACCGGCCTAACTCGGCCTTTCCCACGTCAGTCTGGCCATGGAGCCTTCCCGACTGCGGTGGGATGTCTCTTCGTTATGCAACAGGGGCTCCCAGAACGAGCTTTGCGACATGCCTCAGTGAACACTGTGACTCGCCACACTTTTCCCAGGACACAGTGAGGCTCTGAAAACGCTTCTCCAAAGGTGCAATTTTAGAACTCAGGGGTTTGCCGTGTTCTGGATAGCCACGCTTATTTCCAAGTGGCGCTCGAGTCTCCTAACTCACGCGCGTGTGCACCGATGGCGACAGACCGCCAAGGTGGCTTCACCTGATGACGCGACCCAAGCATCCGAACTGCTACAGGAGCAGGGGCTTCTCGGCGAGGATCCAGCCGTGAGGACCGGCAGTGCCGGCCACTGCGCTGGGCGCTCCCCACCGCACGGTTTTCATTTCCCTCTTTGATGTGTGAAGAGGTCGATGGCTATATTGCATTACTTAAGATTATAACCAAAGATTTAAATCTAACTGTAATTCCAAAATCCATACTATTTTTTTATAATCTCCCAAATAATGCTTTTCTAAACCAATTTACTTCACAAGCCAGCATATTTATAAAAATGTACGTTCTGAAAATTTTCTCTGAGAGTGCTTTTCTAGAAGTAGCATTACACTGGCTGCTTATGGGAAAGGCAATAGCATGAAATTCGATATTTTAAAGTTTCTATAGTTTTGCTTTGGGCAGAATTAGGATATTTGAAAACTTCCTTCTATGATTCTGTGGCTTCTCCTAAGAATTCAAGAGCCCCACACTCTTTTCAGGTTGAAAACGTTTTGATTTGGAAGAATCAAACTTACTTATTCTCTTTTGTTCTTCCAGCATCAATTACAAACACAACATCTGGAATGGTGATTCCCGTCTCTGCGATATTTGTTGCGAGAACAATCTGAGGGGGAAAAAGAAACCCAGAATCCTCAGGTAACAACTTGCAGCAACGTGCTGTCACGTGCGACTTCACAGTTTGCGTGAATGAATCTAGAACGTGAACTTCAGCCCTGGCTGGTGTGACTCAGTAGGCTGCGCACCCTCTCGCGACCTGAAGGGCCAGAGGTTGGTTCCGGGTCAGGGCACAGGCCGGGGTTGCGGGTTTGGTCCCCGGTCGGGGTGCCTACAAAAGGCAACCAGTTGATGTTCCTCTCTCACATCAGTGTTTCCCTCTCTTTCTCTGTCCCCTCCCCCTCTCTAAAATCAATAAGCCATGTCCTTGGGTGAGATTAAAAAACAAAAAAAGGTGAATTTCAATTAGGTTTACAAAAATTTACAATCTATTTGTTATTGCCGTGCAACTTGAATTTGCTCTAATTAGTTTCATCACCTCAGCTTGCTCATTCAAGTTACACTTTTCATTCCAAAAAAATATCATTTCCTTAATCCTCGTCAGCACCTCAACAACAACTGAGGAGCAGTGGAAAGCGGGCAAGGCCATGTGCACTGACCCGACATCTTCTAACTGTGCTCCGAGAGCCCCCGGGCCCTGGGGCCGCGCCCCTTTGAAAGAGGAGAGAGTGAGGCGGTTGCCCAGGGCCCCAGGCAGCGTAGCCGCTCAGAGCTCCGGGACAGGACCAGGCCCCGGCATGGGAGCCCGGGCTCTGCCTGGGAGCTGGTTGTCCCCACGGCTCCTCCCCGTGCTCTCTCTCCACCCCTTCTGACAGAGCGTTCAAAACCGGAGAAGCTCCCTTTGGCAAGTATCTCTTCACTCATAATCCCAAACAGAGGACACAAGAAAAATGCTGAGATTACCTGCCCCTTAACCTAATGGTCTATGTATTATAAAACAAAAACAAACAAAAAAACCCCCAACCAAACCAACCAAACCACAATCAGGGAGGAACAGCCTGGAAAACAACAGCGAATTCTGCCTGGACTCTGACAGCTGCTGACACCCAGCGTGCCTTGCGATGCTTCCTGGGGGGCAAGCCGTGGTTTTTCTTTTTACAAGCAACGTCCATGACATATTTTCCAACTACCATTCCTCCTAAAAAGCTCGTCCCTTCGATAACACGTTAAGTGTCCAAAGGCTTTCATTTAACGTTGGGTTCGCTTCCACGTGCAGCTGCCTTCGGCGGACAGTGCGGACGTGCCCCTGCGACCCGCCCCGACCGGCCCCACACACTGGCCGGACGCAGCTTTACCTTCCGGACTCCTGGAGGGGGCAGCGCGAATGCCGCGGCTTGGTCTTGGGTTGAAAGAATGGAATGCAGAGCTATCACTTTACATCTGAAAGTTAAAACCATAGTTCTTAGCAAGACTTTCTCTTTAGAAGACACTGCAAAGGACAACAAAATGTATTTGCAAATACGAAGCAAATTTAACTACATTTTTTATCATGAAAAATTTCACACACACACAAAAGTTCTGATAATGGCACAATGAAACCCCACATACTCATCAAAGAGTAAAAAGCTTAACTTGAATAAATCACAGGGAACACAGGGCTCATAGGGCTTTAAATGTTCTGAGGCTGACGCGGCAACGGCGAGCTGTGCCAAAGCCGAAGCCGGTGAAGCAGGCGCCCGCCCACTCGGCGTGGGGGGGTCTGCACGGCCAGAGGGCTGGGAGGGGCTGCTGCCCTGCTGCCGCCCACGGGACCCCTCTGCTCCATCACACAGAAAACAGAACAGCCCTGGCGGGTGCGGCTCAGTGGACCGAGCGCTGGCCTGCAAACCAAAAGGTCACCAGCTGGATTCCCAATCAGGCCACAGGCCTGGGCTGCAGGTTTGGTCCCCTGTTGGGGGCGTGGGAGAGGCAACCACACATTGATGTTTCTCTCACATCGATGTTTCTCACCCTCTCTTACTCCTTTCCCCACTCTCTAAAAGTAAATAAATAAAACCTTAAAGAAGAAAACAGAACAAATGCAGAAACTGAAACTAAAATTTTTAGTAGATAAAATCTTGTAATAGAAATGTTACAATAAAAACAAATTTGCTCCCCAAGGACAACTTTAACTGAAGGCAAAAAGACTTTGAAAGCTCCGATCAAGAGTTTTCATGTATGGCCCCGGCTGGTGTGACTCAGTGGATTGAGTGCCAGCCTGCGAAATGAGAGGCCTCCGGTTCCATTCCCAGGCAGGGCGCATAACTGGGTTGCGGGCCAGCTCCCTAGTTGCGGGTGTGTAAGGGGCAACTTGATATTTCTCTTCCACATCAATGTTTTTCTCCCTTTCTTTCTCCTCCCCTTCCCCTCTCTCTAAACATATATAAATAACATCTTTTTTAAAGAGTTTTCATGTATGAAACCTTTTTCTATTTTAAGATCATGGGGAATATAGTAAGATTTGTAGTTACCGTTCAGAAGAAAACCTTCTGTCAGTCGACAGGAGATCATACAACTGCTGAATGTGAGCAAGGCCGGGTAAAAAGATCAATACTGCTCCTTCAATGTTTCTGAACTGGGGACTTCTATCTGCAATTTCAAAAAGGAGAAGCTGTTCAAAATCAGAAGAAAGATAAGGGACAGCACAGAAGGCATTGATAAAACGCCTCCCGTGAACAGAAAAGTCTTATCAGAACAGACGGCAGCACACTGGGTGTTGACGCACACCTAAGTACGTGAGGAGCTCCAAGACGAGGTCCAGGTTGATCTTCTGAGGGTTCATGTAGAGGAGAGCATGCTGGGTGCGGCTGCTGTACTTTTGGTAAAAGGGACTTAGTTCAGCACCTGCATCAGTCTGAGTTGGGATGTATTCCTAACAGAGACGCAATCAGAAAAAGATAAAAAAAAATAGTTAAGTATTTTTAGAAGACAAAAAAGGAAAAGATCTGTTTTTCTCACTGTCACCATTATTATTTTGTTACAATAGTGCCAGAGCACGTTTAACCATGGAAAATGGAACAGAGTGTCACCGCTCTCCTGGAACTCAATTTCATCCCGTCCCCCGAGGCGCAACAAGGCCCTCCTCTCGGCACAGATGTGCAAAGCCATGATGGGAAGGCAGACGCACAGGTGCTGCTCTGTGGCAACGGAGGGCTGGGGGAGTGGGGTGGGGGGTGAGTCGGCTTCCAGGCTGGGACGCGCTGCTGCCCTGCGAGTGGTTTACACCTGCCTCCTTCTTCCCAGGTTTGACTTTGGTTGCTGAGTCCCAGGCATCTCTCCTGAATACCTTTAATTTTCTAAAGTCTTTCTTTAGTTTCTGAATTCTGTCTCTGAGATTTCAGGGACAGACTTTAATTTTTTGCTTTCTTGGTTTGCCTGCTTGCTTAAAGGACAGAGTGACTTTGTGCTTCTATGAGACTGGGTCTGTGCGTGAAGTACCGTGGGCACAGCAAAGACAGCAGGTGTAGGAGCACCGGATCGCACACAGGGTGGCCCAGCTTTGTGATGTTTCCAAAAACACGCCTGAAGCGCACTCTCCAGGGAGCACTGTGCCGGCCCTGGACGGCTCAGCTCCAGAGCCGAGCTGGGCGCAGCCCGGAAGGAGGCTGCCAAGAAAGCCGCTGGCCAGTTCCCAGCGTCCGCCTCGTCCTGACCTGCTACAGGGCCCAGGTACCGCCGAGAGAAGCGTCACCAGCTGGCTGCTCAGTCACGGAGCGCCGCTATGGAACAGCACACATCGCCCCCTGCCCCCTGCCCATGGTCCTCGATTCTGGGTGAGAGCCGCTAAGGCCCAGAGTAGTACAAGACAACAACACATCACGGCCTGGGCGCCGCGAAACAAAGGAGAAAGAAGGGCCTTTCGAACATGCTCTCAGCCACGCCCGTGCCCCTTCTACCAGCGTCCGCTCGCGTCCCCGTGCCGGCGTGGCTTCAGGACCCTCGGGGCAGGCTACCCGTAGCTCTGGGGAGCGCTGTCTGTCAGCCTTCCAAAATGTTATCTTTTTACCTGGTACTTTTTTATTCCCCCTCCTTTGCTTGTAACATTTATGGTTATTTCTTCTTCCTCCTCCAGATATTTTTGACAATATTCTGAGTCTTTCTCCAGTACAAAGCCTGTTTCTTCTACTATATCTTCAAGATAAAAAACCTGCATAGAATAAGGCATGAAAATAGTAAAACTTATATTCATTTCAGTAAATATCCTTTTATTTTTTTATTTTTACTTTTAAAATATTTTATTTATTTATCTTTAGACAGAGGAGAAGGAAGGAAGGCAGGGAAACATCCCTGTGTGGTGGCCTGTCATGCGCGCCCCCCACTGGGGACCTGGCCCGCAACCCTGGCCTGTGCCCTGTGTGGAATCGAACCGGTGACCCTTTGGTTCACAGGCCGGTGCTCAGTCCACTGAACCACACCAGCCAGGGCTCAGCGAGTACCTTTTTAAAGAGAACAAGGGGATTGTTACTTTTGAATGTCACCAAACACTAATGTAGAATATTATGAAAACAGCGTTATCTGCATTATTTGGGAGCGAAGCGCTTTGCTGACAAGGATGAGCCTGTCCCCAGAAGCCTCAGGACAAACGGCACTGTGGTGTGTGCTTCTTACGTGTGGAACTGATGAAGAGCTACAGAGGCAGAAAGAGGCTTCAAAGCCGCGCTGGCAGGAGAGGCAGGGCCAGGGAGCTCCCCCCGCCAGCGCCCCTGGGGCACAGGGGCCTCTGCACTGGGGAGGCGCTTGGCGCTCGGCCGGCGCACGGGCCTCTCCGCAGAAGCCTCAGGGCGGCAGCACTGACCCCCAGGCGCCCCGCCACCAGCCCCCCCTGTGGCCTGTACCCCGCTGGGAACGCACTGCTGTCCCCCGCGGGCCCCTGCTGGGCCGCCCGCGGGTGGGCGCTGCTTCCGTTCACTCCTGCTGTAAGGACGCTCACCTCGACAGGGTAGCTTCTCCCTGAAATCCTGAGGACGGGGCAGTGCGTGAAGTACGCGGAGAACTTGTCGCTGTCCACAGTGGCGCTCATCAGGATCAGGTGCAGGTCGGAGCGCTTCTGCAGAATCTCCTTCAGGATGACCAGTAAGAAGTCTGACTGGACACTTCTCTCGTGCACCTAGGAAAAAGGGAACAGACGCGTTCGTTGTACACGCGGCCTAGTAAGGCTGAAACAATCAGACACGCAGTCGCCAAGTTCACCAGTATTTAAACATCGTCAGTGCCCGTGCGGGGAGACAGGAGCTGTGTGCCCAAAGCAGGGCAGGCGCCCAGAACCAGCCACGCAGGCCCCCGCAAGAGGCAGCCAGGAACAGCCGGCCCAGGATGAGCGGCCCCGGCTGCCTGCGGCTGGCTCCACCCCAGCGGGCGCCCTGCGAGTGCCACGGGAAAAGAAAAAGGAAGAATAAAATGGAAACCAGTAAACCACGTGATCTGGGGCTCCGCTGCGAAGAGAAAGCGGCGCTGTCCCCGCCGCCACAGGGCTGAGAGTTTACCCACCCTCTGGAGACGGGCGCCCGGCCAGCAGGGATCTGGCGGGGTCCCTATCGGCTGTCCAGGAAGAGCGCGCCTACGCCCCACCAGCGGGCGCCTGTGGCCGTGTGTGACAGCCGCGGCGCCCTGTCCGCCCGCCCGCCCGCCCCGCTGCGCACGGCAAAGCCGCAGCTCACCGAGGAAACAGAGCGGGGAGCAGGTTTGGTCACTTGTTTGGCTGTAAGGACGGCAACAGTGTTTAATGTTCAGGCTCTGGACCCAACTGCTCGGACCCCTCCTTGGTCTGGCCACTTGCAGCGTGACTTGAGGAAACTTACTCAGCCGTCTCAGGGTCTGTTTCTGCTCCCACAAAACGGGACCCAAACAAGGCAGTGCGCGGCTGTGACAACCCCGTGGGGCCACGGGAAGCCCCTCCGCCGGAGCCCAGCAGCAGCGGGCATGGGCGCTGCCCGCTCTGTGCCGGTGCCCGGCTGGGACGAGGACACCGTGCGGGCCACATGAGAGCGCAGGAGAAGGCGGCTGCCCCCGGGGCTGAGGAGGGGGCTGGAGAGACTGCCATCGTGCTGAGAGCTGAGGGGACTTTGAAAAAAAGAGGCAGGGACCGGATGAGAAGGGAAAAGGTTGTCCCAGGACCCAAGTCCTGCGAAATCATGGTGGGGGGTGGTCAGGAAGAGGGGCAGGGCGCGGGCCGGGAAGAACCTGGAGAGGGGCTCGGGAACCTCAGGACGCTGGGGCAGGGAGCTGAGACCCCAGGGAGCCCAGGAGTGACGGAAGCCTTCTGGGGCAGGGCAGCTGTGGCCCGGGTCTCGTTTTTAAAGGCACCTGGCTCCCGGGTGGAGGATGCCACGGAGGAGAGCGAAACCGAAAGCAGGGCTTCTGACTGGCGGCTCTTCCACTAACTAAAGAGACCGCGGCGGCCTATCGGAGAGCAACCCCAGCGGACACAGGGGCTGAGGCAGCCGGAGAGCAGAACCAACAGGCCCGGGGGTTTTGGCCGCGGGTCTGTGCTTTCGGCGTCTCGGGGCCACACGGGAAGAAGGAGGGCTGTCCTGGGCCACATGCTAAACACACTGTGGCACGTAATCGCAAAAAAGCCTCACAATGTTTTAAATTAACTTATGATTCTGTGTTGGGCGGCAGGTTGGACATTCCTTATGGGGATGCGGGAGAAAGAAAAAGGAATCATCTTGGGGGGTTTTCCTTTGTGGTTTGACCGGGGTATTTATGTCCGCAGAGCAAAAAGGCGATTTCCTGGTGGGTGACACAAATCCGGGGACATCATCAAATACACGGTACTAACACATACTCTGATTTTTAAAAGAGAGAGAAAAAGGAGGCTGGAACATAAAATAGAGCTCATAAAAACCTACACTGTATTGTTAGGGGCAGCTGGGAGAGACGGGCAAAACTCTGGGTGTGGACATACCGGCAGCCAGCGGGCAAAGCTGCGTAACTCACACACTGACCGGAAACCGCAACAAATCCCACCGCCGTCCCGAACGCCGAGGCCGGAAGCGCCACCCCCGGCGTTTTCAGAAAGCAGCTGCGCAGGGCCCACTGACCTCTGCGGCACATCGCTGCCACGCTTCTCTTCAACGGAACGGCGGTTTCAGTGGGCTTTCCTTACTGTGCCGTCCTGCGGGGGACGCTGGGACAATTCAGAAACCCTGTCCACAGACTGCTGCCACTGCACACCAGAAACAGCGTCCCGCAGTTGGTCTGGCTTTTACATTAGCGCGCACCCTGAGAGAGAGCTGCCCAGCAATTTTCTGATAAACCGAGGCTTTGAGAAAATCTGACTAGCTAATACAAATATTTCGACCTACTGTAGCAGTAAAAAGTTCTCATTCTAAACAGACGGATTAGCATTTTGCTTATCTGGGCGCTTGGGGACACTGGCAGAATGCAGGTCTGGGCTGCGCAGAGCGGGGCTGTGCCCGGCAGCTGGCCCGGCGCCCTGCGGCCTGTCTCCCCACCCCCGTCTCCTCAGTGAGGACAGCACTTCTCCCCCGGGAGAACAGGCTCCTAAATAAAGATGACTTCCCATCACTTCCCTATTACCAAACTATTAGGCTATTAAAAACACCCTAACGTTCACCTGTCTGACAACAGGAACATGGTTAAATAAATAGGGGACATCCAAACTGTATACCACAAAGCTACTAAAAATTATGCTTTTGTAGACGAATGACATGAAAGAACTATAAAATACATACATATTATACACATCTATACACAAATTAAATGTCAATGTTGATTTCTTTTATGGGTCACAAGATTAGTATTTTTATTTTCATTTTTCTATTTATCTGTATTTCTAGTATTTCCTAACGAAAAGGAGGAAAATAACACAATAACCTATATATAGTTATAAATTAAAAATCAATGAATGACTGAACTTTCACTAGTGCCTCTGAACTTAGTGAATTAACATGTTCATAAAAATTTTACATCGGAAAAAATTTTTAAATATTTTTTGAATAGAAGTGCAATATATATTATTTCTTCTGGTAAAACTTATGTGCAAAACAAATCAGTTTATGTATGCTAGGTTAGTATGCCATTTAAAGTAATTCTAAAGTGAAACTCTTGGCATAAGTCAATTTAAGTGTGCTTTCAAACCTGATTCAAGTAGGGGTATGTCTAGAGACAAAATGACACAGTGGTGAAGATTCCTCGGTTTTTGTAAGAATCAGAGGAAATCCCTTGACATCTGAACGTGGCCGAGAGGCAGTGAGTGGGCTGGCTGGAGCGCGGCCGCAGCCGAGCACCTGGCCTTGACCCCGCAGGCGCGGAGCTGACAGGCTGTGGGAGCTCACGCAGCTATTTAACGCTCTGCCTCAATTCCTGAGTGGTAAAACAGAGTAAAACACTATCTACACTGGACTGCGGGGGGAGTGAATGAACGTGATATATGGAAAGTCTTTGAGAACAGCATCTAGCATGTAGTGAGTGTTATTTAGTATTTGCTAAATAAATCTGCCCTGGCTGGGGGCGCACCAGAAGCAACTACACAATGATGTTTCTCTCCCTCTCTTCCTCCCTTCTCCTCTCTCTGAAAATAAAATAAAATCTTAAAGTAAGTGAAGTAAAAAATAAGTCAGCAACAGATACATTCGCTAGAGAAAATAAAATAGTTATATGTAAAGTGCCTGGCCTATGTAAGCACAGAGAAAATGTTGGCTAACATTACAAGCAGCATCTTTTTAATACAAACATGTTCAGGACTTCCGAGACCACCACTCCAGAACCTACTCACCTCGTCTACAATAACATGGGACACACTCGTTAGGAGACCGTCTTCCTGGAGCTTCCTCAACAAGACGCCTGTCGTACAATAGAGCAGCCGGGTGGACTCGCCAGCCCGAGACTCCATCCGGATCTGATAGCCGCAAAGGGAGCTCTGCGGGGAGCACACAGGGCGGTCAGATGCTCACACGGGCAGGGACAAGGGCGGGCCCTGCCCCGGGTGCCCCGGGTGCCCCGACTCCGTGCCATGGGACACCACCCCGGTTTCCCCAGGGCCTGCAGCCACAGACACCGGCAGCATTTGTTCCGTGCATTTTAAACAACACAGACCTTTGCTCTTGTCAAAGCGCTGAGCCCAAAAGCTGTCCTGCTCTGTGCCCCACGGTGTGGCCGCGGAAACGTGACCGGGGGTTTCAGACTGAGGTGCGCAGGGGCGGGGCCCGGTGGGGCCCCGCGCGGTCTGCGCGCCCGCCAGGCTCTCACAGGGGCTGCTTCCGGGCCAGGCAGCGGCCAGCGCAGCGGCGGGAGGCCCCGGAGTCCCTCCTGTCCCCACGTTTTCTGCCTCACTTCCTCCTCAGACACTCCTGGGTCATGTGTGCAATGGCTGCCACTGCCTTCAGTAAGCTCCTTGTAAGACAAACTGACATTTTTTCCTCTTCTATTCCATGAGAGAAACCCAAATAATTTGCTACGTAAAACAATTTTTAACGAAGGGGTGCCCACCTTAACGGTAGACAAAACTGTCAAATGCCGTCTCTGGAAAGGACAGTTCAAAGCACAGGCGAGCCGAGTTCTGCGAACCGGGCCTTCACCCCTGGGTCTGGCCCGTCTCACTGGCCCGCGTCGGGCATCCCCCGGGTAGGGGTTGGCAGCCCGTGTCCACCGACGTGGCAAAATGCCCGACAGCAGACACTTACACACTTTTTCTAGTTTGTTTTAAATACAGGGTTGCAAAAGAGTCTAGAGTTTCTTTCTACATTGTTTTTCCTTCTGCTCATTGAAAAGAATGAATGAAAACCATTCAGGAATACGTTCCATGGAAAAGATTCACAAAGACTCCAGCTAGATGGCATTAGAGTCAACTATGCATTTGTCTATAACCTTTGAACGTTCAATTTAGTAGTAACACATCTGACTACTCAACTATTGACCTGAATCTATTCTTTTACACGAGAATTTTCATGACCGAATCACTAACGACCGTTTTCACGCAAAGGAGAGTGGCACCGCCCCGCGTCTGTCAGGCAGGATGCGGCCCGGGCCCGGGGGGGGGCGGGTGCCCCTGGGTGCCCAGGCCCCGTGGGACTCCTATCTGGTGCAGGTGGCGCCTGGGTCCCGGGAGCGGAGGCGCGACGCCGCCCTTCCCCGAGGCAGCGGCGGGACGGCTTACCCTTCCTCCGGGTCCGTTTTCACAGCCCAACTCGTCACACACCCTTGTGGCTAAACTCACTGCCGAGATCCTCCGGGGCTGGGTGCAGATGATGTTGCATTTACTCGTCCCCGACTCCGTCAGAAGCAAGTCCTCCAAGAGGAACTGTGGCACCTGCGTGCTCTTCCCACTCCCGGTGTCGCCTGCCACCACCACGACCCGGTGCCTCTTCAGAGCGTCAACGATCGAATCCTTGTGTTTGAACACAGGCAGCTGCTGCCTCTCCTTGAGAAGTCTCTGGTACTTCGGGGAGCTTCGCAGCTTTCTAAAGAGGCTTCTCACAGGTTCCAAGTCTTCTGCCTTTTCCGATTCCGAGGACGGTGCAGAAAAATCCTCATCAGAAACTAAATTTTCCCAGGACTCCTCCGGATCTTCAGAGTTTTCTCTCTTACTTTCAGAATGCTGCTGCTGCTGCTGCTGCTGCTGCTTCACTTTATTCAGAAGCTTGGCAATAAAAAGATCACGTGGTTTATTGGTTTCCATTTTATTTAATTCCTCCTTTTTCTTTTCTGCATCACTCCACTCCAGCCAAACATCTCGGTAAGTTGGAGGAAGTAACTGATGAACTGACTACACAGGAGAAAAATAGCAACATGTTATTGTCACTCACTCTGGACACCAAAACCCAGGTCAGAACTTAGAAGGATAACAATCTTCCTCTTAAAATGTAATTTATCTTTTAAACTAGTCAGCTGCTACTTTTAAGGTAAGATGTACATGCCTATGACACAAACTGAGAAGTAGCCTATCATATTCCAGCTTCTGAACTTACCTGTGGCGTGGTCTTGGGCAAATGACTTAACCTGTCTCAGTTTCTCCATTTGTAAAGTGGGGCTAGTAAGCGCCTCCCTTCAGGCACGCTCGGAGGTGAGCTGCAGGTTAATCCACGGGAGGGGCTCACTGCAGAGCAGTGAACTATATTTTGCAAAATAGGGCAAATACAGACATGAAGAACTTTTATTGATGAAACGGGAAGGAACTATTGTTTAGAGTTCTGCTTATTCAGTGTCTGAAATTGTCAGTGGGTCTAATCTCCCAGGAAGAAAGACGCATACAATTCTTGTGAAAAAAAAGTGTGGACGGTCCCCCCAAAGAGCCCTGTGTTCTCTCGAAAGTGCTTCCTTCAGTAGCACTTTATTTTAATCTTTCCTTAAACTGGAAGCTTATAGTTAATATAACTTAAAATTGAAACCAGAACCAGCGCCCGTAATTTTTTAAAGCTGAGCCAACACACCACTAAAGGGACACTGTTCACAAGCTCTCCTTAGTTCGCCCCCCGCACGGTGACTTTCCCTGAGAATGGTGCGGCCTGGCAGCCTGGACCGACCAGGGTCTGAGCCTCGGGTCTGAGGGGAGACGGGCCAGGCCACATCGGGGGTGAGAGGAGGCCGGCAGCTCTGAACGCCCTGCCCGCCGCGTCTGCTGCCCGGCGACACCGGAGCGGGAGCCTCACCTGCCCTTTCACCAGCCGGTAGAGCGCCAGCGTGGCCCCCAGGTGCTGCGCTTGCACGCCGTCCTCCGTCAGGATGGCGGGGCACACCACCAGCACGTCCTCCTCGGACCTCACCACGCGCACCCTGCGGAGGAGACGTGGGAGCGGCGTCAGGGTCCACCAACGGGAACCAACGCGCATGTTCATCACTTAAACGAAGGGCTCCATGGAAGACGCGTGCTTGACGCTCTGCGAGCACCCCCAGCCTGAGGTGCGGAACGGGAGAGCTTCCTAAAGGTTGGCCTAGCTCCTGACAAACCAAAAGATTTTCATCTTCCATTTTTCTAAAAGTTACTTCAGTTAACAAAACAAACAAACAAACAGAAAATACCTGCATTTCCAGTATCGACCTACGGGAACTTTTTCGAAGGAAGGATTTGGACTCTTGGGAAGATTCTTCCTGACCCAATCGATGAGGAACTGTTTGGGAGACTTTCCAGTCCAGCTTCGGGCAGTATAGTCAAGATTCCTGACGTCATGGGTTTCCTTCTTCTTCTCTGCAATGACAGGCAGGTGCTTCTAGGACACCGCGGGGGGGCGGGGCGGGCTCCCAGCTGCTCCCACCAGGCCACGCGCAAGTGGCTTTCAATGGCCTCCTGGAGGGACTGCACGTGTTACTGGTGAGAGGCTTTTTTCACCAGGAAGCTCACGTTGGATCTGTCATGGAAAGACTGTTCTCGCAGAGTCTGGGGGCTGACGTGGAGAGGGCCGAGGCTGCAGCAAGAGAGCTGCAGTTACAAGGTGCGACGCGAGCAAGTCACCGCGACTGCTACTCTCCCCAGAGAGCCTGCGGAGCCGGCCGCACAGTCGTCTTACCTGGTCTGCTAGACGCAAAGGAACACGATTTCTTCATTGCGTGTTCCTTCACATTTTGCTAGCTACACATTACACCTGGAACGCTTTCCCTTCGTTTTACCTTTCTCCTCAGCAGCAGCTGCAGATTTTTCAAACAAATTAAAGGTCAAAGCACTTTCCCCTTCTGTGGCTACAGGAGGCTTTTTCCTCTCATTCTGTTGCTGTGAGATCTTCACGGCTGGGTTGAATACTGGATGGTCTTCTAAAGTTTCCATTTCTACCAAGAACAAACACAGTGTTTAGTTTTATGTGTTTGTTTCTTATGCCCTTCTACTTTGCAAAGATGGTTTTAAAAAACGCCTTTTTCATTGTGACCAATTGTTCAACACCTCCTATCAGAAATTTGCACAGAAGTAAAGGCAACTTATGTTTGAGTCGCGCACTGAACTTTTTAAACCAAACTGTCCAGCTGAGGTAGAAACGAGCCCGGGGGCTGGGGGGGGTGCGGACTCCGCCCCTTGACCGGAGGTGGAGTTCCCTGCGCTCACAGACGCACAGACCACAGCTGCCGGCTCCAGGTGGCCCCCGCAGCCGGCTTCCGTGTGGTCTCTGAGCCGAGGGGGATTTTTACATTTTTAACTGGATGAAAGGATAAACAAAAATAGGTGGTGATGTCAAAGTTATATGAAATTCACGTTTCGGTGACCACACGTGAACTTTGAGGGCACGGCCATCTGCTCATGGATCGCCTCTGCCTGCTGTTCCGCCGCGACAGCGGCTGAGATGCTGTGACCGTCTGCATGGCCCGCAGGACTGCCCATGTTCACGGCTTGGCTTGTTACAGACGGCGTTTGCCAGTCCCACACATAAAGCCTTAGGAAAGAGCAGGCCCACTAAGGGGAGACGACCTCCGTCCTAGGGAGGCCAGTGAAGAACTCACATTTATACATCGGAGAACTTAGAAGCGTTTACCTCTTTGCAATTTCCTTATTTTTTCTTGAGCCTCCCTTTGCCCTTGCTTGTTTTTTTCCAGCTTAAAGGTCGCTGCTTGCTCCTTTGCATCCAGGAGTTTTGCTGCAAGGTGCAAGTACCTTTCATTCTGTCCCAAATAAGAAAATAAAAAGCAGAGTACGATTACCTTATCATCCTGTCGCTGTGTGAGAGCAACACCTGTGATCTTTAATCTTACCCACAGGTCCAGCAAATCCACTTTTAGGATTTTTTCACAGAGAAATAACACAAATGTGCAGATTTGCAGGGAGGTAGAAGTTTACTGCGGCTCTGACTGAAGAGGAAAATTAGAAACCAAGTAGGATCTATCTACAGAGAAAACCAGTCAGCACCGAGGGGAAAGAGGCAGCGGAAGGGTGAGGGTGGCCCACACACAGAAACGTCCTTACGGCTTCACTACGACACAGCCAACTACAGGACGAAAAGCATGTGAGCTCATCTTTAAAAATGCATTTTTATTTTATATATTTTAGACACACATGTCGTTAAAGGACTGCATACGCCGTAATTTAATACTCCTCTCCTGGTTGCCCTCCTCTAACCTCCGCCCCACAGAAGGGGGCACGAAAAAATGGCCTTGGGGAAAGGATGTTGTAGCGCTGGAGGACCTCACTCTCCTGTGCGCACCCGAGCCCGAGCTGCGGTGACGCTCCAACGCCTCGCGTTTCCCTGCAAGGGCCAGGGGGGCAGCCGGCAAGGCGAGGCGGGCGCAGCGCCCGGCGGGGGAGGGGCGCGCGGACAGCCGCAAGACACGCCGCGTTGAACCGGGGACCGCGCCGGGGGCGCGCCCAGCGGGACTGGGACGGCTCGCGAGGAGGCAGAGGGACGTTGCGCGAGGGCCAGGAGACTCAGCCTCCTGTCCACCACGCTCAAGCGTGTGGTTCGGAAACGTCTGCGTTCAGGAGGGGATGGGAAAGAGGCCTCCCTCTCGCCCGCCGCCCCGCCCTAACCTCCAGCAACAGCTTCTCACAGGGCTTCCCAAGGACCTCCTGGTGCCCACAAGAACTCAAGTACGGGTGCTTGTTCGTGTTCCACACACGTGGGTTCATTTCAACACGCGTTGTCCTGCGACCTCAACCCGTGCCCTTGCTGAACCGGCTTTATTAAGGTGTGGTCACTTATGGTAACACACGTTGATTTGTAAAGCCGGCAAGCCGGCGACGGCGGCCGACAGACGTGCGTATCTGTGCGCGCGCCCCCACTGTCTCGGGCGCTCCCTCCCGGAGCCCACAGTGCGCGCCTCCGCCTGCCCCGCACGAGCGCGCACGCGGCTCCTCGGGAGTCAAGAGCGGGAAGTCGGTCGGCTGGGCGGTAGGCTGGGCGGTCTCCGCCCGGCCCCGGCCCCGGACGCCCCTGCCCCCGGTCCTGCCAGTTGCCTGCGGCGCTCGGCTACTAGGAATGAAGTTGCTTCGAACAGGTATTTGTAGACAAATCTTTTTTGGTGGACATGTGTTTTCAATTTTCTTGAATACATAAATCCCTAGGAAGGAAACCATTGGGCCATATGGGAAGTATACGTTTAACTTCATAAAAGTGCTAGTTTTCCAAAGTGTAAGTCTAAAAGGCTTTCCAGCCAGAAGTCTAACACGTATTTCCACTCACAGGGTCAAATTTTTCCTCCTCTTCTAAACTTTTAGAATTTTCACTCTTTTCTTCTTCATTTTGTTGTTCAGCATACCGCAAAATCCATTCTTTCATATTCACTTCCGTATTTTTTTCTTCCTTCTTTGGCTGGAAATAGAAAGACAAGCATCTGAAGAACCGAAGCTGGAAAAAGGTGTCCACGCTGTCATCAAGTGCCACTGCCCCCACAGTTTCTTAGCGCCCAAAGCAGACACAGCGGCTGAAAAGTCAGATTCTGCTGTCACCAGCGAGGCGCAGGCGACCTGGACTCAGCACTGCTTTAAGAAAAGTTTAACCTTGCATAATCCAAAGAATACGTTTACATAAGGGGCACAAAATGAAAGGACTGTTAACCAAAAAACAAGTGTCATCACTTAAAAACAGTGGTTTTATGAGGATGGTACTTACATTTTTGTGTTTTCAAGCTTTACTGAGGTATAAGTGAACGTGTTTACTAATATACTATATGCTGCATACTAATTATATCATAATTCACACGTAACGTGTCAGTAAGCTCATCATTCTGATGAGCCCGGACATTCGCATGGACCCATGATGCGCCACCTCCGTCAAGCGCCCTCACGTCCCATGCGCGTGTTCGGGCTGGGGCGGGGCGGCGTGCAGGGAGAGCGCCTCACCTGCGGCCCGCCTGTCGGCGCTGCCAAGTCGTGGCGCCGCACGGTCACGGCCGGCGCAGCGGTGCACGGCCCGCCGCCAGAGCGCCCTCGCCCGCATAACCGATGCTCTGCCCCGGCCGAGCCACAGCTGCCCGCCCCCTCCCAGCGCCGGGGGCCCCACGTGGTGCTGTGGCCGCGAGCCTGACTATCTTAGATCCCTTGGTGTTTGTCTTTCCGTGGCTGGCTCCCTGCCTCGGCAGGTTCTCTAGCTCATCCAGGTTTCCGGGTGCTTTGCGACATGCAGGGCATCCAAGCGCGGTGCCCGAATGAACCGCGCCGTCCCGCGCTTGCGCCGCCTCCCTGAGGCACCGGGACGGGAGTTTGGAAGCTGCTGTGCCGGCCACCCCTACAGTCGGGTGTTGGCCAGGGCGACAAGGCAGGGGTTCGCAGGCCTGCGCGCCGAGGCCTCTCTTCTTGAAATGCTTGCTCTTAGAAGCCAACGCCTGTCAGAAGCGCCCTTTGTGAGGAGCCCAAGCCAGTCCTGGCTAGCACCCCCGTCCCCAGGCACTGCTCCTGTGAGTTTGAAACTGTCTTCTGGACGGTCCAGCCAGGGAGACACCTGGTGGGACAGAAGGACAGCCGGACTAAGCCAGCCAGGACTGCAGAGCCCTCGGAAAGAGTATGCTGCTCGTTCAGGCCGCAGCGTTTGGAGGCGGACTACGAGACGGCTATCGGCCGCTGAACCAGACAGGGGTGGAACGGCCTGGCCACCCGTGGGCTGTGGGCAGCAAGCGGGGCGCTGTGACCTCCCAGGGTGCGTCCCGTTAGGAGCCGCTACACGTGCTTCACTCTGATTTTATTCACCTTTAAACGTGTGATTCTTAAATTACCTTACTCTGAGGGTCCTCTTCCTGTGTTTTGGTTCTGGGCTGCAATGGAGGGGACACAGCGGCTCGCACTGGAGGGGACTGGAACTTTGGCCTGCTTTTAGGCTGTTGCTCTTCAAACTCCTGACTGAAGCCCTCAGGAAGCGAGTCTTAAGAGAAGTTGAAATGAAAATAAACACGCATGCGACCCTGACACACAGACAGCACTGTGGGCCCACACGAACCCTGCCCGCACAGAGGGCCCCTGGCGTTCCCGCACCCTGCGCCTCCCAAGAAGGGGAGCCCTACGATGAGCCTGCACCCCCGCATACCAGCTGCAGGGGCCTGGGCGGGAGCTCGCCAGCCGCCCACTTGGCCATTCACTTCACCCTCGGTGTGGCCGACTCCTAAATCTTCGTAAAAAGATCTAGCCATTTCTACTCCTCGGTTGCTTGTTCTAGCATATGGCAGCGCCCTTGATGAGTCATGCGAGCAATATGCATTCCTGGCTCTTGCCAAAGGCCCCGACCTTGACCCTCTGCTTAATCAAATGTTATTTATCCAAGGCCAGGTGGCCTAATCTCTAAGCCAAAAGCAGGAGACCCAGCCTCATGGCTTACAGGTAGGCAAACTTTGAGAATTTGTTGTATTAAGTGCTTTGTAAAATGACAACAGCTGAAAGCAACAAACGAAAAAAATTTCTTCCTGCAGAGACTACACCTCTAAGGAGATTATACCAAAAAGAACAAAAAGGAATAAGAACATTCTAACAGAAAATAACTATAACACAGTGAAAAAAATTTTAAGTACAAGTCAAAAGCTTGCTGCAAATATCACATGTACTGCAACCATTTCAAAAGGCTCGGAAACAGAAAGAATCTTATGAGTGTGCTGCCCACCGTCCGAAAGGTTCAAGCAGAGCCAGTCCAAGGCAGAGTGAAGGTCCCCTCCCTGCAGGAGCGAGTTGGTCATGGCGTCTTCGATGTCCTTGGTCTTAAAGGAGAAGGCTTGCAGGGCCGTGTACAAGTCCTGTTGAGGGCAGGGGAAGAGCCATGTTGCCAATGTTGTCTCCCTTCTGTACTAATTTTAATCTCCCATTCGTTTTAATCAAGAATCTTTGACACTAATTATAATTCCAAAAATATCTTTATTTTTTCAATTATCAGAATTAAATGTGCTTATGGTATTGAGAATTTGAGAACTACAGATAAATTCAAAAAGGGCCAGGAGAAATTGCTCATATTCTCATGGTCTAAAGATACTTTTTGCAACATAATGTTTCCTTTCAGTCCTGTTTCTATGATCTTGTGAAAACAAATTTCACTTAACATTATAACATAAGCATCTTCCCAAGTTATCAGAAACTCTTTACCACTTTGAATAGTCCCATAACATTGCACTGGAAAGTCATACCATAATCTAATCATACAGTTTCCAACTGGTGCCTGCTTAGGACGTTTTCATATTTTGTTACAAGCAGTGCTCCAGCGAACATGTTCGTACATAAAAGTACTTTCGAAAGCATGGTCTTTAGAGTTGGGCAGAACTGGGTTCAAACCCAGCCTCTGCTTCCCCGGCTGCTGACCAGCTGACGACCTCAGGCTGTGCCTTGGGTGGTAACCTCTCCAGCTTCTCGCCCTTCACTGGGAAGACGGGGCAGCATATCTGCTGGGACTGCAGTGTCACAGAAAAGGTAGGGGACATGCCCACAGAGCAGAACAGCGTAATTCTGGGAGTGTGACCTAGTTTTCACGTCACTGTTTAGATGTGAAACCTCACACAGTCCCTCCCTCCTCTCGCAGGTGGAAATGACCGACTGAAAAACTAATCGTATCTCACATGTGATGTTGTCTTAAAAACGCCCTACAAAAAACAAGGAGCTTAAAAAAATGTGCCAAATACCTGTAATTTTTTGGCAGTAAGTCTTCCAGAAATCATTCCCTTGTCATTATTTTGCTTTTTATGCTCATTGATCACTCCAATAATCCTTTGCTCTAGTTTATTATTAATTACCACCTGTTAAGGCCAAAAAAAGATCAATTAGATGCTAAATTATGAAATCACATTTAGTAAAATTAAATAATTTGAAGTGTAACAGTTTTCTATATCCCTGCCGACCAAGGCCAGAACTTCAGCTAAAATCATATAGAGCAATTATCAAATTTTGGATTACCACTCATTAGAGGACATCGTTACCATACACTTAAGAAAAGTGGGATATGAAAAAAGCAACAACATATGGCAAGAAAAAAACATTCTCTTCTTAAGCCTCTTGAAGGCATGTTTTTCAAGACATTGTCCTTGGGCGCCCCTGGGCTGATGCCTAAGCCGCTCTTAAACACACGGAGTCAGGGCCCTTGGGGCGGAGCCCAGGCCTCCCTCACAGTAAACCAGCCCAGTCACAGCCCGAGGGAATGGAGGCCACGCTGACAAGCCTCAAACCCAGCAGAAGTCAGATCTGTGGGATGGCGACGAGGTTACACGTTCCTTCGGCTTCTGGAGCTTTTCCTATTGGCCAGTTACTCCTTTGTTGCTTCCCTATTTTCAACCTAAGGGCACACAAGCATCTATGTAAAAAGGAGCTCCCCTTCACTAGGCCTTTACTGAACGCCCCCCGTGGGTGAGCAGAGAGCTAGACTTCAGAACTCAGTACAGTGTAGGAAACACACACAGAAATCACACTGTAACCCACCGGGGCAGTTATTCTAAAAGCCCCCTGAGAGCTCATGAAACCACCCAGATGAGCAGCCCAGTGTCTTGTAAAGAAGTCATTGAGGTCGCAGATGAGGCAGATGGAGACAGGGAAGCAGGCGCCCCAGGCAGAGCGCACTGGGCCAAGGCCCGCAGGCATAAAGCCCCGTGGGCTGGGGTGACAGCGGGCTGGCGGGACCGTTTCCGTGGGGAAGAGGCTGAGAAGGGGCACCAGGCCGGGCCCGGAGGAGGGCTGGGCCTACAAGCCGGGCGTCCCAGCCTGTCGGACTTCCTGCTGGCCGGCCACACACAGGGGTGGCTGACTTTACTGAGCGTTTTATAGATTAGTGGTCACTGAGCTCTTTACAAAACCTTTAAATACCCCATCTTTTCCTTATGCTTAAGTGTGTATCTTTTTTAAAAGGAAACATTCTTGAAATGACTGAAAACCTTGATACTTACTTTCAAAATAGATTTATCCAGACTTGCAGGACCACCAGAATCATTTGCGGAGTTAAAACTATAAATCTTCGGACCTGTATATAACAGAGAATAGGCAAGGCAGTGTCATGGTTACTGCCCATTACACGATTTCAACTCCCCTCTGGAGGTCGCTAACTCATTTCATGCCAGCTCTTTCTCCCCACCCTCCCGGACCTAGAGGCCCCCCCGGCGCCCTCCAGGTTTTCACAAGCATATGACCGCTGTCAAGCTGAATCCTTTCCCCACCACGTGAGAGTGCCAGCCTGTCTTTAGAGTAAATCTATTTTCATCTTCTTATTTTAAAAATTTGGTGCTATTCTGCCTGGAATGCAGCTGAACGAAGACTCTCAGGGACGGCAGACGCCTGGCAGGGAAGGGGGGTGAGTGGGAAGAGGGGCACTTCTCCCCAGGCAAAAGGGAAGGGAGAACTTCCTCACCTTCTGTTAAGTCCCAGGTCACTCTGTTTAAAGGTTCCCTCCGGGAAGCCGTCCCTGTCCTAGGCCGACAGACCATGCCACCCAGTTTTTTCTTTACCAAGTCCCTGTTTTCTGACCATCACGGTACTCGTCGGTCTTAGTTTGGTGGCCCTATAAGTATCTGTAATGGTTTTTATAAGTTTACTCGTGCTATCAGTCTTACTCCTCTCTGAAGACTTTTGGTCCCAATTAGGTTTAAGGATTTCCACAGACATAAGCCTAGTGTTATAAGCGCTGCCCCCAACACTCCGCGGTGTATAAGCTCCTTGAAGGCACGGATCGCAGTCTGTTTTGTTCCTCTGGTGTCCCCTGTGCTTTAACTCTTGCTGCCACACAGCAACTCTTCAGAAATCATGTGATGAACAAGGGAAATGAAAAAAACAAAAACGAAAACCAGAGTGGCAGAACACCTGGAATCGTGCCAGGAGCCAATCTGTGATGAGGGACCATCTGAGAGTGGGCTACATAGAGCCCTTCAAACTGTCTGAAGAGGCGGAAACAGAAGTGGAGTCCAACAATCACATTTACATTAGGAACCCCAAAAAGGTCAGAGGTAACATTGTTTCTCAAAAGTAGTCTTGTTATGGTATTAAAAAAATATCCCCCCAAAGAAACACAAAGCAACAACAGAGAATCATGTGGCAATCTGTGTAGTAACATTATTTACACTACGCACTATTAATTTATAGTTATAAAACGTTCCCTACAAGTTCGGTAGACCGCCTCTCATCTCTCTCCAAATTTCTTGGACTTAACAATCCCTCGAAATCTCCCCTGTCACTCACTCAGTGGAGCTGTTGAAGGGCTGCACCCCGCGCTACAGCAGACACCACAGGTGTGACACACTCTGTGAAACAGCTCTGACTGCCTAAAATTGTATGCAGTAGACAAAATGTGCATTTCCCCACGTACCAGAGGCAAGATCTAAACAAGAGAAAGAATGACTCAGATCACGTGACACATGAATTGTGGGCACGGGGAGAATTAAAGCAGCTGGCATGCGGGGTGGCTGTCCCAGGGTCTTGGTGGGCAGGGTTAGGGACAGGGGACATCCCACAGAGAGGAAACAGCAAGAATGCCCCCGAGCAGGCAGAGCCAACAGCCGCATGTGGAGCAGTGACCATATACCAGGTTCGCTGCGGCTGACCACGGAGGCCAGGACACCGGCCGGGACAGGGCCCTGGGTGCTGCTGCCGGCGGGGCCTTCATCCCAAAGCCAGTGCGGAGGCTGCGCGAGGCAGCCGGAAGGGCAGGTTCCTCCTTGCTCCCTCCGGAGCTCTGTGCCCGGCAGGCCGCGGGAGGGAAAGGTGGGGCTGGGCTGGCCCTCCAGGAATTCCCGAGCACTAGCCTGGGCGTGAAGGGCTCAGATGAAAAGAGCAAGGTCGGAGTGAGAGGTAAACCAGTGGAGACCGCACAGGGCTGGCAGCAGGCTGGACACGAGGAAGAAAGGCAGCCTCAAAAGCAGCTGCTGCCGTTGGACAACAGGGATAGGGAAGAAGAGAAACATGAAAGTCACAGGAGGTGCTAGTCTGTTAAGTCTGAGCTGCCTGCCACAAAGGGCCAGACGTCCCAGGCGAAGGTGGAAGCGGCCACCCTGAGCCTGGCGGAGAGACCAGGATTGTCATCTGCAAAGGAGAAGACAGATGGGACAGCAGCGGACAAACCCTCCTAAAACGGACACTGTCCCAGATGGGCACCTTCAGGAGGGGACACAACAGCAAAATGCCTGTTGGAGAGTTCAGAGAATTCAGAGGGATACCCGCAAACGAGTTAGAAAGAGGAGGTCGATTCATAGAGTACAAGTGCACCGAGCAGCCACGGGGAAAGTGGCATTTGTAATTACAGACATAATGACTTTGCAGTGGCAACGTTACAACAAACCGCAGGAGGAGGAATTGTCATCTGCCTCCCAGGTGAGGTCTGCACCTGCGCACCTCTTCCTCTCCCCTCCCCAGGCCATGCTTCCAAGCTACGAGCACCCCGAAGGCCTGTGCTGCTCCTGCCCCAAGGTCTTCTCTGCCGGGAACACTATTTCTGCCATTTTTTCTAGAATTAACGCGTCCGCACCCTCCCGACCTCAGCCTAACGCCGTCCCTTTCAGAGAGGCCGTGCACGGCCCGTCTCCTCCGCAGTCACGTTCGATCACCGTATTACACTCTGTGCCTGGGCTTTCCTTGGCGGCTCGGCCCCTACAGACCACGCAGCAGCGCGGGCCTCCCCGGCAGAGCGACGGGCTCCGCAGCGCGGGGTGGCCCGTAACCTCCGGCCCGACGCGCAGCAGGTGCTCGACAGACGCGTGGCGTTTTTCAGAAACACACACACGCAGACAAGCTGAGCGGAACCAACGGCGAGCAGCTGACTCAAATCAGCCCCCACGGGGACCTGTTGCGCTCGGGAATGGTCAACCGGCCGGCAGCTCTCCCCGCGGCGGCGGCACGGAAACCACGAGCGCGCGGCTGCAGTGGGGACCGCGGGCAGCGGCCCGGTGTGTCGGCCCGGAGGCGGCGGGTCGGCACCGCGTTCGCACTAAGCGCCGACTTTCCACGACACGTGGCACCGCCGCAGCGTGGCTGGGCACGACGGCAGCGGCAGGTACGGGGGAATGGGCCCGGCTCCAGGGGCCAGTCTGGGGCGACTGCGGTTTTGTTTTCGGAAGGAGAAAGAGTCGGGGTAGACAGGGGAGCGTCGCGGCTCGGGAGGCCCCGACAGCTCGGGCGGATCTAACGAGGCAGTCGGGCCGGGCGGGCAAAGGTGCGGCCGGGGTCTGCGCCGGCGCCCCTCCCTCGGGACTGAAGCCGGGCCGGCCGGCCGCTCGTACCTGTCTTGACGCGCGGCTCCCGGGGACCGGCGGCGGCGGGCGGCCTGGCTACAGGCTTCTTGGTCTGGGCCTCGGGGGCAGCTACGGCCTCGGCGGCCTTGGCTCTGGAGGCGGACACGGCGGCGCGCACTGCCGCGGCGCCTGGCGCCTTGTGCTTCTTGTTCTTGCCGCCCATTTTGCAGTCCCGGCGGAAGACGGCGCCCGGTCCAGACCCGGCCCCGGCACAGCCTCCGAGCGCGCTTCACATTCCCCGGGTCTCGCGCCGCCAGTCAGCGTCCTCCATCCGGGCCTCTCGGGCCGGGACGATCACCGCCTCCCGATTGGCCCGGCGCACGACGGCCCCGCCCCCTCGCCGCCGCCGGCTGGCCGGGCTCGCCGCGCTTCCGCGGGACCCCGAGCGGCCCACCCAGTCGGGGTCTCAAAGGAAGGGGAGGCCGCAAAGCTCGGGAAGGAAAGAAAGGTCGCAAAGCTCGGGCAGAAAGGCCGGGTCGGAAGAGAAAAGTAGTCCGGGAAGCTTCTTGGAGGCGTGCGACTCGATCACTTTTGTCTCTCTCGGGCCACCGTTGGTGCCTCTTGCGTCACGGTCGGTGCGGGCGAGCGGCGTCGTGTGCCGGAGGGAGACAGGCTCGCGACTCCGGGAGATGGCGGACGCCTTCGGGGATGAGCTGTTCAGCGTGTTCGAGGAGGACTCTACCGCTGCGCCGGGCACCAGGAAGGACAAGGACAAGGGGAAATGGAAGGGGCCTCCAGGGTCAGCGGAAAAGGCCGCGTAAGGGAGATAACCATTCTCTCTCTCTCTGAGTTTCTCAGTGCTGATGGGAGGAAATACAAGCCTTTTAAAGAGCCCGAGAAAACAGGGTGTCCACGGAGTCGCTGTCGGGAAGCGGGGGGTGGCTGGGGCCAGGGCGCCGGGTCTTGCGACCCCGGTGGGCGCAGGCGCGGTGGGCCCCGCGCTCTGCACTGGGGCCCGCGTGGCCGCCTGCGCGTGTCTGCGCCTGGGCGTGCGGGCAGGCGAAGGCGGGTCCCGGGCCGTGAAGCCCCAGAACATCGCGTGGCCGGTCGTCTCTGATACAGGGAACGACGGACCCGTTGAGCAAAAAGTTAAGGAGCTTAGAAAACCGACTTGAGTAGCCTTGGGAGAGGGAAAGTAGCCGCGGGAGCAGGGAGAAGAATTTACTATTTCCAAGCTCAAAAGGAGGAGATGATGGTACCTACCACCGGCGTTATTGTGATAATTAAGTCAGAGCATGTGTAAAGCGCTTAATAGGGTAAATTTTCAAAAGTTGGCCATCGTTGAGTTCATTATCCATGCAGGTAACGGAAAGTGAACAGAATTGTTTATAGTAGAGCAAGGAAAAACTGATGCGTGACAGTATAATACTGTATGTAATACTTTTAGGTCTTAAGTTATTTCTCTTGTAGCTTGGTGTGTATGTTACATGGAACTTGCCTACTTGACACTCGTGAGCTATATAGAAAAGCTAGAAATAAAGCGTCATAGTTAACAAACTGACTCGTTAAGAATAAGATTTTGATTTATTGAGATCCTCTGTAAATGTTATTTCTAGACATGACAACCAAATTGTGGGATCCTATACAGAATCCTTTCCTTATAAAGGCCATGAAAGCAATTGGCAGCATCTGAGTAAGTGTGTAGGTTAGATAATAATACTGAAGCAATGATAATTTCCTAATCCCAGCCATTGTCCTGGGACTGGGACCGGACATCATGGGGCGGGGCGTTCATTCTGTCTACCATGCTGTTGGAAACACAAAATGGTACAAATCTATGCAGGGGAATTTGGCGGCACCCAGCAAAATTATACACTCTTTGAGCTAGTAGTCATACTTTTAGGAATCTACCCCAAAGATAAAATTTAAACTAAAAAAAGGGACATGTCCAAGGCTACTCACTGCCACATCACTTACACAAACAGTGAGGACTGGGGAAGATAGGCACAGGCGTGCACACACATACGTGTGACTTGAGTGTGTTTGCAGCAGAAAGAAGAAAGGACAAAGCAGAAACTTGAGAGGAGAGAAGAGACAGGACAGAGGGGCCAGGATGAAAGCGAGACGATACTGTTACAAACTTCTGGTTTTGGGACCATAAAATGTGTTACATACCTTTTTTCCTAATCCTCACCCGAGGACATGCTTACTGAGTTTAAAGAGATGGGAAGGGAGGGGGAAAGAGAAAGGGAGAGAAACATCGATGTGTGAGAGAAACACTCGGTCGCCTCTCGCACGCCCTCCGACAAGGGTCAGGCCTTTCAGTTTGCGAGGTGACACTCCAGCCGCTTGAGCCACACTGTCCAGGGCAACATAACTTTTTTTAAAAAATGAATATTTTAGCAATCCTTAAAAATGGAAAATAAATGGAAACATGAATACAGCAGGTATCAAGTTAGTAGCATAAACATTTTTAAAAAATAACTTATGGCCTATTTTCATTCTTAGTGTGATAGATCCTAAGTACAGAAAGAATCACAAATTGTACTCAATATCTTAATCTCAATATTACTGGTGTTATTTGTATTGGGGATTGGCCAAAAAACCTGTTTAGTTTTTTCTGTAAAAGACACATTTTGATTTTCACCATCAAATTTATTGATTTGGATATACTTTGTGTACGTTGACTGTCTCTTGCTGTGGGCTTCTAGTGGGTGGAGGCCAGGGCTGCTGCTCCACACCTTCCATTGATAAGAGAACCCACAGCAGGGAATTATTTGGCGAGAATGTCAATAGTACCAAGAAACTTCGCAAACCACTTTTGACATACTTGATCAGTCACAGCACCTTCATATATTGCACAAGTTTCTTTTTGCATTTCAGTTGTGTTCTTACCTTTCTTGAAAGCGTAACACACCAAAAATGTTGGTATCTTCTGTCTTCGATATTGAAGTGGTTGCACATTCACCAATTTTGATGAGTTTTCTTTTTAATGCATGTTGGTATGAGAGCTGTCACAATACAATTTTAGAAAAATTTTTTGAATGAAGTAAAGACAACCAAGTACTGCGAGAGCCCTTGTGTGGAAAAAACCAAACGATCTTTTTGGCCATCCCAGTATGTACATGAATTTTTCTGTTAATGGTGCATGTTACATGTGGGACAGCATTTCAGAGTCCCTTGTAACGGGAGAGCTGATACTGCAGGATTCATGTTAAACCGTCTACTTCTCAGGAAACGTCCCGATGGCAACTTACAGTCTGAGCCCAGTAATGTTGGAAAAGCCAAGAGAGAGGCGGATTTCGAGAGCGCCGATGAACCCACTTTTGGAAAGAGGACCAGGGTAGAGGAGTCAATAACTGAAGACCTAAGGTAGTATTTCCACTGTCCTCAACGTTAGCAACTTGTAAATTGGGTAGTTGTGTGAAGTTTTGAAAACCGTTTCTGTGTCACTTTTTAATGAATGGGCTGAGTTAGAGAAGTGAAATATTCTTTATATAGATACACAAGCATCTAAACAGAGAAGATTTATCTAAGTTTGGGGAAATGGAAGACTATAGAAAAGATGTTTTAATACTTTAGAATCCAATTTTAAGAGAGGATATTGAAGCCAGGTTTTTAAAACAGAAGAAACGACGTAGTTGCCTTCATTAACATCCCAAGAAGGGTAGGATAGAAAAGAATGAGCCTGACCCGTGGGAGGCGGGAGGAGGGGGCATGCAGGTGGGTTCGCGCCGCAACCGCAGGAGCAGGAGCTCTGGGAAGCAGGCCTCTCGGGGAGGAGGCCCCGGGGGGCGCCGGCCACAGGGGCTGAGGTTTTTGGGCCGTGGTGCCAGTTCCTGAAGCAGCTCCTCTGTTCCCTGGGGCGACCTTCACGGCTTGGCGCGGCCCTTCTTGCAGGCCATGCCCTGGCGTGGTGCTACGGTGAGGAACTTGCTCCCTGTGGTTTCTGGTAGACCAGTTCACTTCTAACGCAGTGAGCCAACGTAGCCACCGGTGATAGGTGTGTCACTGGCATAGTTCGGTACGCCGTGTGCTCACGCTAGTACAATGGGTTAAAGAGGATACGGCGATTTAAAACTCATTGTTGCTTATCGTCGTTCCCCTTGGATTTTATCCAGAGCGTGATGATTGCTTGAAAGTAAAAGTCGCAAGTGCAGTCAGTAAGAGAAGGTGAATCTACCCCAGAGACGTGTTTATTTTTCTTTAATTTACCCACAGTCGTGTTTCATTCAGAGTCTGTGTGGAGTCTGCGTGAGTTAGGGTTGCGACGAGACCAGGGACCCCTTCCAGGACTGAGAGCCACGCCCACTAGATCAGTCCCTTCTGCGCTTCGTGCCGTGCCATGCTTTTCATAGCCGGTTTCCTGCTGGACGTAGGGACCATGCACTGGAGAGGCACGTTCGATTCAGAGTGGTTCCTGGGGTGAAAACGTCATCCTCTGAGTGACCCGTTTGAAGATTGTTCTGTATTTGTACTAAAATATGTTAACTGATCTTGAATTCTTAGCATATATTTGAAATTTGTGAAAATTTTTTCATATTCTGAATAGCCAGACTCTCTCCAGTTTGGAGTACTGGTAATCGGGCAGTATCGTTTTTCTGAAGCCTACAGGTGGGAGGCTTACTCATCTCATTACAGAAAAAAGACAATTCTAATGTAACTTCAATGTCTTTGTTTTGAAGTCTGGCAGACCTGATGCCCAGGGTCAAAGTGCAGTCGGTCGAGACCGTCGAGGGCTGCACCCATGAGGTAAGCGGAGGCGGCGCAGTTGGCTCTGCAGACGGGGCTTTGCCGTGGGCCGTCTCGCACGCCGGTCTGCCTGCAGAGTGGCCTCCGGGCCTGGGAAACAGCGAGGGCACGTCGGTGCAGCGCGGCCTGTCGCCGGGGCCTTGGCTTTGCGCCCAAGCGTGAGCGCGCAGCCTGCTGCAGCGCTGTGACTGCGGGGGCGGCCAAAAGGTTCGTTTAGTTTGTTTCTCTAGGATGGCTCTTGCAGTGCTTCATTGTCTTTAACTTCGTTTGAAACAATTTTGTTAGATTGTATTGTGACAGCTGTCATATCAGCGTGCATTTTTAAAAAACATCAGAATTGGTCAATTTTTGTGTTGCCATTTCAATATTGAAGAGGAAGAAAATACACATTTTCAGCATAATATGCTTTCTTATTCCAAGACAGGTAAAAGTGCAACTAAAATGCAAAAAAACATTGGTGCAGGATAGGGAGAAGGTGCTGCGACTGAACGAATGTGACGAAAGTCGTTTGCAAAGTTCTTGGTGCCAGTGACATTCTGGCCAAATAATGGCCTGCTGTGGGGCCATCTCATTGGAGGGTGCGGAGCAGCAGCCCCGGCCTCTCCCCGCGGGAAGGCAAGAGTGGGAGAGACCGACACGCTCAAAACATAAACAAATCGATGACGTTATTGGCGAAAATGAAAAAAATGTGTTTATTTCATGGAAAAAGCTGAACAGGCTTTTTGGCCAGCCCCATACAGTCTTTGATGACTTTCTTAGTCTCTTGTCAGTGGTTTTTTAATTCATGGACGTGGAGTAACGTGATTTGCGTCATGGCGTGGTTGTGAAGGTTATGTCAGAAATTGGGTGAGGCCCCCGCACAGAGGGCGCGCTCAGGACCCTTGGCTCCGCTTCCCTTCCCGGAGGCCGAGCGCCCGCCTCCCTCTGGGGGCCTGATTTGCAGCTTCGTGGCTCTGCCGCAAGGGAGCGGCCACAGCGGCTCGCAGTGACCCCTGAGAGGTTAGCGTTGGTACACCTCGGGGGACAGCGCACCTGTAGCGCCGTTTCTTTCTGCTAAAGGCCTTCGGTCTTTCCGGTTGTTGCTCTCGGTGTGACCCGAAACCCCCGCGGCTCGGAGCAGGGCGGGGCGGGCAGCCCAGCGCCCCAGCCCGAGCGCTAGGGGAGCGCGCCCGCGAGTCCCAGCGGGCGCAGCGGAGGACGCGGCCGTCTGCACCCAGCGTGGTGGGTCCTCCGGGGGGGCAGGGCTGCGTGGGCGGCGGGCCGGGGCCGGGGCGCACCCCGCCCCGCGGGGAAAACACCTCACCCGCTTGCTCAGAGGCAAGGCAAAGGCCTGTTCCGGCAGCGCACCCACCTCGCGCGGGGCCATGGCGTGGGGGGCGGGGCCACAGGCAGCCCGGGATTGGCGGGGGCCAGCGGCAGAGCGCCCCTGCTCCAGCCGGGGTTACGCCCGCGGGCCGGTCCCCTCGTGGGGTGGTGTCTCCCCGCGGCAGGCGCAGGGATCTCATTCAAGTCTGCAGAACAAAGTCCAAGGAACACAGTGGCGCTCTGTGAAGGCAGAGCACCTTGTTTTGTAAGTGCCTGACTTTCTGCGAAAGTCCCCCGTCCTTCAGGGAAGCAGAGGGCGGCCGCTCCGCAGAGCCCGCTGCGCCCCTGCTGGGCCGGTCCCGCCGGACTCCCGCCCTTCCTCCGCGCCCCTCTTCACTCTCCCGGATGCGGCCTCCTCTCCCCACGTCCCACCAGGAACTGGTTTCCGAGTGTTTGACTCCTGGTCTCTCTGCTGGTTTTCGGTTTTTTCACTTCTTTGTCACTGCAAGCCTGTCCTCTTCTACCTGTTTGTTTCGTGTTAAGTGTTACCCACACTGTTCCCAGAGAAGAGAAGCAACCGTCTTCAGGTCTCATATACCTGAAAAGGCGACGTTGTTCGTGTTCTTTGTGCGCCTTACTTTGCCCCCGCTGTCCCCAATGGATTATTTATACACTGAGTGGTTTACGTTTTGGGAATTTAGATAAATTGTGACCTGCTCTCCATATCTTCATCTTCGCTGGGGGAAAATCAATTTCTTGTTCTAGGAATCAGGGAGTATGATTTTACTTCACATCGTTTTCTTTCATGTAGGGACATCTCTTTTTGTGTCCATTCAGCACTTTTTGACCATTCATTAACGTCAGGCAGTGATACATCAGATGCAGAAGATGCACAGACACTGAGGAGGGTGCCAGACCTGGACAAACACAGCTCCTTCAGGGAGACGCACTCAGAAGCATGTGGGCGCATTGCTGTTAGATGAAGTGCTCGCGGAGGGTTTTCAAGGGTTGTAGCTTCAGCGTTTTGATTTGTTCTTAAAGGCAGTCCCCTGATCTCTACACTAGCAGACACTAGTTTAGTTTTATTTTTCACACAAACATGGACTAGGGAGTGCTGAATGCATCAGTTCTTAAATAGTAAGTTGATTTTTTTTCTTTTTATAATAGGTTGCCCTTCCTGCAGATGAAGATTATTTACCACTTAAACCTCGAGTTGGAAAAGCTGCAAAGGTCTGTACTTTGAGCAATAAAATTTTTAAGGTTTTGTGAACCTTGTTTCCTAAAAAAAAAAAAAAAAAAATCTTAAATTCTTCCAAGTGGGAGTTGTACGCTTCCCAGTGTACACACACCAAGGAGGGCCCCCTGAAATCAGACGCAGCGAGACCTGGTCGGTAAACGAGCATGCCGAAAAACGTCGTGTGATGAGAGTTTTAAAAATTAACAGTTCTCACCTTTTTAAAGAATCTAATGAAAATTGTTAGTCTTTCTCTAGAAGAAAATGCACGTGCGCAATAAGTTTTGAGTACAGTTTTAGGAGTTTAACAAGCCTCTGGTCAGACCTGAGCTCTGATGCTTGCGCTGGGGTGGACTTGGGGTCCTGGTCGGCCTTGGAGGGCTGTCCTGTGTCTTCCCGTGATTTTCCCTGGAGGCAGGGGCGGGGCACATGGGGCTCCGCGGGTCCCTGGGGCCCTGGATGTTCTGCCGCTGCCCAGGGAGCCGAGCGAGGGGCCTCACTTTCCAGAGCCTCAGAGGTCCCATCTGTGGGGGAAACGGTACCTAGTTTAGGGGTGGTTGTGAAGCTTAGTAATGTATGGAAAATACATCGCAAAGAATGGTTTTGAGTTAATGATTATCATAATGTATATAAGCAGGATGTATAATTGAGAAATTATACTGCAGAGTTAACGTTTGTGCTGTCTAAAGATTTTTTTCCTCTCCCAGGATGCTGCTGGTAGTAACAGCTCTGATTTTAAGTGTGTTCGGATGTAGCTAGAATTTTCACGTGGATGTTAATGTATGTATATTTTTATAGGAATACCCATTCATCCTTGACGCTTTCCAGAGAGAAGCCATCCAGTGCGTGGATAACAATCAGTCTGTGTTGGTGTCTGCGCACACATCCGCAGGGAAAACCGTCTGTGCCGAGTGAGTGGCTCTCTTTTCTTGGTGAAATTTTAGGTCTGTTAATGTCTGCCTCTGTATCTAGTGCTCCTGTGTGGGTACGTAAACATTTTACACGTGTGGGCTCTCGCTGGACTGACCCCTCTGTCACTATGTAATGCTCATCTCGGCCTTTGTTTCAGTCCCTCACTTGCGGTCTGTATGTCCCAATACCTGAAGTCAGTCTGGACGGTTCTTTCTAAGAGTATTGTAAGTTTAGCTTCTGTATTAGGTCTTTGATCCACTTGGAGTTCCTTTTTCTATGATGTCAGTAAAAAATTGTCACTGTGATAAAATATCTGAACTTAAAGTAGTCGAACCTCCTCTTCTATATCTGTGCCTAAGGAGGACACTGGCTTGGCTCCAGCGCCTTCTGGAAAAGGGTGGGATGGTAAGAAGCCAGTCCTGCTCCACTGTACAGAACCGGGGGCACGAGACCGCCTGTGTTTGAGGCTGGGACAGATGCGGAGGAGAGGTTGAGCCGCTTCCGGTTCGGACGCCTCCCTCCCGGAGAAGTGCGCGGCAGGCGTGGCACGCTGTCCATCTCAGGCCGGCACGCACGGCCACTGCCGTCCCCGCATCCATATGGCGTTGCTTTCGTTCTTCCTACCAGAGGGGAGGCATTTTCAGCGGAAGAAGTTGCCGCATGTTCTGAGACCTGCTGTCAGACCCTGGGTAGGAAACCGTAAAGAGAAATCGAAGAGATTTACCAGAGGTAAAGACGCTTTGGGAAACTGGTAAGGGCTGCTATGAACACAGCCTTGTGGTTACTCAGGAAGGTAGATGTATTATTACCCTGCGACTCAGCAGTTCCCCTAGGTGCGTCCCCCAGAGAACGGAAAACAAGTTTTCAAACAGACACTGTATGTGAATGTTCACAGCAGCTATTCACAAGCGTGGAAAGGGAGAAACAGCCCAGAAGTCCATAGGTCGGTGAAGGGATAATATAATGCGGTACATCTGTGCAATGAAACACCACTCAGCCACGAAAGCCATGCAGTGTGGACACACACTGCCGTGAGGAGGGACCTCGGAGACACCGAGCAAAGGGAGCCAGACCCAGCCGGTCTCTTGCCGTGTGAAATAGCCTGTTCGTTAGCCTGAATGCGCACATCCACACGAAGAATTCCAGGGGATGCTGAGGGCGGGGAGCAAGGAGTGGCTGCTTAGCGGGTGCAGGGCCTTTGGGGGGATAACAATGTTTTCAAGTCGGATGGAGGAGATGGAGGAGGTGGCCACGCAACATAGTGCCGGTGCTGGGTGTTGCAGAGTCATGCGCTTTACAATGGTTAGTGTTTCGTGAATGAACTTCACCTCAATTAAAAAATGTGATGAGGTGCACATTGGTGTATACATACCCCAATTTTATAACTTCAGGGAGCAGTTCATGGATGTCAGATAAAGGTTCCCCTAGGAACTCAAGGACTTCAGGTAAACTCCAACTTCAGCTGGTGACTGTGGCAAACACAACATTTTATTTATAAATCTGGCACCGGAATTGCCACGGTGTCAGGTCGTCTAAGTAGTTGAGTCGTTTTCCTGGCACTTCTGGCTTTTAGTTCCATGTAAACCTTTTTCAGACAGCTGTTTACTGTACTGTTCATATACTGTTCAGTGCCCCCATTGTAAGCGTGTGGCTCAGGGGGTGTCCGTGGGTTTGGGCAGCTGTAGCCTTCTCTCCCTCTGCGCGCGGGGTCTGCGCCAGACCCGCCCCTCACTGCGTCCAGCCCCGCGAGCCCCGCCCGCTCCCACCTTGGCTCTGCCTTCTCCAGGCACCTTGCAGCGCCTTGCGGAAGGGGAGCCACAGGCCAGGGGAGGCACGGGCTGCGGAGTCTCCTGTGTCTGCTCTTCTGTGGCGCTGCCATGTTTCTGAGCTTCCTTCATTGCTGGTTGTATGTATCACTAGTTCATTTCTCTTGGTTGGTAAGTAGTACTACATTTGATGGATACATGGCGTTTTGTTCATTCAATTGATAGACATTTGTGTGTTTTTTGGCTACTATTAGTAATACTCAAATAAACATTCCCGTACAAGTCTCTGTGGGAACACTTATTTTTTTGGGTAGACACCCAGTTATCCTGCTTTCCACCTGTAGAATTTCCACTTGGTTATGTTGTTATACAATGTTTCAGTTTCTCTATTGATACTGCCTTATTTGTTGAATCATTGTTTCCTTCAGTTGTTAGAATAGGGTTTTCTTACATTTTGAGCACTTTTTTGTAACAACACCCCTGAGGCCTTGTTCTGCTAAGTTAAAGATCGTGACCCACTGAGACAGAATCAGCTTCTCATGATCGATCGCTGTTTGTATGGATCACACCTTCCTGCTCCTCATTATGTCTTTTTTTGTTTTTGAAAAGTGGGTATTTTAGATAATACATTGCATTATCTCTATATTCTGTTTTTCTTACAATTCATATTTGATTGTTTGGACAATTTCTAATTTTTTAATCATTTCACTCTTTGGGGACATAGTTGAGATGCGTGTTATTTTTATTTCCTCAAATAGGTCTAAGCCTGTCGTGGGCAGGAACTGTAACAGGGAATGTCGACCACAGTGCTGGCTTAGTTCTGACTCTGTGGTCTGTAGCTAAATACCTAAATTAGGTTGAATGTGGAAAACAAAACCATCTTGCACCCTGTGTCGGTAGCTGCGGAAGGGCTCCGCCGCCACCAGAGCCCACCCTGGCTTCCAGCCAGGGACTGGTGCCGCCCCTGGCTCGTGCGGGGAGGCACGTCCGCGGGCTGCCGGTGTGTGCGAGCCGTTGGGCCGAGGCGCTCACCCTCCGGACGCGCGTTCGTGGGACCAGAGGCCTTGTGCTCACAGGCGATGGGGAGCCCCCCGCGGTCCAGCAGCCCGGTGATTGGGTCTGTTGGCGTCAGCCCTGGAGGCAGAACGCCCGGGCTGCCGCACTCCAGGCTTCCCGTAGTTACTGCTCTGCTAGTTCTCTGGTAGCAGACAGAGTGAGATGTTAACGTTTTGCAAACTCCATTTAGGATAAGTAATAGGAAAACTCAGACATAATTTATATGTTAATGGAGTCTTTAAAATCGAATACTTTAAAGAAAAGGTTTTGTCGATGTTGTTTTCTTTTACATTTTTAGGTATGCCATTGCACTGGCCTTAAGGGAAAAACAGCGTGTAATATTCACCAGCCCGATTAAGGCTCTGAGTAACCAGAAATACCGTGAAATGTACGAGGAGTTTCAAGATGTTGGTCTGATGACCGGAGATGTCACTATTAACCCTACAGCATCTTGTCTTGTCATGACCACAGAGGTAATTCATGCGGTGCCTCATCCAGTTTTTCTGTTTTAATTTAAGTAAAGTATCCAGTTAGAAGATCTAATGTTTTATCACTTGCTCTATATAAGTAAAAAATATGTGTCAATTCTATTTTTTTCTTTAGATTTTGAGGAGTATGCTGTACAGAGGTTCTGAAGTTATGCGAGAAGTTGCTTGGGTCATATTTGATGAAATTCATTACATGAGAGATTCAGGTATGTGCGGCTGTGTTGTTGTGCCATGTGTTTTCGTTAAGAATGGCGTTAGGAGTTTGCTTAGGAATGCTTCGGGCTTGGTGAGCACGTGGAGATTCTGCGGGGGAGGCCCTGAGACCCCCACACCCTGTCCCACGCACCTGGCCCTGTGTGCGTCCGCGGGCTGTCCGCCTCTGTCCATCACTGCAGACGGGCGGACCTGAGAACAGACGGGGTGTTTCATGTGGCTAGCGCTCCCCTAAACTGGATTCTGGATGGTTTCCAGTAGGATCTCAGTCAGCCGCAGCTTTTTAAGTAGTCACCTTTTCTAGGTAAGAAAATGCCAATAAAACAAATATAATCAAAACGAGTTTCCTTTTAATAGTTAAATGTTTAATGTGTACACATCTAAAACCTAGTTATTTAAACTAAAGCACCTGGTTAACCTGTGCTCACACACTGGACACAGTACAGTTTAAATAACCACGTACGATTTGAACATTTTACCCTTTACAGATGCCTGGAATTAAGGTCTGAACAAAGTCGTTTTGATTCTAAAATCATGCATCCTGTGTCGATTTGTTTATTCTAGGGGGAAGCTCTCAAACTGGTTTTTCTGCCTATTTCCATTTTAATAAAAACTGACTTGAGTTTTGCGGCCCATCGTGTCTTTTATCCCGAGAGGTGGTGAGGGTGATGGGCATGAAGAAGCCTCGTGGTGCCGGGGAGGCGTTTCTTCGATGATCCCCTTGGCCGTGGGCTCTCACTGGGCCCCAGGCCGCCTGTGCAGACCCTCACTCCCAGGGGCGTGTGCGCAGGGGTGCCACCTGCTGGCCGGCCGCTGGCACCGTCGCCACACAGGCGGGCGGGCTTCTCTGGAAGGGTCTGCGGCTGCAGATGCCTGTGCGGAGGGGCGTCTCCGTCCCTTGTGGAGGTCGGGGACAGTCACTTGGGATCGCCGGTCAGCGAAGCCACCCTGAACACAGGGCCTGTGTGCGTCTTTCAGAGCGCGGTGTGGTGTGGGAGGAGACCATCATCCTGCTCCCCGACAACGTCCACTACGTCTTCCTTTCGGCTACTATCCCCAATGCCCGGCAGTTTGCCGAATGGATTTGCCACCTACACAAACAGGTACTTTCTTTCTCTTCTCTGGTATCTTCAGTATCTGAAGTGTTACTGGCTGGCCTTGCTACGTCCTATGCTTGGTCCCTAATGCTGCCTGAATAAAGGAACTGCTCCTCAGATCAAGCGAGCCTGTCAGAGTGGACCGACGTAGCTTTTTACAGGCGCGGGCTGCTGAGCCCCGTCTGACGTCCAGTGGGTCGGAATGGCGGTGAGTAGGCTCTTGGTCACTGCAGCTCGTAAAAGCTCCCCAGCCGGCCCCGATGGCCTGCCCGGTGGGTAAGGCCCTGCCTGTCGCGGGGCTGCGAGCCGGGAGGACACGGCCCCGGTGCCCCCGCCGCCCCCTCGCCCAGCTGCAGCCGCGGCGCGGGCCTCACGGCAGGCGTTTGTTCTGGGTGAAGGACTTCCTCTGCGTTTTACTTTCCTGCCCCTTTTCCTTCACCGCAGTGTCCTCACCAACCCCTTGGAGCCTGTTTGCAGCTCCCTAGCGCCACTTGGTGACACCCCTGGCGCTTCTGGAGGACAGGGCGCCCGGGCGCGGGGGGAGCCCCGCTGGCCGCTGCTTGGCGGAGGCTTGGCCGGGCCGGGGGCCCCTCGTGCCTCAGGGAGCGCCCTGTGTCGCCAGGCGTCGTTAGTCACGGCGGCCCAGGTCTAGGGGGCAGGCCCAACATCGTTACTGAAGTTGAAACAGGGTAGTAGGCCCTGCTTAAGAACTTGGTAAAATTGAACAGATGCGAGCATAATTTTAGGCCTAGTTTTTTCACATTTCTCTCCTGCCTGGTTTTAAGGTGATTTTTAAACGCTTTTCTTTTTGAACTGCTGAATTCAAACTTTTCACTTCCCCCAGCTTCTGTGAGGTGGGTCAGACACACAGTGTCAGTACTGAGGAAATGGAACACTGCGTGTTTGACGTGCTCCCCTCTCTCGGCAGCCCTGCCACGTGATCTACACGGACTACCGACCGACCCCGCTGCAGCACTACATCTTCCCGGCGGGCGGGGACGGCCTGCACCTCGTGGTCGACGAGAACGTAAGGGGCCCCTTCCGGCCTGTGCTTCGGGGTGGGGGGCGCATCGCCGGGGCCCTTTATTCCCACCTGAAAATGGTTTCGCAGTCCGTGGGGGGTGCTGCTGGGGTTTGGGGGGGGGTGTGGGGGGTGTGTGTGTGTGTGGCAAATTTTTCTTGCCTTGTGCGTGAATCGGAGTTTTCCCCCCTTTCCAATATTTTTAAACACTTGGAGAACAGGGACTCTGGACTTGCTCCAGATGCCTTATGTTTCGCTTCCCCCAGTTTTCATCCGTCTCTGTCACCCTCTGTTACCTTCCCACACCCGTCGTTTTTGATCTGTTTTTATGCTCTCTGTTGTAATGATTAATTAGTGTGCTGTTTATACTTGAGGAAGCTTTGCTTTGAGGTATGGAAGATGTTTGGATCGTGACTAAGTATTTGTGAAAGTACATAGAAGAACATCTGATTCCAGGGGGACTTCAGAGAGGACAATTTTAATACCGCAATGCAAGTTCTTCGAGATGCGGGGGATTTGGCAAAAGGAGATCAGAAAGGTCGGAAAGGAGGAACAAAAGGTAATTTGGAACTTTGTTTTAGAGAATATTGCATGTAAATTGTATTTTTAAAATACAGCTTTTGAAAAATTTAACTTTTTCCCTCATAAAGGGAAAAACATGCTACAAAAAGATACAGTTAATACATGGTGCAGCTGAGTGAGCACGAGTGGGTTTTTCTGTCTGACACGCCCCGAGACGTCATCCGCGCCCTGCGCAGCTCACCTGGTGCAGGGCGCTGCTCGCTGGCCCTGTGCGCGTCCGCGGGATCCCATGGCCGTCACCGCGGGCGGTGTTACCCGAGGCGTGATGCCCATGCCACGCCCCTCAGCGTTTTGAAGTGTGCAGTGTGGTGGGTCTCTGTGTTCACAAGGTCACACAACCGGAACATCCCGGGACACGGCTGCCCGCTCAGGGAGGGACCCATCACCGTCAGCAGCGGTGGCCACCCTCCCCCCGCCCTTTCCTCGCCCTCGTCCTTTGGTAATGGTTTTTCTCCTGGACATTTTATATAAACAGGATCACAGCGTGTGTGGTCTTCTGCCCTTGCCTTCTTTCACTTAGCAAGTTTTCATGGTTCGCCCATGCTACAGCGTGTCAATACTTCATTCCTTGTTATGTTCCAGTAACATCCCATCCCATGTGTGTACCACTTTCTATTCATCCATTCATAGTTGACGGTATTTGGAATGTTCTTACTTTTTGAGCATTATCAATAATGCTGCTATAAACGTTTGTGTTCTTTGTTTTTGTGTGAATGTGTTCTCATTTCTCATGAGTGTACACCTAGGAATGAAATCCCTGAGTCACATGGTGCCAGATTATTTTCCGAAATGTCATTTCTGCCCTGGCTGGTATGGCTCAGTCGGTTGCAGCACCGTCCTGTGAGCCCAAAGGCTGTGGGTTCGATTCCAGGTCAGGGCACAGGCCTTGGTTGTGGGTTCAATCCCCAGTCAGCACACGTACAGAAGACAACCAGCGATGTTTCTCTCTCACATCGATGTTTCTCCTCCTTCCCTCTCCCTAAAATCAATGGAGAAAATATCCTCAGGTGGGGAGAGGGAGGTGGACGAGTGGCTAAGAAGCACCTGGCAACGCACGCACCACCACGGGCTACAGTGGGCGTGTAAGTCACGGCCACGCTGCGGTGCCACTGTGCACCCTAGGGCCCTGTGACCACGTGGGCTAGAGTGCTGACAGGGGCGTGGGGGAGGGGGCCTGCCGCTTTGGAAAACGCAGGACGTTCGTTTATGTATGTCTCCTCTAATGCTGCGGCTTCTGGTGCACGGCCGGCGCCGCAGGCGACCACGCCGGCCAGCCAGGGCCAGGTGCGGACCTCCTCTGGGGAAATGTCTGTTCAAGGTCGTCCCCCCTTTAAAATGATACTGTCTTTTTGTTGTTGGGTTGTAAGAATTCTCTGTATATCCTGGACACTAGACCTCTGTATCAGATGTGTGATTTGCAAATGTTTGCTCCCATTCTGTGGAAGAGGATTGTCTTCGTTTTATTGTTTGTGCCTGTTGAGGTATAGAAGTTTTTAATTTTGATGAAATCCAGTTTATCTCTTTGTTGTTTTTCGTTGCGCTTTTGGTGTCATATCCAAGACTGCCTTGATTACCTCCATCTCATGAAGATTTACTGCTCTCTATTTTTACTTGTGCTGTTCTCTTTATTTTTATTTTCCCTCCTTTGCCCACCTCCACCCATCCCCTGCCCCCGCCCTCCGGCCGTCCCCGCGCGGCTGTCCGTGCCGTGGGCTGTGCACACCGGTCCTGCGGCCGGTCCCTCACCTTCCTGCGGCCGGTCCCCGCCCCCTGCCGTCAGTCCCACGTGTCCATGCCTGTGCTTCTGTTCTGTCCGTTTAGTTTGTTCGTTAGGTCCCACACGAGTGGGACCATATGCTGTTTGTCTCCCCTGCCTGGCCTGGTTCACTCAGCATAACGCTCTCCGGGTCCGTCCGTGCTGCCCCGAAAGGGTGAGGTGCCCTTCTTTGTTTGGGCCGAGCAGACTCCCACTGTGTCAACGCGCCACGGCTTTTAAATCCACTCGTCTGCCCGTGGGCACTCGGGCTGCCCCCAGGTCTGCAATACTCCTGTGTGTTTCTAAAAGTTTTATAGTGTTCGCTTTTATACTTCGGTCTGTGACCCATCGCGTTAATTTTGGGTTTGGTTTTATGTACTCTTTCTACAGGACCATCAAATGTGTTCAAGATTGTGAAGATGATTATGGAAAGAAATTTTCAACCTGTGATTATTTTCAGTTTTAGTAAGAAAGATTGTGAAGCCTATGCACTTCAGATGACCAAGTTGGATTTCAACACAGGTACTGTGTGATTTCAGTGTCGTTTTAATGTGACGTGTAAATGAATGTAATCTATTTCTGGTGAGACGTCATGTATCGTATGTTGCTAGGATATGCAGTTCACCTTACAGTTACAGTAGTAGGTACTCATCCTACTTGTAAAAGCTTTAACAGAGTCTTATTTTTCATTTCTTTCCTTTTTTGTGCCCCGTCTTTTATTGGCAACTCTGAGTGCATTGCTCCGTAGAATCCTGATCCTGAGAAACAGGAGCCCGCACCTTCGCCGGCGTCGCTGCCCTTGCTGCGCAGGCTCTGGCTGGCTGCCCCGGGCCAGTCGCGTCCCTGGGCCTCCTTCCGCAGCAGAGGGCTCTGGGCTTCGTGCTCCTAGAAACCCAGCCCGGGGAGGACTGCCCTTCACCTGACCTGGTTTTTGAATGAAGGAAGGGGACACCTGGCACACTCATAAATCACTCTAACGTATTAACTCACTGCCGGGGGTAGCACAGCCTGGCCAGGAAGTGAACACCCACCCAGTTGTTACTTAGTTCAGCCTTTGGCATAAGTAATCCTGTGCAGTGAAAAGTACGTTCTCACCCTGCAGAACTAAAATTCAGTTACATTGTTTTCTTTATAGAGACACAGAACTAAACCTGTCCATGTTAAAGGTAATCATTTACCCATGGGTAAAAGTAACAAATGACAGATAGCCTCTTAAAGCCAATAATATAGCAGATCCTCAAGTAATGTTTTCTTCAACATCGTTTTACTCTAACGTTGACAAGATGCTGTAGAAACTTAAGTCTGTATCGTTTGGCCTGTGGCAAGATTGGTCTCATTATACATGACTTCACCTACGGCCCTAGAACAGCACCCATCGACTCTGAAGTGAGAACTTCTGTATTTTTTTGAAGGAGTGAATTGCTCCACTTAGAAACGTTTTCTGTCTACGGCCCCACCACCCTGAACGCGCCTGATCCCGGAACCTAAGCAGGGCCGGGCCTGGTTAGTGCTCGGATGGGAGAAACGTTTTCTCACAGCCGCTGGCGCCGGCTCCCTGTTGCCACGCTCTGCGTGATGAGCTCACGCGCACTCGTCGACTCCCTCCGACGTCGTCGACGCAGTACAAGGGGCGCTGTGGGGGCCAGAGCCCCGGCTGTGCGCTGCGCCCCGACTGCTGGCCGCGCCCGCCGAGCCCCCGAGCCCCGCTGTCCCCAGGCGGGGGGCCCGAGCCTCCGAGGCCGGTGGCGGTTGGACTGAAACGCCGTGGGCAGGGTGCCCGGGCCGGTCAGGTGCTGGTCTTATAGGGAGGCCTGTCTTCAAGGAGTAAGTGCGCTGGACAGGCTTTGCAAGGTGGTGGATCGAGGAAGTCGTTACATGGGTGTTTTAGTCGACTTCCCCTTCTGGCCATCTTAAACACCGACTCTTCCTGTTTCCTCTTTTGACACTCGTATCCTCTGAATGGTGGAGGGGTTGTCCCTGAGTCGTGCAGATGCCTACAGACCTTTGTTTCTCTCTCAGATGAAGAAAAGAAGATGGTTGAAGAAGTGTTCAGTAATGCGATCGACTGCTTGTCAGATGAAGATAAGAAGCTCCCTCAGGTCTGTGTTTGGGGTCAGTGAGGGGTGTGGCTGTGAACAGCCGGCGTGCACCCCTGCACCCGCTCTGCACGTCCGGGCTTTGTGTCTGCACGGTGCCGCCGCCTGCGGCAGGAGGTGCGCCGTTGGGCACCGGAGGGACGTCTGGACTTAGGTCTCCGAGCCCCCGAGAGGGCGGCGGGAGGGGGTGCCGCCCGCAGGAGCTCCTGGCCGAGCCTGGGCGCCATCCGCAGCGCCCGCCTGGTCCTGCTCATGCCCATTAGAAGCCACTGAATCTCTTAAGGCTTCTAACGAAAACAGTAGCGCAGCCCGGTGGAAACCGCACGTGGGAGCAGGAACGCCAGTCCGCCTGGCCTCGCGCTCGTGGTGGTTTTCTTTGACTAGTGGAATCACCCGCTGCGTTCTGAGGTCTGCCGGGGTCTGGTGTCACTCCCAGAGCCTCTGACTTCACGGTTTGGGTGTGTCCCGGTCCTGGAGAACCTCTGAGCCGCCGCGGGTCTGACGTGCGCCCAGGTCTGAGAACTGCCGCATCGGTCCCCCTGGCAGGGGGGATCCGTTCTGTGGCCAGTGGGGCGGCTGCGCGCTGACTCCTTGCAGACGGGCGCTTTGACTTAGGAGGGATTTGCGATAGGACTGCGGCCCCATGTTGGTATTGGAAATAGGGCTTCCTCACTGGACCACTGTGTGGCATTTCTTCCTGGCTGAATTGCTGGTGTGTCGAGGCTGAGCCCCATCTCCGTGGGGTTCGAGTGGGCGCTCGGGGGCGGGCGGGCGGGCGGGCGGGCGGGCTGCTAACAGCGGGCACTGGGGGGGCCGCCGACGGGGCGGTAACGAGCATGAACTCTCCAGGGGTGTTTTAGATGAAATATGTTTCATGGTAAATGTTTTACAGTTACTGATTTCTTTTTGGTTTGAGTTGGCCAGTATTTAGGTTTATTTTGTGTAGATACAAACTTTGTCCTCATAACTTCTAACTTTTTTGAGGAGATAAAGTGATGCTGGAGCATTTGAATGAGGCAGCAAAGCATTTATTTATAAAGTTTATTTAAAACATATTTTTCAGACTTTGTCATAAGCTGTTTTCATAAAGGAAGCGAGTAGAATTATGTTGTTTTGAGTTTAATCTGTGGGAATATGGGGCTGGTTTTGCTTTTTTTCTGAAGAGGTTATATAACATTTCTTGAAACAACATTCTTGAATACCCACTTTTCTTAATTTGGTTGGTTTAACATTTTTAGTTCATTCTTCCTCACATCGTAAAACAAACGTTACTTCCATTGCAGGTTGAGCATGTGCTCCCCCTTCTGAAGCGGGGGATCGGCATTCACCATGGCGGCTTGCTTCCTATTTTGAAGGAAACAATAGAAATTCTGTTTTCTGAAGGACTGATAAAGGTGTGAATTTATTCTTACTCATTACGCACTGTTGAACAGTTTGAACACTACTGAGGCCGCTGTTCACGGACAAGCTTTATATGGGCTCCGTGGGATTTTAACCGGGCAGTGCGGCCTGACCGAGGGGATGCGCTTGATTTCGGTGCGCGGGGCCGTCCTAGCCGCCCCCCTCCGCCCCCCTCCGCCCCCCTCCGCCCCCCTCCGCCCCCGTTGCCTGAAAGCAGAGAGCTCCTGTGAAGCCACTCCCAGGCTGGGACGGCGTAAATCGAAGCAGCATTTACATTAATTTTATGGGGCGTTATTTTTTTTTCACATTCCCAGACCCAAAATTCAACACACACACCACGTCTTTTTCATTCATCACCATTAAGATGCTTAATGACATCCAGCTTTATACTAAGTGACATCCTCACCAGCCCTGAGGCGTCTCTCAGTCCTTAGGACAGGTCTTGCTAACGATGCGTAGCGTAGATCAAGGTAAAGCACAGGCGCTCCCAGACGCAGCCCCGGCTGTGTGCGCCGAGGGGCTAAGGCAGCCCCCCGGGAGGGCCTTGCTTGGCCACGCGGGCTGCCCTGGCGTGCGCGGCCCTGGAACGTCGGCTGGGAAGCAGGCGCCGAGCGCTGTTTGTCTTTTCACCGTTTTTTGTAAAAACAAAAGTCCTCTTTGGATTTCTCTTCGTTAGCGAAAACAGCTACTAACGTAGGTCTTTTGTAAAAGTGAAACGGCGTAACACCAACTTTCAAAACACGGGTACCTGCCTTTCATAAATTTTGGGCTGTAGGTAAAAAAATCATTTGTTTCCTTTTTCTTCGTCAGGTAAGAAACGGTGACCACAATTGGGTGTGGTGAGGCATTTTGTAAAAGGTGCTATTACCAGACCTGGACTTGACTTCATAGGTGCACTCCTTTCTGTGTACAAATCAAAAAGACTGGTTTAGAGGAGAGCAGAGAATTATAGGCAGACTTACAGGTGGTCTGAGTCACGCCCGTTTGATTTAACATTTAAAATTACGCTGATGTCTGCACCCAGAAATTGGATATTAAAAATGGGATACAAGTTCAAAATGTAATCATAAGCCTTGATATGACTCAAATTATTTTGTTTAAAAATCATATTAGAAATTTATCATAAGAACCTCAGTACCAAGTAAAATATTTAAAAGAAATATATTCATCCTATAGAACATACTTGAGGAATTTCAGATGAAGACTCGATCACTATTTATACCTGGGTCTTGGTCAGGTTCTGTTGATGTTTCCTTCTACAGTGTATATTTTGTTAAGGCCCATTTTAAAAAATCTTTTTTTAAATTTTGTTTATTTTCAGAGAGGGGGCAGGGAGGGACAAAGGGAAGGAGAGAAACATCAAGCAAGGTGTGGTTGCCTCTCACATGCCCCCAACCAGGAGCCTGGCCCACAACCCAGGCATGTGCCTTGACGCAGAATCGATCCAGCGACCTTTCAGTTTGCAAGCTGACACTCAGTCCACTGAGCCACACCAGCAGGGCTAAAAAATCTTTTCTTAAAAGTATAAATGATACATGTTGGTTGTAAAATTCAAATAGAACAATGGCATACAGCAAAAAAGCGGAAGGCCCCATGTCCTAGGAATCCCCGCGAGCCTGTGTGCCGAGCGCGCACCATGAGTGGTCCCCCTCCCTGGTGGAGCCTGGGTCCCTTCCCGGAACCTCGGAGACCGCGCTCCCGCAGGAAGCTCTGCGCGCAAACTGCACACGTGTTTGCCTGCTGAGGTCTTAGACCCGAATTGAAAGAGCCGCCAGCTCTGGTCCCTCCCAGAGACCCCGGCGGAGTGTCCAGCCGCCGCTGCGCCGTGGCAGGCCTGCTCCCCCCACCGCCCCCCGCCCCACCCTGAGTTAACCGCCCCTGGAGTTGAAGGAGGCCTCTTCCCTGAGCTGAACGTTTGCTGGGATGCAGAGGACAGTAAATATGACTTGATAACTTCATGTGCAAAACACTGAAACATTTCTGGGAAGAGCTTAATTGCCTTTATTTTTATAGAGTTTCATTAACTAATTTAAAAAATTAATGATCTCTTACAAAATTAGTTTTTCAGCTTAAAATCCATGTTTAATTGTGTAACTGTTCATTTGTTTAGGCCTTGTTTGCAACAGAGACTTTTGCCATGGGAATTAACATGCCCGCTAGAACAGTGTTATTTACAAATGCCCGAAAATTTGATGGGAAAGATTTTCGATGGGTAAGTGAAGTAACTCGGATCCTGAAATAGCGTTTGTCTTTATTTTATCTAAGGCGATTTTGGCTCGTGCAGTTTTTGAGATTTTCAGTTTTAAACACTCATCAGCGTGTATCTGAGCTAATACAAGTTTCTCAGAGTTAAACTTCGGACCCTTTCCTTTTCTGTCCTTTGGCCAAAAACACACTTTCCGAGGAAGAGTGTGGCAGTGAGGGAGGCCAGGACCGCTGTGCCGCGCGTCACGTCTCCGCGGCTGCGGTGGGGGACCCCCCCGCCCCCGCGCGGCACTGGCCACAGGTGCAGCCCACCGGTCGCCCTGGGGGTGGCAGCGGGGCCGACATGGTGCCCGGGGCCGGAGGAGAGACAGCTGGGGTCGTGGGCGAGACCGTGAGGTGGGGTCGAAAGGGAGATCCTACTTTAGAGGCCATAACCGGGTCAGCAGACAGTGACCGGGCGGAAGTCGACGGACACGCAGTGAAACGTTGCACCATGGAGTCTGAAGTAGGTATAGGAAGGAGAGAGAAGTCCCATGCCTGTGAGGGGTCAGGGAGGGCTTCCGGGAGGCAGTGCTCCTGACCCTGAGCCGCAGCAGCGGCGGCGGCGGGCACATCGGTAGGCGCAGCGCGGGCGAGGGGGGCCTGGCTGAGCGCGGGCCTGCACCGCGCCGCACACCGTGCTCCGGCCTTGGAGGAGGTTCGCAGTCAGCTGTCCCTTTGTTAACTTTGTGTCCTGAAAAGGGCGATCCTTTTCCACTTACAGGAGTTTCTGGCAGGAGTCATTAATCATCAAAACACTGAAAAGTACCGGTGGTAGAGCCGTGAGGGCAAAGCATTTTGTTTGATATGGGTGGGGTGCCTTTTCTCTTCTGAAATGTTTCCATAGCCTTCAGAAATTTTCTGTAACTTGGAGCTTTCTTGAACTGAACTTTTAAAAATGCATGTGGAATCTGATTTTTTAATTCTGAAGCAGCTAAAACTCTTGTTTTATATTTTAAATTAATGTAGACTTTAAAATTCTTCATAACCTATCAGTTTAAAATCACTTAACTCTCTGACTAGAATCGATGCCACAAGAAAACAGGTAGATAAGTCATGTGACTTCGCGTGCTTTGGGTGTCCCGCGGACCCAGGGTGGGGACGCAAGGGGTGGCGGGAACGGGGGAGCAGAGACCCCCCCGCGATGAGGCAGGACCTTGGTTACGAAACCTCAGAACCGCAGTGTGTCTGGGCGGTGCCTCTGGCCCTGTGGGGTTTTATCGGGCTGCCTTTTTCAAATATTCTTTTCTGACGTGTTTTAGGGTTGGTTGGTGGTGGTTGCTGTTTTCTTGGTGCCTCCTTTGCATCCAGGAGGTTAACTTTCCATTTGATGCTCAGTAACCCAGTGATTCTCGCTGCTTCTTGAGCCAAATATGTTTGAGAATCCGAAACTGGATTCTTTCCCCCGAGAGCAGTGACCTCGTGCTTAGGGATGAAACCGCCCGGCGCTGAGGGGCTGGCTGTCACCCTGAAGCCCGCGTGTGGGAGGCTCGCAGTCACCCTGAAGCCCGTCTGCGCAGCGGCCGCCAGTGAGGGACGGGCTCCACTGAACTCCAGGGACGTGCACCGTGGAAGGAGGGAGAGCAGTGCTTCCTTAAAGCGCATGTTAATTTTGTATTGATCTCATTCTGTGAATTAAGAAATCTATGATCAAATTAATTTAGTGTTTTGTACCGTTTGGTCATTGTTTGCTTTTTTAGACTTTGCTGTTTCTCGGAATGTCTAACCTACAGACACAAATTTTTTTGCCAGTGATTAAACTAGTATTTCCCTTTGGGTCTGGTGTATTTGATCATTTTGGAGCTAAAATTTAAACGTTATTCTTAAGTGTTTTGCGTTTTTGTGTTTTCACTTACACTCTCCTAAAAGTCCATGATTTTCGTCAGGTATTTTGGGTGTGGGGGTGGGCCTGGCAAGGGGGTGTGTTCTGTAAGGAAAACATCAAGACTGTTGCCTGCCGGGCCCTCGCTGACCATGGGACCGCTGGCTCTCCCTGCAGATCTCCTCGGGGGAGTACATCCAGATGTCGGGGCGCGCGGGCCGGCGCGGCATGGACGACCGGGGCATCGTCATCCTGATGGTGGACGAGAAGATGAGCCCCACCGTGGGGAAGCAGCTGCTTAAGGTGAGTCCGGGCCCGCGCCTGCGCCTGCGCCTGCGCCTGCGCCGAGGGTGGGAGGGGCCTACCTGCGGGGCCCGCTGAGACCGGCCTCCTCGGTGCAGAGGCTTTGCCGGGACTCCCTCCCCATCTGGGCCTGGGGCGGGGCTGCTCTGAGGGCTGAGCCCAGCACCCCGCCCTCCGCTCTGCTCCTGCAGGGCAGCTCCTCTCAGGGAGGGGCCGGGGCGCAGCTTGAGTGGGCCTTGCACCTGCCCCCTTGGGGCCCCAAGGAAGCGTTGCCATTCCCAGGGTGTGGGCGGTGCCGCCTGCCCCCCAGCTGCCCGGAGGCCTCGGAGTCAGCTCCGCCCATCCTCGCTGGTCGGCCGAGAGACGAGCCACAACCATCCTGATACTGACTTTATGTTTTTAAGCTTTTCTTCAAATTAGCCTGTTCATTTTGCTTTCTTAGTACTTAGGTTTTGGATTAAGATTTTTATTTTTGTTTTCTTTTGAAAAGCTTCTTAAGGACGTTCAGCCTGGTTTCTTTTCTTGTCCTTCTCCATGTAAGAAGTTATTAAATCTCTAAAGACAACTGTTACTAAGATAGGGAACTTAACAGTAATTAAAAATATAAAATTAACTGCCAGCTTTTTAGCTGTTTAAAATAAAAGTGAAAAGGTGTGGGGATTAAGAAGTGCAGACTGGGAGTCACGGAATAGTCACCTGGATGCAGAGCACAGCGAAGAGAGGCAGCCAGTGCCGCCCAGCAGCCGCGCGTGGTGCCGGGCCGGGCAGGGGGCGGCTCGGGGCCGCTCCCGAAGTGCAGCCCGTGGCCGGCTCATCTCCGTGCTGTTTTCCTGAAACCGGTCGGAATATGGAGCGTTAACTGCATTTGAAAAATAATAATTTAAAACAAAAACTAAGTGAAGCTTCCAAACACGCTGAGACACACAGAGGTCGGCGTCTCTCTGAAGTAGACTGTGCTCAGCTTTTAGGGCCTGGGGACTCCGTGGAGAATTTGAGGTACTGGGTTTGGGAAGCCTGGTAGGCTGAGGCGAAAGGACAAGTAAAAGCTTTATGTTATTTTTTAGGTGTCAGTATCAGCGAAGATGAAGCTTGCTTGCACATATTTATAGCGATCATATTTTTAGTTTTAGAGATTAACCCTTGGAAATCTATTTTTAAACATTTATGTAACACCTCATGTCAGGAAAATGACACAGGACTGAGAATTTGTGTTTTTACTCTTTTTTCCTAAATTGTGCCAGATGCAGTAAACACTGTTTTCCTTCCTCTAACTCCATGTGTGGAAGGAATTGAACCAGGTTGTCTCATTGTGGGAGGCGCTGTGTCAACGACAGCACCCGATTCCGTTGGTACAGATTTTTGTCCGTTTGCTTGACTCCTCCGGGCCCACGCAGACGCTCTGTGGTGTGTGAGCGTGCGAGCTGACCGAGTCACCACCGCCGCGGCCGTTGTCCGTCGCGGCGCCAGCGGGGAAAGGCGCTCGCTTCCTCCATCAGCGGTTAGCGTTCTGGCCAGGGAGTGAGGCGTCACCGCGACCTCTTCGCCCGCCCAGAGGGGGTGGGGCCGCAAAGTGGAACGCTGCCCAGTGCGCGGACGGCAGAGAGCCATGCACACTGGCAGACGGGGCTTTTAGAAATTTTTATTTGTAGTAGAGACACAAGGGGAGAGGGAGAGTGAGGGAAGCATCGATTGGTTTATCGTTGCTCCTTGTATGTGCTCTGACCGGGGATTGAACCCTCACCCTTGGTGTTTTGGGACAAGTTTCTGACCGATGAGCTGCCTGGCCAGGGCCAGCAAACAGTATTTTAACTGCTCCTGTCCTGTTAGTGATTTTGGTTTTTTCCCTTCACTTTCCCAAAGGTGAACCGTTTTATCACTTTGCATTGGTCATTTTAAGGGAAAGAACTTAATTTACATTTCTGTAGTATTCCTTAACACAGACTTATGTTATTAAGCAGTTTAACAGGTGAACAATTTTTGTGTAAAACTATTTGAATGACCTAAAACATTGGCATTTTGTTTTCTCTTAGGGCTCAGCTGACCCTCTGAATAGTGCTTTCCACCTCACCTACAACATGGTTTTGAACCTGCTACGCGTAGAGGAGATCAACCCTGAGTACATGCTGGAGAAGTCTTTCTACCAGTTCCAGCACTACAGAGCCATCCCAGGGGTGGTGGAGAGTAAGTGGGACCGTCGCGGGGGGCCCGGTCACCGCCGCTCCGCGGCCCTGGCTGCCGCCGCCGCCTGGCGAGGCGGGTCTCGGCCCCAGTCACAGTCAGGGAGGAGCTGGGGTCCGCTCAGTCGCCAGGCCGCGTATTTCCAGGGGGAGGTGCTGGGTTGGACACAAAGTTCGTTCGTTTTTTTCCACAAAATACAAGGCACCTGTTTCATTTTCACACACAACTGTTGGCGTGCGTAGTTGGAGTGTGTCGGTCTCTCCCGCTGTTGGCAGCTCGTGAGGCGCGGCCAGGGCTGCTGCTCCACGTCCTCCCGCGCAGAAGGCGCCCGCGGCAGGGAGCTACTTGGCCGGTGTCAGGAGGACCAAGAAGCCTCGCAAACCGCTTTCAACACGTTTGATCAGTCACGGCACCTTCACACACGGCACAAACGAAGTGTTTTTAAAAATGCACGCTGATGTGACGGCTGTCACAATACAGTCTAACAGAACTGTTTCCAATGAAGTTAAAGACAACTGGGCACTGCTATAACCATCGCGTGGAAAAAAACTAAACGAACTTTTTGGCCAACTGAGTAAGAAAACCATGTCAGGACACCTCTCTGTAGGGGATTCAAATGTAGTGTCGTTTATCGTGACAGACATGGAATGTGGTGACTTACGGTCCTGACCAATGCTGTCATGAAAGCCTGGCGCAGCGCCAATACACTCGACTGTAAGAGGCACGTGTAGATTAATCCTGCCCTTTCACTCTTTCTTGTTATAAAAGAACGCCGTAGTTCACGTTTATGACACCTTAACTTTGTGAGTGATTAAAAAGACGTGACACTTTAACCTAGAGCCAAATGCAGCTCTTGTAGAATTTCTAGGTCTTAATGTTAAGGTAATGCTTTCTAAAGTTCAGAAACCAAGTGTTCATTGGTGATTACATTTAAGTCGAATTATATATTGATTCTTACCTTAGAGGATATTGTGGCTGATCATAGAGAACTGATTTAGATCTGAAATAGAGGCAAACATTGAAAACACTGGTTTGGGTAAATCTTAAAAAATAATGCATAGTCACAGTAAAAGACAAAGAAAACAAACCAGCAGAGGACACAGAGCACAGCCAGAATCATTTGTAGCCCCGCGCGGGGACACCCCACCCACACGCAGGCCCTCGGCAGCTCCTGCACGGCAGGGCCCGTGTGCCTGGGGCAGGGCTCAGGTCGGCTGTCTGTCGGCTCCTCCCCGTGCCTAGCCCCCGCACCCTTTGATTTCCATATCCCTCAGAAATACGACTGTTAGCGACTGCAGAACATTTCCATTTTGTAACCCTCAGACTGGCCTAACAGGAAAGGCAAACGCGAGACGTCTCTCTGTCGTGAGGCGTAGGATACGCCCACTGAGCTTCGCTGTAGCCACAAGCAGACAGAGGGGAGAGGCTCGGGCCACCTGAGTGAACTAGTCTCCTTTGTCTTGCCTTGTGTGATGACAGCACCGTTATGTCCTCTTTCCTCGGTCTCTCAGCCTTGGGCAAGGGAGGCACCTCACCACACACAGTGGGGCTCGGGGGGGGGGGGCTTCGGCGCCACCGCACAGGCGTCACGGGGCCCCCGGCAGCGAGGTCGGCGACAGTGGATGTGGCCCCTCTCTGACCGGGAAAGACCTGGATGAAAAGGCGGTTGGGAATCCTGAGCTGGCTGGTTGTGAAACTTGGCTTTGCCCAGCTCACCTCAAGCAAAGCTGTTGGAATTGAAAACATCTTATAAAATTAATGGTCAGTGTCTAATTTTAGATCACATGGCATTTTGTTATTTTCTTGTAGGCTATTTCTTGACATTTACCTTGGTGATTAACGACAGTCTTAGCAAAGTGAGAGGAAAGTATTCTAGTCTTGGGGAAACTTGTTTTTAAAAGAGCTATAAATCTCCTCTCCTCTTGCAAAATATATATATAAAGTGGAATGAAATGAGTATAAATGAGGTTTAAATACAATGTGGATTTGGGTTTGAATTAGGGAGGTACTGGGAGTAGCTTAGTACTGAAAAAGGACATTCGTTAATTTTACCTCGTGTCATTGAAATTTTAGCCACTGCTGCCATTGGAACGGGTATAAGGTTACAAGTCAGCTTCATACTCTGCATAAAAAGAACTAGACCTGACCTGGTCCTTCTAGGCAGTCGGCGCGAGGTCACCGTGGTGGGCGCGGCGCCCACCCAGCGGGCCGCAGACCGGCCCGAGACCGAGCGGCGCGGGCACGGCGGGCACGGGCGGGCGCCCCCCTCTGCGGTCTCCCTTCTGTGTAAACATGATGCTGCCGAAACCTCTCAGTGCCTCGCTCGCCTGTGACCCCGTAGGAAGTATCGCAGGTGCAGTGGGGACAGGGAGGAAGCTCCCAAGTGTCTTCCCAGTTAGAGCCCTTTCACCACCCCCGGCTGGGCTGGGCCCTGGCTGTTCGACAGGGCTTGGCCAGAGCCCGCTCCCCATTCTGCGCCCTGAACGTGGCCACCCCCTCCCCCCCGCCCGCCCCTGCCCCTGCCCAGCCCGGCCCAGCCCCCGGCCGGCTCCTGCTGTGGTCGCTGTGGTCCTGGCTGGCTGGCCTTGCAGGGAGGCCGCGGGGAACGTAACCTTTGGCCCTGGGTGTTGCTGCCGAAACGCCGGGGCCTTCTCTGAGCTGGCTTGTCCCTGCATTTCCCTACCTTTGTTTTGGAAGGAGCTAGTCCTTTTATTTGGAGACGAGGAAGTAAACAACTGACTATGCAAAGCGTGACATACTTTGTAACAGAAGAGGGAGGAGTTTAAGTGAGGAAAGGGGATGGGTGAGGGGTCGCAGCACCCGTGGCAGAGTGTGCAGGGTGGAGCCGTGTGGCCGAGGAGTGCCCGAGGGAGGGGAGGTGGTGGCCCCGCCGTCCCTTCTCAGGCTGAGCCCCTGGGGCGTGCCTGACCCCTGCCTGCTCCTGCAAGGGTGGCCTGCCTTTTGCTGTTGGCCCTGCTAGGACCTTTCAGAGGGACCTGGTACGATGGTCACCACCTTAAATGCCCCAAAATTAAAGTGCGGACTGTTGTAATGAGTCTCTACTTTATAAATGACAGTGGTTCTTTTATAGAAATAATGAAACGTATTTAGAAGGCTGGCGCGCATGAGATGGCCTCGTTCTGATTTACTGAGCCCACACCAGGGCTTTCAGGGCGCCGTAAGAGTGAAACTTCCGGGATTTCACTGTTCTTTCACTGAAAGGAAAACGCAGGCTAGGTTTCAGTGCTCTGGCCCAGCTTCCTCACGGGACAGGGCCGCAGTTAACCGCCAGAGCGCGGGGCTGCGGGTGGGACGGCCTGAGCCCGTTTGCTCTTTCATGCAAACTGGTGTAACACCTAGTCCCCCCTTCCCATGGGGGTGAACTGAGATAGCTTCCATTAAACGCTCAGCGCTACTTGCTGCAGGTCAGTGTAGTCATTTAAACTGCGGCCCGTCCAGGACGCTGCCCAGCACTGGAGCAGCAGCCCCTCCTGCCCACCCACAGGCCTGAGGTCTGTTTCACACATAAAGGAGGAAGCAGGTCGCAGACTGTCCGAAAGGTTTGTGGGTCTGTCTCACGTGCTGTTTCCTGAGACTCTGGGGCTCCAGCAGCAGAAGCAGCGTCTTCTGCCAACGTTCCTCTGCCCTCTGATCGGGGGCAAGGGATGGCCTTACTGTGGAGAAAAGCAGGGTGCAGCCAGACCTCGGGAGTGGCATAGCGCCGTCATCGGAGTCCTAGCTGCACAGCGCGCGTGACCGTGAGGTCGGCTCTCGGCCGGGCCTCGCTGGCACGGAGCGGGGGGAGCGAGGGCGGGCAGCGTGGGCGATCCGAGCCGCGTCCCCTCGCCTCCCCAGACGCTCCTCCTGCAGCACTGGGTTGCCGGGCCCCCCAAGCCCCCGCAGACGGCCTTGCCTTGTGACCGTGGGCCTGCCTGCAGGGCTCGCGTCTCTGTGCGTGGCTCTGCTTGGGCGAGAGCTGGGCTGGGGCTCGTGGACGGTCCCAGTCACGAAGGGGACAGTGGCTGGAGCGGCGAGTGTTCTGGCCGCGGAGCGGGCCGGGCAGTGCTGGCTGGGCGGCTGTCTCAGTTTTGGAGACCTAGTCCCCGTGGCGGGGAAGCCTGCTGACGTCGCAGACTGACTCGGCGGAGAGCGGTAAGCCGTTCAGGTGGCTCCTGTGCGGGCGGGCTCTTGGCAGCTCTGCGGATGGTCGAGGCCTGGGCTGGTCGCACAGGAGCCGGGGCCCCCGTGGCTGTTGTGGGCCTGCAACGGAGCTGGTGCGGGTGAGCAGCTCAGTGCGTGACTTGACCCGATTTCAGTAGCCACAGGCGCCAGTGCCTTCTGGCTGCTCCCCTAGAAGGAGCCGGCCCAGAAGGCGCTGCCGCCATGGTGCTTGGAGGGCAGTGTTGTGTCGAATGGTGTGGGCCTGGAGATCCCAGGCAAGCCTCTCCCCCACCGCAGCAGAGAACTGACTCACAGGTAGAGCCACTGCCGGGTAAGGCGCACTTTGAGAACTCACCGTCATTGAGTTGGGGAGCTAGAGGGAAAGCGCAGGAGGTGTCGCTTGCTGGGGGAGGAGGGGCCAGGCAGCTTCGCCTCGGGGCGTCTCCGGAGCGCTCGCTCCGAGCCCCCCTGTGCGCCCCTGCCGCTGCCTGCCCTTTCAGCGGGAAAGGTGTGTCTTCGGTGTCCTGACGTGAGGTGTGTAATGATCTTGTATGTGTGTTTTATTTACAGAGGTGAAGAACTCAGAAGAACAGTATAATAAGATAGTGATACCAAATGAAGAGAGCGTGGTCATCTATTACAAGATTAGACAGCAGCTCGCCAAGCTGGGTAAAGAAATTGAAGAATATATCCACAAACCAAAATACTGCCTACCATTTCTACAGCCAGGCCGTTTGGTAAAGGTGTGTTGTTTTCTCCATGAAATATTTGGATATTTTAATATTTGATGTTTTTGAATAGCTGTTCTATTTTTTTCATGGTAAAATGCTTCCTACTACAATAGTTTATCTGCAGTAATTGTATCATTTTCTTGGTTTCATGTGGCTCTGCTTAAGGGACATCACTAATCAGATGTTTATTCGGGGGTATAAATTGCAGTAGACAGCTTTAGAGTGAACACACAAAGTGCTTCTAGTTAAAAACATAAAAGGCAATTTTACTTACAACTAAAGCGGTTTTGAGTCTAGGATGAATTCGTTATCTAGATGTCCTCAGAACAGATTCCCTGAGTCACGGCCTTTAACACGGGCTTGCCGGTGGGGAGAGCCACGGTGTTGCTGTTCGAGAGGGCACTGACCTTCGGCAGCGATTTCTTCCTGTAGAGCTACTGTCTCTTTTGTAAGTTTCACGGTGGTCTCTCAACAAATACTTTATCAGGAAGACTCTACATTTTATTAGCGTGGAAAAGGACATCTAAATTGCCTTTTGGACATAAATATTCTTGTTTATCTGCTTTTTTTTTTTTTTTTCTTCCAGGTAAAGAATGAAGGCGATGATTTTGGCTGGGGAGTAGTAGTGAATTTCTCAAAAAAGTCAAATGTTAAGGTAAACCATTGTTCTTAAAGTGCAATTTTATGTAAGTTGTTAGTGAAATGTTTTTCTCAGAATTGTGAAATTGATCAAAGTAGAAAAAGTATTACCTTAAGAGAAGATGTAATTCTTGTCCAAGGAATTAATTTTTTAAATAATCTTACGCTTAAAATGGTATGGCTTACTTTCCTAACAGAAACAACAAATTTTAATTTCATGACAATTTATATTTCTTCTTGGAGTTACTTAGTCTTTTACATAATATTCCTTTTAAAATTGAATATTAGAAAAATCGGCTTTTGACGGTGAAGAGTGGAATTTTGATTGGGGTATGTGATAGAGAGTTAAAAGAACTAGGAGAGCTGGTCGATTTCACTTATTATGTAAGCGAAGAGAATAATAAAGTTGGTTTTGGTCGTTATTTATATAAATATTTTGAAAAGATGACTTGCATGTGAAACTAAGGGTGATTTTGTTCATGGGTTAGGAGAGTGTGTCATGACATGAAACCAGCCACCTTGTCCCTTGTGTTCTCCTTAGCCTGTTGCCTGCACGTGTGTGACCTCAAGTGAGACACTCTGTGTCCCCACGGGTGTCCTCGCCTTCACAGTGAGGGGGTGCCCACACTGGTGCGTGGGCTTGAGGTGACCACGCCGTGATTTTGGGCCGTACGCGTCTGCCCCCAGCCCTGGGCAGCGGCGGCTCGGCAGGGCGCTCGGGGGAGGGGGCCGTCCTGAAGCCGCTCAGTGGGCTCCAGGCTGCGGAGGCGGTTTGTCCTGGAGGCAGGAGCCCGCGCACATGCGGGCGGCAGGCGTCTGGGCGAGTGGATGCCAGTGGCGAGTCCCGCTGAGCAGCTCCTCGGGGTCCCCAGTTTACGAGCTGGTTAGTGGTTGCTCATCTACAGGACTTTTTAAGGATTGTCGGTCATAGCGTGGTGGCAAACCCGTGTGGACCACGGAGGCAAGGCCCGGGCCGGCCTGTGGCGGTCGGTGGCAGTAGGGACCGAGGACAGGAGGCAGGTGGCAGCCGCTCCAAGACAGATACAAGCAAAGGGCGCTCACAGCACAGCGGGGAAGAAATTACATCAGAGGCGAAGGGCATTAAAAATTTTAAACAGAGCCCTGAAGGAGGAGCAGACTTGTTTGCTCCCTGTTCACAGTGGAGAGGCCGTGGGCGCAGCAGGCCCGGGCCGCGTCCGGTGCTGGGAAGGGGCCGCCTGGAGACAGGAGGCAGCGCGAGCGGCGGGACGGGGTCGAAGTGCAGGTGCGCGCTGGAGAGCAGGGGCAGGCCGTCGCGGCCGTCGGCTCTTTAAACCTGTTCACGCCTTGGAATGAGGGATTGACGGGATCAGAAGGTGTTTCGAGGATCCTGGAAGAACTAGCTGAGTAGACGCACGCTGGTCAGTTAAGGAGACTTTTCCTCTTTTTGGGGCGAGCACCCACCCGGGAGGGAGAAGACAGACAGGGGAGCGTCCCGCCGGAGGGCCCGGGAGCCAGGACCGTCCTGGGCGGGGGGTCGGGGGCTGTCTGTGCCTGTGACTGTATTTTTGGTTTGTATTTAGGACTATATTGTACTGTTGTTGAGCAATCGGTAGTTGCAGAAATAGATTTTAGGTATGGACTTTCATTTCTGGACAGTTTTCATTTCTGAACAGGAACTGTGTGGGGAAGGGACCAAGCAGTCACTTCCTCGCCATGTGTTCCTCAATCAAAATAGCTTTTACCTATTTTATGCGAAGGAAGTAGTTCAAACACTGAACTAGAAAGCAGAGAGGAGCCCTGGCCGGGCCGCTAAGCTGGTGGGAGTGCCGTCCCGAGGAATTCTTTCCTGAAGAAGAGGAGGGCTTGCTGCTGGTGGAAAGGCTGCCCTCGGAGGCCTTGTTACGGTGCAGAACGCATCGTTAGTCCTTAGACCTCAGGAACCAGGGTCTCGTTGGAGACTAAGATCTCATTAGAGAGTATTTAATAACATGACATGAAGCCACATTCTAGAGGTACCAGTGTTGAAGCAAGAAATTACCCTGCTTTCAGTATATTTACGTTGTTTACTTAGGGTGCTTTGAAGATACAGATTTATTTTTTGATGCTGATAACTTCAGTTTAAAAAAATTCTAGTGTGCTGCCAAACACAATTACAAACTATCATTAGGAACTTAAAATGGCGTGTTAGGTCACAGCGATCGTGCTGTTTGAAACCGTAAGTATCGGGTGGTTTCTCTCTTCGCGCCCTGTGGAGCACGTTGGAGGCTGCAGGGAGCGAGCCTTCCTCCCGCGAACTTGGCTCCCACTGGGGGTGTGCACGGGGCCAGCGCCGGCGCTGCGGCCCCAGGGTGAGCGACCCTTCCCCCTCCTCTTGTTCTTGCAGCCGGGCTCGGGGGAGCTGGACCCCCTCTACGTCGTGGAGGTGCTGCTGCGCTGCAGCCGGGAGAGCCTGGAGAACTCGGCGACGGAGGCCGCCCGGCCCGCCAAGCCGGACGAGAAGGGGGAGATGCAGGTGCGCAGGGTGCCCTTCCGCGCGCGGCGGGGGTTTCGTGGTGCTGTGTGCTCACGCGCGTTTCTCAGGGTGTCGTAATGTTGGAAGCTTCCGGGCTATTTCAGATACATTAGAGTCCTTGGAGACTGAAGCTGCTTTTCTTCTGTCAGGTCGTGGCAGGACTAATGAGAACAAAGTGAAAGACAAAAAGAATTTAACTTTAGTTTGCACACGAAGTTGGGTTTTACCTGGGCCACAAAACTGCTTCTTACTGTTTTTATAATCAAGTAATTACACAGTTTCACCATCCGTGTCGTGCGCTGCGCTCCTGTGGGAACGGCTGAAGCTGTGCCGTGGTATCAGGCGGCTCCTGCCCGAGCGTCCGTGGCAAAGCCACTCAGTAACGTGCACGTGCTCTTAATGAAACATGAGACGTTCAGTTTGCCGTAGGAGGTCCCATGTTTCTTGACCATGTCCTATTTCATGTTAAAATAATTAAATAACTAGGTAAATATTTCGATGTAGGTTTCGAGGGTGCACTTGACAGCTCACATCGTGGTGGGATCCTGTCACTCTCAGACGCCGGGTCAGGCACAGGGCGCGGTGCCTGCGGCTCTCGGGAAGGGCCATTGTGATGGCGCCTGGTCTGAGGACCGTCGCTGCGCAGGCATGGCCGCTGCAGCCGCGCAAGCTGCGTCGGGGTCCACCGGGGGCCCGGGAGGTCCGGGGAGCGTGGCGTTGCGGGGGCCCGCTGCTCAGTGCGGGACAGATACAGGCGTCGGAGCGTGGTCACCTGTGGCTCCACCCTCTGGCCGGCTCTGCAGGATTCCGCCTGCGAAGCCTGTGTGGCGCCCGCCCGGGGTCTGTGTCACCACCGGCTCAACAGTAAATGGGGCCGAAATGCGCACCACTTGGCGAGTGCTCACTGCACGTGGCCTGGCGACTGTGGGGCCAGCCCCGCCCTCCCCCTCATGGGCAAGGGCAACAAGGTGTCGTGGGGACAGGCAGCCTCTGCAGGGGCGCCCCCAGGGACCCTGTGCTCCCGAGTGTGCCTTCCTGCCCCGTCGGTTTCCCTTGATTAAGGGGTGACTGAGACAGTGCCAGCCCGAGCCCCGTGTGGCCTCGGACTTCCAGGGCCTGCAGCTGGACTCGAGGACCCGCGCTCAGCTGCTCCCATCTCGCTCAGTAAAACACCAGGAATGTCTCTGCCACTGGCAAGCCAGTGGCACTTGGTTACCATGGGCGATCAGGGCGAAGGCAGCCGCGGGAGACCAGTGCGTGTGCCCAGTCTGGGCCTGTGGCAGCGTGAGCCTCTCTCAGCTTGTAGAGGCCCCTGGATTTCGAAGAACCAAGGCGGCGTGTGTGATGGCGGGGGCGGGAGGGGGCGCCGGTCAGAGAAGACAGGGACCGCGGCCCCTCGGCCCGCCCAGCGGGGCGCAGTGCCGGCCCTCCTCGCCCGGGCGCTCGGAGGAGGCCGCCCGCTCCACAGGGACACACACACACACACACACACGCGCACACACACACACACACACGCGCGCGCACACACACACACACGTGCGTGCACACACACACACACCACATTGGGCTCAGGGAGCGCCTGACGCCGAGGCGCGGGGCAGGGGGGCGGGGATGCGGTGTAGGTTCTGGGCTGAGGGGGACACCTTACTTTTTTGTACCGTTTATTTGTCTGTTATTTAGAGGTTTGGATTCATTTTTACTTTTAAAATGCAGTCTCTGCGAAGATAAAAGCTTCTGCAGTGATTACCTTCTACCCAGCACACCTGTCCCGCACTACCAACGCGGCTCCCGTTGAGGGCCTGAAGCCGCTTCGGGCGGCGCGGCGCGGGCAGCTCGCGGGCCTGCCGGTAACGCTGTGTGTGCCTGCTCGTTGGCAGGTGGTCCCGGTCCTGGTGCACCTCCTGTCTGCCATCAGCAGCGTGCGGCTTTACATCCCCCGGGACCTGCGGCCGCTGGACAACCGGCAGAGCGTGCTCAAGTCGATCCAGGTGCGCGCACTTCCCCAGCTCGCTGCCTGCGGGCTGCACTCGGGGGCTGCACTCGGGGGTGGGAGGCGGCGGCTGAGGGCTTTTAAATGTGTTGCTTCCTTTCAGAAAAACTAGACGCGCTCCAGGAGAGCCGCTTCCTGTAACAGAGCGGCGGCAGCTGCGCCCCTCCCCCCGCCTTCCCACAGGGGCCGCGGCAGACGCAGGGCCGCCCGCGCAGGACACTGGGAAGGGGCGATAGCCGCGCCGAACCTGGTGCCTGGGCTCTTGACCATTTTTTAGTATAGTTCATAAATGGAGGACATAGTTTTATTTTCAGCCAAAAAAAACTATGATTTTTCTGGAAAGTTTTATTTTCCAGTAAAAAAAGGAACTTGGTTAGTTATTTAGCAAATCAGCATTTGCATTTGCGCTGGGCATCGGGGGCTCTGTGCTCCACGCTGAGTAAACAGGTGAAGAAACGCGGTGCGGTCCGGACGCGTTTGTAAGCTGTGGTCCTTGACATGAACAGTCCTACACATTTAAAAAAGTTTTATGTATGTATCTGTCTGCTTATTTTAATTCCTAACCAGCCAGACCCTACCTCACCCGGAAAGCCCACCCCGGGCACCGAAGCCCCCGGGAGCCGCGAGCTGCCCCTTCTCCGAGCTCCTGGGCTCATTTCGTTGACAGTTAAAATACCTAACGAACGTTAGCAGCAGAGACCCAGGCCCTCCCAGAAGCACCCGTCTTTGCCTCGGTTGTGCCCTCCCTAGGGATCAGCCCCAAGGAAATAATAGGGAATTGAAAACAACGTGTTCACGAGGGGTGTTCAGCACAGGGTGCCTGTGGGGACGAGACGCTCCCGCCGCCCCCACGCGTTAGGTGACGGGTTGCCCGGGAGAACGGCCGAGCGCTGCAGCCCGGGGTGTCAGTGGCGTGCGGCGCGGCCCGTGTCAGGGACTTGCGGGGCCGCGGCCGGGGGCCTCACAGCACGGGTGGGGGAAGGGCGCCCACGGGAGCGGGGGGTTCAGCCGCATAGACACGGGCGGCCTGTTTGTTTTTGTGTTTGTGCATAGAAAAAACATAAAATACTGGTTTAGTTTCGTCTTAACTAGTTTTGTCTGTAAATGGAAAGTTAATTTCAAATATTTTGTTTCAGGAAGTTCAGAAACGGTTTCCGGACGGTGTGCCCTTGTTGGACCCTATCGATGACATGGGCATTCAAGACCAGGGCCTGAAGAAGGTCATCCAGAAAGTGGAGGCCTTCGAGCATCGGATGTACTCCCACCCGCTGCACAACGACCCCAGCCTGGAGACCGTGTACACGCGCTGCGAGGAGAAGGCGCAGGTGCGGCGGGCGTGCTGGTGGCAGGGGGTCTCCGGGCTTCGCTCGCAGCAGCTGTCACAGGAGATTGTCTTGTAAATAAGCTGCCAGCGCTCAGCCGGACAAGGCGAGGATCATTTCACACTCTAGTTTGGCACTTGAGGGGGGTTTTTGCAGTATGTTTTTATGAGGCCCACTTCGCCTAGCCCAGTGCCCAGCCTTTCACAGCTCCCATTCAGTGGCCTTCAGTGTGGCCTCGGCTGTCTGTGGCCATAACCACTGTCAAACTCGAGAACACCCCCCCACCCGCAGAAGCAGCCCGGTGCCAGGTAGCCGCCCCGCCCCCCAGCCCCGGGCAGCGGCAGGTCTGCGCTCTGCTTCTGGCCTAGCCCGTTCCGGAGATTTCGTGTCCCTGAAACCACAAAGCACGTAGCCTTCTGTGTCCACCGCCTCCCACTGAGCATCGCCTCCGGGGTTCGTTCGCGTTGGCGCATGAGTTAGCGTCCGCTCGGGGCTGCCCCCCTCTGGCTGTCGTCAATAGTGCTGCTGGGAACACCGTGTCCGAGTGTGTGGACGTACGTTTTCGTTTCCCCCGGGTGGAATCGGGTGGAAGAGCTGGGCCATGGAGTGACTCTGGGCTTAACTCTGAGAAACCCCACGCTGCTTCCCAGAGTGGCCGCCTCCCGGTGCGTCTGCACCCGCAGTGTGTGAGAGGTCCGGCCTCTCTGCACCCGCACCGACGCTTGTTCTCGTCTGCGTTTCCACTGCGGCCAACCTGGTGGTGTGGCACTGTGGTAGCTCAGCTTTATAGTTAGTGGCTGTAATCTCGAAGCAGAAGAGGCATTCATATAGGTTTTCTGAATAATGAATTTAGGAAAAGCCTTTGGAAGTGACACGTTTCTTTGCACGGTCCCGTCTTTGCACCCGGACCTTCGTCCTGCACAGGTGTGGCTTCCTCCTGGACGCGGTGACCCCTTGCTGGGGTGCCTGGGCTGTCCTGTCGCTCCGGCTCTGTGAGCCTGGCCAGCTGACCTGGCACACTCTGCCTGCTCGCGTTTTCTCACCTTGGTAAACTCACCCTCAATCGCGGTGACCGACCTACCTCGTGTGATTGCCATGAGAACTGAAGAAGGCGGAGCCCTGTAGCTAAGCTGCTCACTGGGGTCAGTAGACTGGCTGCTGGCCACCGTCACCGCCTGCCTGACCATCTGTGCCTCGGTGGGAGCTTCATGTGTCGTTGCTCAAGTTCCTAAGGCTTTGGCCTTCCCCTTCTCAAGCACTGACCCTTCCCTTCTGCCTGTGTTCTTCTGACTGGCACCCCTCCCCCGCGCCCCTCATCCCCCCCCCACAGGATCCCAGTGGGTCCTGTCCCAGGGAGACATGCGTCATGTTTACCGAGTGACCAAACTCAGAATGCATCCACTCCAAAGGATGGACTCGAAATACATGCTACTTCCAAGCTTTCATCTCTGTGGAATGGAGACTGATTTCCTTTGGAAAGCCATTGCCAGCTGTGTGTGTAAGACAGGCAGGTTTCTGGTGTGATTGGAAGACAGAAGAGAGGACATTTTCAGGGCATCATGGGGGACACGGGGTGTGGCGGGGTAAGGCCCCTCCGCCCCGATCTTTCCTCCCTGCTCTCTGAGCTGCCCCTGCTTCCCCAGGAATGACCCGCCGCGGCGGGGGCTCGCAGCTCCCGGGGTGCGCTGGCTGCGGGAACCCTAGGATCCGCCGCCCCTCCAACGGTAGCCTTCCTAGGCCCCTCCACCTTCAAACAGGAGCCACACTCTGTCCCCTAACTTCGTGAGCTTTTAACAAGAACCGGATCTCCCTGCTCTGCCTCCCCCTTTTCAAATGGATGTTTGGTATTTTTTGTAGTTACTCTTTTCCCTAATATTTAATCACTGCGAATACGTTCTGACTCCTCGGCTGTGTAACGTCCTGGGAAAGTATCTTAAACCCCACAGGCGTTTCGTGAGAGGCCCCCCACGAAAACTTTGAGGCGTGCGTGGCATGGGGGCCTCCCGCGGCGGAGCCTGCCTCGCTGCGCGCGCACGTCTGCCTCGCCGCCCTGACCGAGCCCCCTTTGCCCTTTGCCCGCCGCAGATCGCGCTGGACATCAAATCTGCCAAGCGAGAGCTCAAGAAGGCGCGGACAGTCCTGCAGATGGACGAGCTCAAGTGCCGCAAGCGCGTGCTGAGGCGGCTGGGATTTGCCACCTCCTCCGACGTCATCGAGATGAAGGGACGGGTGGCCTGCGAGATCAGCAGGTGAGCCGGGCTTGCATGGGCCTTCCCCTCCTAGGAAGGAGCGCTGGCTTCAAGCCGGGCGGCGCGTGCCGTTCCCTTCCTGTGAAATGCAGCTTTTGACCATGAAATTGAGAAACTGGAAAAGGAAATGTTTAAAAATCTCTGGGATTCCGCTAATTGACATCAGCACCATTGGCATTCTGATCCATTTCCTTTTTATTTTCATGCATGTGGGATTTTTACTTAATTATAATCTTATTTTAGATATAATTGTATATCCTTTTAAAAATTATGAACATTTTTCCACCTTGAAACTCAGCCTAATAAGAATAACCATTATCTTATATGTATAGGCAATTTTATTCCGGACTGGGGCTGCGATAGGGTGTTACAGCAGAGCACCTTACAGCTCAAGGTCGGGTGTCAGCCGCCGTCCGGCCACCCTCTGCCCCACCACGGAAGACCTTACAACAGAACGGCCTGAAATCGCCGGTCTGTCGTGTCTCGGGGTTTCTGTGGGTTGGAAGCAGGAGCGCCTGTGGCTGGTAGCGTGGGCCTCCTGGTCCTTCAGCCTGTGCGCCATCTCGTTTTCTCCCGCGTCTGCAGGAGGCGCTTTGCAAACAGTTGTTAAGGTCCACACGGCGGCCTTAGCCAGCGGGCCGGAGAGCGAAGGCCTCGGGCGTGGTGTCCCCGTTGTGGGGTGGACTCATTCCACACTAGCAGTTCCTGGCCCTCGGGTTCCGGTGTCTGCAGGAGCCCCAGGGGGATGGGGGCAGACGGGGCCAACCATGGCTGCCGGACGGGCGGCGAGCGCCCAGATCCGATTAGTCGTTGCTGCAGAATAATGTGATACCGGGTTTTCCAACTTGGTAAAGCCAGTGATCCAGAATTTTGTGAAATCTCTTAATTTTACATTTTCACATAGTAAGTCAGTCATTTTCTAGTTCCTGTGTGAGCCAAATAAAACGGTTCTTCGTGTTAGACCGCCCCCCACCTCGCCCCGGTGGAGCTCCGCCCTGGCCTGTGAGCCGAGGAGCCTGGGCGCCGCGGGGCCGGCGCTGCCTGGGAGCCGGTAGCGTAAGCGCTCCTTTCCGTGAGGCCCCCGCGGCCGGGCTTCGTCCCGGGCGGCTGGCGTGGCGCTCGGTCTAGGAGGGGCTGTTGAAAGTACGTTTCTGTGCCCCTCCCATTTGCTTTTCCCTCTGGTCCCTGTTTGGCCGGTGGGTCCCAGCCACTGAAAGCAGAAGCCGGGGCGTGATCCAGACCCTCCCGCCCCTGCCGTGTCCCCGAGCCGTGGCCTTGGCCTCCCGCCCTGCAGCGGACGCCCCCCGGCTGTCCTCGTCCCGCCGCGCTGCCGGCCACGGCGGGCCCGCAGTGACCCTCCTGCTCGGCGCCTGCCGTCCGGCCCCGGCTGCCCGCCCTGGGCGCGGCTTCCACGCCCCCCACCCCCCAGCCTGGTCCTTGGGGTCGCTCTCGGTGAGACGCCGGGACCGAGCGCGCCTGCCCGTTCCCCCTCAGCGGCCTGCTGCCGCGTCCCGCCCCGCAGCCCGTTGACCCCCGGAGACGGGGAGTCCCTGCGTAGCCTCCCCGCATCTGCTGGGACTGCCCCGAGCTTCCGCAGTCGCGGGTCCTCCGCGGGTCGGCATGCAGTCGCCCGTATAAACTGCCAGGTCACTGCCCCGTGGCCGTTCTCTTCCGTGTCTGCCCCTGCGTGAGACCTGCCGCCTCAGAACGACCCTGCTCTGCCCCGTCGGTGGTCGCTCCGCTCTACTGAGCTCTCGGGGAACGGCCGCCCCAGGGCGGTTACGGAGCGTCAGGGCCCGCCCTCGCCCCTCGGCGGCGGCCCCCTGCGGGGACGCGACGCGTTCCCTAAGCGCCCCAGGGGGGCGGGGGGCGGGGGCGCACGCGCGGGCGCTGACGTCCGGACCCCGTTGTCTCCCGGGCGCAGTGCCGACGAGCTGCTCCTGACCGAGATGATGTTCAACGGGCTCTTCAACGACCTGTCCGCCGAGCAGGCCGCCGCCCTGCTGAGCTGCTTCGTGTTCCAGGAGAACGTGAGTCAGCCGGCGCGGCGCGTCCTGCCCACTCGCGCGTCCCCTCACTTTATTTCACCGCTGCGGGGCGGTTTCCGTCGCGGAAGCGTGTTCCTGGTCACACGCGGGGGGCGCTGGGACGCGGCGGTCATCGACTCGGCGGCGGGGGGCGGGGGGGTGGCCGGGGGCGGGGTCACGGCCCTGCCCGCCCCGCGTCGGTGCCGTAGCCCAGGCCGCGGGGCCCGGGGAGGCGGCCCTGGCGGCGTGGGAAAGACTCCGCGTCGCAGCGGCGTGCGCGTGGGCGGCGCGCGTGGGCGGCCTCGCCGTCTGACCCCCATCCCCCCGCCCCGCAGTCCAGCGAGATGCCCAAGCTGACGGAGCAGCTGGCGGGCCCGCTTCGCCAGATGCAGGTGAGTCCACGGCCTCTCCCTCGGCGGAGGCGCCGGCGGGGCGCGGCTGGGTCGGTGGCTGCGTGTTTCGTTGTTTGTTTTCCTCCCAGTTCCCAGCGGGGCGCTCGGCTCCGTTGTACCGGAGGAGGTGTCGCGGCCTCAGGCCGCCGTAGCGAGTGCGTGTCGGGCACTGTTCCCTCGGGACGGGCGGCGCCGGGCGTGCGGGGCTCGGGGGAGGCGGGCGGCGGGCGGAGCGGGAAGGGGCTCCTCGAAGGAGCCCCGGGGTCTGCGGTGCCCGCGTTGCGGACCTGCCAGATTGTGGAGGAGAAAAGAGGGAACCGGAGCTCCCGTGACGGGGAAAGGAAACCGTCGGTTTTCTGAGGCGCCGTCGGGGCGCGCGCTGCCCTGCGGCCGCTGCGGCGCTGCTCCTGGGCGGCTCGGACGGCGTCTCTGTTCCCGCCGGGGAGGGGCCGGGGCCGGGGCGCGGGGCACTGGCTCTGCGGGGCGGCGGCGCCCGAGTAGGAACGTCGGTCACGTTTCGTCCTTGAAGGAATGTGCTAAACGAATCGCGAAAGTGTCAGCAGAAGCCAAGTTGGAAATTGATGAGGAAACGTACCTGAGCTCGTTCAAGCCTCACCTGATGGACGTGGTGCACACCTGGGCGACTGGGGCGACGTTCGCCCACATCTGCAAGATGACGGACGTCTTCGAAGGTGCGGCCGCCCTGAGCGCGCGCCCGTAGAGGGACGCGCCGTTAGCCCCGTGGGGGTAATGGGTTCTTTGTGCGTTTGGGGAGTGAAGTGGGATTTTGTGCCTGTGTAGGCCGAAAGCGCTCCCCACAAGTCCAATGTACTGTCGCGTAAGCAGGGCCTGTTCGTCCTAAAGCCCCCGGGAAGCTGTTCTGACGGGTTGTGCCCTTGTGCCAAAGTCCCTGCCGTGACGGGTCCCACGGGGCCCACGGGGCCCTGCCGGCCGTGGGGGGGGGGGGGGGTTGGTTTTAGCGCCCCGGTAACGGCCTAGCGGCTTGGGCGTAACTGCAGGGAAGGCGGCGGGGCCGGAAGTGGGGCCCTCGCTCCTTGGCGGCCCGCGGGGCCGGGAGCCGGCGCTCCGCGAGGCGGGGCGTTTCCCTCCCGCGCCTTTTAAGAGACGCCACGGGGCCCGAGGAAGCCCTGTGCGCCGCGGGTGTGCGCGAGTCCCCGTTCTCCCTGCGGAACGGGGCGCCGGCGCGGCCCGGGGGTGAGCCTGCCGCTGCGGGGAGGGCGCGCGTCGCGGGCCGCTGTCCGGGCCCCGGCGGCCGGCAGGCGCTCCCGGTTTCCTGTCCCCGCGGCTGCCACCGCCCTGCTCGCCCCCACGGAGCCCGGTGGGTGCCGTCGCCTGCTGCCCCCCGCCCCCCCCCCCGCCAGTGTCGCTCCCCTGCGGCCAGCTCTCCCCTTTCCTCCAGGGGAGCGGGTGTTGCCGCGGTGAACCCCTGCCTCCCTAGCGCTGGTGCCGACCCTTCTGGTGCTTCGCAGGCGGCCGGGCCCCCGCGACGCCCCGAGCGCCGGCCCCGCCTCACGCCCACGCCCCTCCTTGCAGGCAGCATCATCCGCTGCATGCGGCGCCTGGAGGAGCTGCTGCGGCAGATGTGTCAGGCGGCCCGCGCCATCGGCAACACGGAGCTGGAGAACAAGTTTGCGGAAGGTCAGTGCCCGCCCTCCCGCTTCTCCCTGCAGGAGGCTGGCGGGGCGCCCCCAGGAGGACCCCGGAGGGCCCCCCGCGGCCTTCACGGGAGACTTGCGCGCTGGGGGGTGCCCTTGGGGCCTCCTGCGTGCTGGCAGGCGCAGGGTCCGGCAGAAGGGGGTCTTCCTGAGTGGTTGGTCGGGCGGTTCACACGGCTGTAATAATTTGTAGTTTTAATTTGAACATTTCGCCTACGGTGTCACGTGGTGTGCTTGAGAGGGACGCTGTGTAGTAGAATTGCCTGCTTATGACTTTGTAATAAGAAAGCGGCGTTGTGCTGGACCCTGTATTTACTGTGTGCGTCCCACAGGCCGGGCCCTGCTCGAAGCCCTAGGGGACGTAGCACCGAGCAGGAAGCCACAAAGCCCTGCCGGCCTGGAGCTGCCGTGCGTGTGGGGGCATGGAGGGGTGAACACGTCAGCCATCACAGTGTGTCGGGGTGGCGGCTCTACAGAACAGGCCAGGGAGGGAGGGGCGGCAGAGGCCCTTGTGATGAGCCGAGGAGGTGCGGGGGGGCCTGCAGCCCCCCGCTGCTGTGGCTGCAGGCCTGGTGCCAGGTGCTATGCACCTGGGCACCTCGTGCTCCTCGGGACGGCTGGACCCAGGTGGCGGAAGCACGCGGGTGGTTTCCTACTCTCCCCACTCTCCCCGTGTCGGCCCACCTGCAGGGCGGAGCTCAGGCACCAGAGCCCCAGGGACCTCTGGGAAGAGGGCTGCTGACAGCAGCCTGGGCTGCACACGCTGGCGGGGGGCAAGGGGGGGGCAGGCCTCGCTGCTCACACTCCGTCTGTACTAACACGCACACTGCCCTGCTTTGGCCCGGGAGGAACTTTGCACACAAACTGAAACTAATATTTTCAGGTTGAAAATTCATGCTTTTGGGTCATTCTTTTGACAGTTTAGCCTTTCCCCACATAAGACTGGAATATTTTAGACCCCCCCTCCAACGCACGCACGCACACTCACACACACGGTACTTTGCAGTCATGTGGTAGGACGAGGGTGTGGTTTCTGAGCTTCCCCCCTTCTGTGTTCAGACCAGCTGGTCCCCCAGCGTCGCTGGGGCTGGGGGGTGTCCTTGACACCCCAGTGGGGAGAGCTACGTTCCTCATGGCCTTGCAAGTTCACACTGAGCTGTATTTTCTTCTCTCAGGAATCACCAAAATCAAGAGAGATATTGTGTTTGCTGCCAGCCTCTACTTGTAGCAAGTTACGGGGACGTGGGCCTTCACACCGTCACCCCCGAGGGAGGACAACAGGTGCCCCCAGGACCGACAGGCTCGCCTCCTCACAGCGGTTGTCCTCGCACATTTAACAGGGACGGTGTGCACAGCAAGCATCATTACAGACATGTTTGTACATAAGCGTTACATTTTTTAATAAAAATGTACAGGTGGGCATCATTTTAGTGAAAGGCTTGCAATTTCTTCATGAACTCGGAGCGATGAGGGAACTGTTGTTAGGTGGCTATATACACACAGGTGAAGTGAGCGTCAGGTGTAGCAGCAGCACCCCCACGGGCTCCCCCGCGACAGGGACGCCCCCTCGCGCCCGGGGCGGGGGCTTAGGGAGCAGGCGCGCCCCTCAGGGCTGGTGAGTGTTCCCGTAGTGATTCCCCGCAGGGGGCGTTTCATGCAGGGTTGTGTGCGAATCCTCCTCTTTCCTTTGCCTTAAAGCAGAATCTCTCTCCTTGAAGAAGTCTGACACGTACACAACCTAGGAAACAGGTCACACTTAGAATGGGACAGAGCACTGAACGTCACTCACGCATGACAGCCCCCTACGGAGCTGCAGTAAGCAGTCTGCAAAACCACACGTACCGGACATCCGTCATGGGCACAAAAGGGAGTGGCTAACGGGAATTTTTGCTGAAAGGGACTCCCCCAAACTGAGACTTGCTTTGCTATATCCTGGGCAGGCGGCTGCATCCCGCCGGCCCTTGGCGCCCCGCTTCCTGCGAGTCAGTGTTCAGTTCGTCACCAGGAGAGAACTAAGGAGGAGCCTTTCACGAGCTCCGCTGTGCGCGTCCCCGTGAGGGTCCGCGCGGGCCGCTGCCCGGGGTACTTACGACCAACACGGCCACCAGCGCGCCCTGGATGAGTCCGGTCAGCACATCGCTCCAGTGGTGTTTGTAGTCGGACACGCGCGAGAGGCCCACGTAGACGGACGTGGCGACGAGGCCGAACTGCAGCGTGGGGCGCAGCAGCCGCGCCCAGTCCGCCTTCATCCTGGCCTGGAGGTAGAGCTGGCGAGGGGAGAGCGGGGCGGGCTCAGCGGGCCGGCCGGAGGCCAGTCACCCTGGGAGCCACCCGTAATCAGTAAATAACAGTACTGTGTGTGGAGGCGGGCTTTGGGCCGTTTTGTTTTTGAGGAGAGGACAGAGAAACTGATGTGTCGCTCCGCTTCGCACATCGTTGGCGGGGCCCTTTGTGTGCCTTGCCTGGAGATTGGCTGGCAGCCTGGGCCTATCGGGACGACGCTCTCCCCAGGGAGCTCCCCGGCCAGCGCCGGGCAGGCCGTTTTTGTAATCACCCACACACCCAAAAGCTCATCCTTGTAAGTAAAACAAAAACAAAAACCATGTTGCCCCAGGCCCTCGCAGAACCTACTTCCTCTGCAGGCAGGCCGCCTCTCGCTCACTGGCCTCCACCCCGTGCCACAATTGTCATTCCCACAATTGTCATACGGAGGCGCTGCTGTTAGGAGCCCCTCGACTGGGGACCACGTCTGCCGCGTGTGCTCACACAGCTGACACGTGAGCGCTCCACCAGTCTCGAGTGAGTTCGCAGGGCGCCTGAGACTAAACAAACAGGCTGTAACTGTAAGTCCGTGCAAACGTCTGCCTAGCAAAGCAGTTCAGGCTGCAGGGCAGTCCTTGCCCAGTCGGGGCCACGCCGCTCTCAGCAGCGTCCACACCCTTTCCAGTTCTGTGACTTCTCCTTAATGGCTCGGCGCCCAGAGCGTCCCCTCCCTGCGTCCCCACCTCAGCCGGTGCGGCCCTGGAGCCCGTGGGGAGGGAGTGATCTGGGTTGGTTGCCTGGGTGCTCCTCTCAGCAAATCCGATCTCATTAAAATTTTTTTGGTCTAATTTCTATCCAGTAAGGATATACTTAACATCCACTTGAACACTCTGTCCAGTGAGGCAGACTCCTAGCGGCCGCAGTCCCCAGAAAACAGGTCACGTGCCTGGGCCTGCTCAGCCAGCTGGTTCAAAATGGCCGCCCGGCCCCACCCCCGTCAGGGGCGTCCTCGCAGCGGGCAGTCGGACCCTGCCCACCGCTCCAGAAGCCCCCAGTCCTGAGCACGACTCGGGGGGCCCGGCGGGCGAGGGCTGCTGGCTCTCCGGAGAGCCCTGCTTTTTTGTTTGTTGAAGCTGTAAAACTAAACAGCAAGAGGCTGGTCTCCAGCTTCTGGAGCGGAGACAGGTGGCTCTGGCAGCCAACGCCCAGGGGACCAGGCCCTGCGCGGGGCCCGCCCAGCAGCTCTGGCTGAACGGGAAGCTCTGTGTGTTTTCAGGAGGACGGGCCCTGGGCTGGGGCACAAGCTGAGCGTTACGTGTTTTGTCAAAACATTCGACTGTCCCGATCCTGGTGATTTATCCGCCTTTTCATTTAACAGGCAAGGACTTTTGAGACTATAGAGCCGAAGACGTGGGAGTTAGACAAGTACAGACTTCCCAGGGGGGCGGCCCGTCTGCTGAGGCGTGACCGCAGCGAAGGCTCGGCTGGGCCCGCCCAGGGCCGCCCCCTGGGGGACTGTGAGGCCCCCGCGGCACCCCTCTCCCGAGCCCTGCCTCGGGCTCTGGGCAGCCTGCAGACGGGGGTGGGAGGGGGCGGTATTTTGCCCCAATGTCAAAGATCCTGTGACAAGGGACACTGACTTGTGGGGCATTAGTCACAAACACTGCACCATGCTTTGGGTGACACTTGGCCCCTTGGAGGAGCGCCTTTCTCCTTGCCCACCCGCCCAGTAGAGACACCCTCCACCCCGCCCCCGCCCCCGGGGGCACCCAGAGCCCAGCCCCGACCCCTGCTCCAGGCTCTGGCTCCTCCGCTGTCAACACCGACAGTCCTCGGCCCTGGGGCAGGCGTGGCTGAGCTCACGTGCCTGCCCCTCTGCCCTGGGGAGCTCCGGGGAGCCCCACCCAGCTGGGCGCCCCGACAGCCTGGCCAGGCCTGCACAGGCTTCCCGTCCAGCGTCTGCGGCTCGGCCAAGGCAGAGCTGCGCCTTTCACCACGGGAAGTCAGTCTGTGCACCTGACCGGACAGCTTCGCAGCAAGAACTCTGAGCAAATCCAACCTGCCCCGGGCGGCGGTGGGGGCCGTGGCAGGGAGCAGGAGCCGGTGGGAGAAGCCCCAGCCTCCATAACCCCACGGCGTCCCCAGGGCTGCCCCCGGGGCCGGGGTCACCACGGGGCCCTCAGACAGAGGAAGGCTCCAGGCAGGCGCCTGGCCAGGAGGCCACCGCTCGGTGAGAGCCAAGGGCGCCATCTCTCAGCACAGCAGGCCCTTCCGCTGAGCCCACGATGGGCTCAGCTGCTCCGTCCGATAGTTTCAAAGAGATAAGCAGGCGCTTCTCAGCCGGGCACGACCAGACCCACAGCGGCAGCTTTGCAGCCTGGGGGCCACTAGGCCAGAGAAGCTGGGCCCCCTAAGCAGGCGCCCCTCCCGCAGCTGCAGGAAGAGGCCCTGCCCCCGGGCTCTGCTCTGGGGGGGTCTCCTGCCAGAGCCGCACAGGGTGCCCAGAGGGGCCCGGTCAAACCTAAGGCAGGCCCACGCGCCAGGCGCCGGGCCGGCCAGGGGAGCCCTACGCCGCGTCCTCGCCCAGTGAAACGAGGCTGGGGCAGAACCGGGCAGTTTCCACACACGCGGAAGCAGCCGAGGATGAGCTCTGCCGCGCTGGTTCTGAAGCAGGTTTGAGTTTTATGTAACCCATCTGCAATTTTTATGCTCTTTTAACTTCTGGAATTTGGTTTTCCAAATAAAAGGGAGATTCTGGTAAAACTGACTTTAAATTCTCCACAAATGAGAGCAGATAACTCCCAGCAGCCCGCTCTCCCCGTTACCCATCTTGGGCTCTTGAGCTTGAACTACTCACAGCACTAATGTCACCAAAGGGCGGGGGCGGGGCCGGGGCCGGGGTGGGGGCGGGGAAGAGCACATTCGCACAAAGCGCAGCATACAAAGGCCTCTTAAACAGTAAGGCAAAAATCAGCTGGTTTGTCTCCAGGTCTCCTTGCCACCGAGTTCTGATAATTTCACACAGCGAGAAAAAAACGTTATAAAAAACCAAGAGACAAGGCCCACCCCGGCTGACCCCGTGTGAGCCCCTGTGCCACCTCCTCTCCTCTCCATCCCTCCTGGCTGCCCGCTGGGTGGCGGGGACCCCGGAGCGGCCCCGGCCCCCGGGGGTGCTGAGCAGCCCTGCCCAGCGCACCTGGGGGAGGCCTCGGGAAGCGGAGGGAATACAACCCGCTCGGGGAGAAGCAGCAGCAGCTGCCGGGCGTCCGGCCAGCCGAAGGCCTCCCCACCGCGCGGCCCCTCGGAGCCGGGCCAGGAGGGCTCTGGGCCCCTGCCTGGGGTTCCCGAGGGACCTGTGGGGACCGCACAAGCTGTCTCACGCCCCAGGGGAAGGGCGCGTGCTGGCTCAGGGAGCCCCAGTCCCGGCGCTGCGGCCGCTCAGGCCAGGATGCGGGCTCTGACACGCCCATCCCGCCCGGCCCCACTGCGCCCCGCCCCACCCCGGCCTGGTCCAGCACTCACCGCCACGAACAGCAGGCTGTACATGGAGAACGAGGAGTGGCCCGAGTAGAAGGACAACCTGAGAGAGAGGAAAGAAAGGTCCTGAGTCCCCGCATCTCCGCCCTCAGCAGGCGGCGCGCGCCCCTCCCCCTCCCGCACGTGGGGGCGGGGGGCCGGACGGGCTGTCCCAACAGGGCTCCCGAGGCCCCACCGCCGGCGCTGTCCCCCACGGACCCGCCTGGCTCCGTCCCCCGCGCGTCCCCTGGTGGGCGCCCCCAGCGACGGCACCTCTGGACACTCAGAAGTGGACCACTTTTTAAAAAATGAATTTCTAAAGAATTTAGGACGCTGATGTTTCAGCATTTCCAATGGGCGCACATCCTTCCTCAGGCTCCCCCAGATCAAATGCTTTCATCTGGTGTTTATTGCAAAACCGTGCGAGGACCTTCCTGGACCAGGTGAGTCACCTGTGCCGACAGTTCTGTCTACAAACACCTGTGAAGCGTCTTCCACCTGGAGCTGACGGACACTCGGGAGACCTGACGCCGCGGACACAGAAAAGCTCGCCCACTGACCCCAGGACCAGGGCCCAGCCCGGGGTGCAGCCTGCGTCTCCTGGCCCTCCCCGCGCCCAGCAGCTGGGACCCGGCGCCACGCCCGCAGGTTCGTCACAGACTGCGCCCTGCGCGGCCCTGCAGGCAGAGGAGGAAGGTGCACGGGACCCACGCCAGGCAGGCAGGTGCGCAGGCCTGGCCACGCGGAGCAGGCGGCGGCAGCGACCTGCAAAGCTGGGGGTGACGGCCCCCAAAGATGGAGGGAAGGAGCTTCTGCAGCCGCGTTCGCTCCTCGAAAGGCGCGTCCCTGCCGACAGCCCCCAGGGCCCCTGCCGAGTCCCGCCATCCTCCCTGGGCTCCCGCCCGCCCTTCCGCCCTGCGCTGGCCTCGCCGGCGCCGCATCCAGAGCCCCTCCAGATCCAGGCCCGGGGCGCCGGCCCCTGGCCCTTCCCCCCAGGACACACGTCGGATCTAGAGCGGCCAGTCACTCCCTCCTCAGAGGAGGGTCTTTGCTGTCCCACCAGCTCGGCTATTTGTTAAACAGATGTGCATGTGTTTTAAGATTTACAGAGTTTCAACCTACAACACAAACATGCACACACGTGGGTGTGAGACAGCACCTAGCACGCTTAGTCCTCTGTGTCAGTGAGCATTTCTGATCCTCGCTGCCAGAAAGAGGGGCAGTCTTGTTAAAAGCAAGATCTAGGATTCGTAACATGTTACTTAGTAACAGTTACTTTACAGGGAGACACAACAGTTGGGTAAAAACCGTGTTTTTAATTATAAAGTGGTCAGTGCTCACAGATGTTTCCAATCACGGCTGTTCCACCAGCTCACCGGCCGCAGGCGGCCCAGCCGCACGCGGAGCCTCCTCCCCGCTGGGGGCCCTGGAGCCTCCACTGCGGGGACCGGCCCGGCTCACAAGCTGCACCCCTCTGGGGGCCCCGCCCCCTCCGTCAGGCCCTGCACCAGGAGCCCGTGGGGAAGGCGGGCCTCCCGGGCGCGGCCGAGGGCACAAGCACAGGGAGAGCAGCTCCGACCACCTGCGAGGAAGCAAACGTGGCCACCGCCTCAACGGCCGCCCTCGGGGACACCGCTCTGCCCTCCCCACGCCCCAAAGGCCACATTAAAGGAAGTGAAACGGCAGCAAGAGGCATTTTCTCCAAGTATTATTTCCTGATTATGAAGTTTACAGAACACCAATTATAGCGTGAAGGGCACGAGGAAGCGCCCCTGCGATGACCTTTAAACACGGGCTGGCCCGGGGGCGCGGCGACAGCAGGTCCCCTGCAGACGCGCAGGGCGGTGGCCCTCAGCGAGCCCTTCCCGGCCTCAGCTGTCGGTCCCACGCGCCACAGAGGGGCTCTCCCGGCCAACAGCGTGGCCACAGCTGGGCGGTGGGCTCGCAGGGCTTCGTCTCGACGCCTCTCGCAGCCAAGACGCCGGGGGAGGGGCCGGGGGCGCAGCAGAGGGGCTGGGCCTCGCCCCCAGCGTCCCCGGGAGGCGGCTGCCCCGGGGACGCCCGAGCCAGACAGAGCCCCCGCCCGGGGGCCGCCCTGCTGCTTCGTGGGGAGGCTGTGCGCCGGCTGCCCGCCGGACAGCTGGGGCTGCCAAGTGGCCCTGGCTGGGACACGCTGAAAACATGCCGCTTGTTCAGACCACGTGACACTGAACGCTTTCCCATTGGGGGAAACACAAAGGTGACCAGGAGGCCATGCAAACTGTCAACAGCGGCTCCAGGGAACGACACGGGGCGGGAAGAGGGGGGCTTCAGACACAGCCACCGGCTCCGTGGCCAGGCGGCCGCGGCCGCTGCCCCGGGCGTCCGGCCTCCGAGTTCCGGCGGGACAGCGCCGTGTGGCGCACTGCCGCCCGGATCTCCGCACACACAGGCCCGGCCCCAGAGCCTGGGCACAGGCCGGCCTCTCCACAGCCAGCACCCGGGCAGCCTAGGAATGCAGATTCTGGGGCCCGCCGACCCAGGGACTCCAGGGCTGAGGCCCGGCAGTTAGAGGTGTTCGAACAAACCCACCCTGTGCGCCCCGTGAAGCTAACGTGTGAGACACACGGGGGGCCGGATGAGCCACAGCGACACCCTGGTGTCTGGCGCTGACGCTCGAATGGGACGTGGAAGGGGCGCTTGGCCTGGAAGCCCCATTTGTTTTAAATACACTGGTAACGCCTGTCCTTTCACGGAGCAAAGGCTCTCTGAGAACCACCTGCTCCTCCGTCCCGCACATGGACGCTTCCACGGGGCGCTCGGGCTCAACGGGGACACGCGGCCGGGCCGGCACCCTTGGGCCCCGCGGGAGGCCCAGGCTGGTGCGGGCAGGTCCGACCGGGGACCCTGCACCGTGGCCTCGCGGTCTCGTTCTTAGGACGGGCGTTCGCTCCCCCGAACTCCAGGCTCACCGACCCACGTGTGGGCTGCATTAGAAAAAGAGAAAAGAGCAACTATACTATGATTTAAACATATTTTAAAAAAAATACAGGAATAAACCAGAAACCAATTTAAAAAGGGGGAAATTACTTCTTGCCTTCAACCAAACATACTGCAGTTAAACACCTCATCGGCACAGAGCTGCGTATCCAAAGAGAAATGACTTCGTACTGAATGCCTGGCTCATGCAGCCCCAGACCGGCTTTCGCCAGTGGTCGGGGACGTGGACGTGGAGCTCACGCTTCAACAAACGTCACCTCGATAAAAGCCAGAAAAAAGGAGCTGGCGAACCTCTCAAAGGTGCCCAAGTTTCTATGCGGTGCGAGCCCAAACGGACCTGCTGGCCAGGCAGCCTGCCGCACGCCCGCCTGCTGGCCCTCCCGCCGCGGGAGGCCGTCGGAAGCACCAGCAGGCCAGCAGCGCAGGCCAGGCGACTGACAGACCCCCGGGAGGGAGACACACGCCTGAAAAACGCAACCCTTTTTGTACCATCTGAAATAAACTACACTGTCCCTCATTTTGTCCAAAAGGCTTGTGAAAGAAAGAAAAATCTCTCCATAAGATCTCCCGTCATCCGAAAACCCTGAGCTAAGACTTGTGCAGCTGGCCCGTAGGCCCACCCTGACCACCGCCGTGGCCTCCCCGACGCCTTGGCTTAGGCAGAGCAGGAGAGTGTCCGGTCCGCCTCCTGCTGGGGGACGCGGCACAGACGCTGCCCGAGGCCTGCACGCGGTGCCTGGTGGAAGGAAAGCACCAAACCGAGACTCAGATGGTGAAAAACATAGAGGAGCTCGCCAGACTCCGGCCGCACGGACATACAGGCAGAGCCGCGCCACCGTACACGGGGGTGCGCGTGGCGGGGGACCGGCCGGGGCGATGCCAAGGGGACCTGGAGGGCGGCGTGAGGCCACACCCCCGCCGGCCGCAGCGGCAGGAACCCCAGCACCAGGCAGTGAGACACGCAGCACCCAAGACGTGTGCAGCCAGCAAAGCTGACCTTGGAAAACGAAGGCAACGTAAAGGCTCTTCCAGATGAGTAAGAGAGGACAGCTCGTCACTAGCAAGCCTGAGCCACAAAAGCACTGAAGAACTGTCTTCAGGCCGAGAGAAAGACCCTGAACTCCAGGTCTGTGAACAAAGACGCGGTCCTTGGGCTGTCCTGAAACTCACCCCGACTCACGGCGCCTCCCCGTCAGGTAAGAGGCCTTCACTGTCTTCTACGGGCTTCTCTAAACATCTCTGTTGAAAGCAAACATTACAACGCTGTTTTGCCGAGTTAATGTATGTGGACAGAACACGTACAACAGTAATAACCCAAAGGGCGATGAAGTTTGGGGCACAGAGCTGTCCTGGAGAGAGGAAGGGCTAATCTCCCCGTCGGAAGGTCGGCGGAAGCTTGACAGAAGCTCTCCAGGAAGCCCTCTGGGATCCCCAGAGGGACACCAGAAACTGACCAAGCAATTTCGATAAAACATCAGTAAGACACTGACAGTGTTTAACTAGAAAAATGCTTGTATAATATTCAGCACAAAAGCAAGCAGTGTAGGAGGAACAGAAATTAAAGGAGGTTTAAATTAAAAAATTAAACCTAAAGCAGTATAACGTTGAATGTCAATTACACCTCAATTTTAAAAAAAGAAATGAGACACACGAAAAACACAGAGCAAAATGGCCGGTCTAAATCCATACGGATAATTACGTCGTATGAGTTAATTAAACACTAATGAAAAGGCAGGGGTTTCAAATTGGATTAAAAGGAGGAACAAGATCAGACTACATACTTTACATATCCAACACACACATTTGAAATCCAAAGTTTCAAATACACTAGAAGTTTACCTTGTGGAAAATAGATGCTACCCAAACCACGAACGCATGAGGGATGGAACAGCCACCCAGTAACGTGGGACAGAACAGACCGAGGCAGAGAGTGTTTCTAGAGACATTCCATACAGAAAAGGGCAAAACCAGCAGGCGGGGAACCCACACAAACATCACACAGCAGGAAAGAAATGCAACAAAAGAGGACGGAGGTGAAAGAAGGAACGTATTTCCATGGCTGCGGCGGGTGCTCTCAAAGCCCCCGAGGCACCGACAAAACACCTGCGCAGGGACCCCGGCGACACAGGAGGCTGGGGCCATGTGGGCAGCCGCCCGCGCAGGCGGGGGGCCGGACACACGCTGTCCCCCAACGGACACGCACAGGGCACGTCCCGCCCGGCCGGCCACAAGCGCACCCACCCCCGCGGCGCCGCCCCCTCCCCCACTGCGTCCACGGGCCCCGCTCTCCCTGCGTCTTCCAGTCGTTCAGTCCAGAGCCCCTGCCATGTGCCGGTGGCGAGGGCCGCAGTGGCTCCACCGCAGTCCCAAGCACTCCCGGGGCGCTTGTCTCCCGAGCCCGGCTGCCAGCGCAGCTGCCCAGCTCCTTGCCACCTGCGGGTTTGGTCCCCGTCCCTCCTCCGCTCAGGAAGACGCGACGGCCGCGTGCTGCCCTCCCGCCGCCTCAGAGCAGCTGGGCCCGCAGCCTCTGGCCGGGCTCTGACACACAGTGGCTCTCGCCGCCGCTGCCCTGTGCTAGACGCCATGCGTCCTGCCTGGCTAAGATCCAGGAGCCCGTGGCGGCCGGGGCGTAAATAAAGCTGCGCTGGCCCACGGCCACGCCCTTGTTCAAAGCCTCCCCGTGGCTGCTTTTTCCTGCTACAGCGGCAGCCGCCAATGGTTGGCAGATGGACCACAGGGCCCACAAAGCTTAAAATGTTTACTCTCTGGCACCTGGAAACGTTTGCTGACCCTGGACTATCAACGACCTACATTATTCTACATTGGAGATAAAAGCAGTTACGTTAAAACGATCCTGGAGAGACAGGGACAAAACGGGTGGGAAGATGAGCAGTCTCGGCCCCGGGCCCCTCCGGCTTCTCTGAGCGAGCGGACGGCTCGTCCTCCTGTGGCCACGGCGGCCCACCCAGGACTACGCAGCGAGCGGCCGCGGCCCAGCACCCAGGAAGACGCGCGCCCGCGAGGCGCGCTGTGCGGCCGGCTGCCGACCCACCGCTGAAGGGCGCAGCCCTGAACGAGCAGACAGTGCGAGGGGTCCGCCCGGGCGCTGGAGGGCAGCGCACTCTCTCCGGAGAGGCGACTGTTCCTGCGGACGCGGGAGGCCCGGCTGTGGCGTGAAGGAGACACGCTGCCGGGGAGGAAGGGGACCTTCAATCCCGCGACCCTGCGGTCACGGGAGCACCGGACAGGAGGCCGCCCAGACACGGCCCCCCTCACCCCCAGGGTCGGGCACCCCGCCCTGAGGGCGGGGAGTCGGGAGTCAGGCTGGGCTGTGCTATGGCGTGAGAATTCACGGAAAGTCCACGTTTCAAGTCCTTCTGTAAAACCGGAAACGCCCTTAGCATTCTGGGTGAAGCTGCTGTTAAATATTTGCGTGCAATCAAAGTGAAGACAAAAACGCACAAGATAGAGCTGCCGCCAAGACTCGCCACGCACCTGCCTTCCTTCACTTTCTGCTCATTCCCCCGACACACGTAGTTTTCGATGTAACCTTCGCTGCAGTTGATTTTCGACCAGTCCGGGTCGCAGACGTCCAGGAAGTGAGGCCGCAGCCGGCCGATGGAGTACTTGGCGATGTCGGTCAGGGACTGACTCGCGGCCGCACCAAAGAGGAACGTCCCGATGGCTTTGTAAATAGTGGCTACATAGTTATTCCTGATAAAGGAATTCGAGTGCAAGAGGTTACAGTAAACAGACACGGCTTCGCCAACCACCATCTGAAAAAGAAACAGAAAAACAGTGGTAAAGCAACAATCAGGCACTTTATACAAAATTAAAAACAGAAGAGAAAATGGTAAATCGCAATAAAAATCTTTATTTTACAAGCCTCCCTTTTCCTCCTTTACAAATGGAGAGCCAACGGAGGGCACCTAAACCACGAAAACGGTGTTAGATCAGTTGTGGGCCCTCTTCACAGAGCAGCTGTCAAGCCGAGAAACCTTCAAAGTCTCCCTAAAGCAATACGAACTCACTTCTTCCCTGGTGTTGAAATGGTAACTGAGCTTTATTAAGGAGACAGAGATGCACTGCGGACCAACGCGTGGTCTGGTCTCAGGACACGGACTTCCCCGGGGAGAACACCCCTGACAGGACCCTGGCTGCTCCATCTTCACCCGACGTGCCTGAGGGCCACGGGCACCATCATCCGTGTAGCGGCCAGAGGACGGAGTGTCAAGGAGCAGCACTTGGGCGTCCAGGCGGGGCTCTAAGTCGGGGCCAGGCCCGTGGAAAGGTCGAACCCGGCTGGACGCTCTTCTGCAGGAAGACGTCCGTCCTCCCGGCTGTTGCTGTGGGGGGTGGGCTGGTTTTCCCAGGTCCCAGCGCAGCAGGAGCACCAGCTTGCGGCAGTGTAACGCTAAAGGCCTAGGTTAAAGGCCTAGATGGGTTTCCCAACATTCCATAGGCTGCAGGCTCACCCCTGAGACACTTAAAAAGTGCTGACCATCAACATTGTAACCGTTACCTGTGCTGAGAAAATAAACCGCACTTGGACGCCTGAGACCGGCTGCCTGAGACCGAATAAACCCGTAACAACAGTCTGGTTGCTAATCTGTGCTGAGGTGGGCAGATGGGTCACCAGGTTCCACTTATGATACATACTCACTTCACTGCTTCATTTTACTAAAAAAAAAAATGGTTCAATTTAAGTAACAATTTTACCAAGCGTCCAAACATCCCCACTTAGCAGCGGCCACGGCCTTCGCAGCGAGCCGCACCGCGGGCGAAACAAACGGCTGCGTCCGGAAGAGGATTTAAGAACCCGACATGGCAAGCCCTCTCCTCATCTGGCTCAGCGGCTCCTAAAGCTCCGTAGTTGGCGTGTGTCACTCTGCCTGCTGGCCTGCGCACTCCACGAAAGCCGGAGCGAATGCCAGCTGTTGCCTGGAAAGCCAGTGCCGGCGCGGCGGGCAGTGCGCTCCAGTGGAGACGCCGCCTCTGAGTGAAAGGCAAGCACCCTCCGTTTAAGGCAGGAAGGCCCAGAGTGGATTCCTCACGGCGCCCTACCCGTAGACAGCTTGGCCCGCCCTCCCTGAGTCCAGGCTCCGCGGTTTCGCATGGGACTCCCTGCTGCCCCCAGGGCCTGGCGCTCAGGGCCACAGGCGCCTCAGGCCACCGGGGCATCCGGCACCGAGAGCAGCAGCAGGAAAGAACTGGTCTGCTGTGTCGCTGCATTTGATCTTTGATAATTTAAAATATATACCAAGTCTATTGACCCAGCATTGTTTGAGCAGCTGAAACATCCACATTTCAGTTGTCATTGTGCAAACAATCAACTGTTCTCTGGAAAGAAGTATTTGATCTGACTCTTCCTAGTCACCATAATCATCAAGGGCCGGGTTCTTGCCGCTGAACAGAGAGAACGAGCCGGGCAGGGGTGGGCAAGAGCACTGGGCGCAGAGCAGAAGCTGATCCACAGGAGGAGGAGATGAAGCGTAACCCTTACTCCTGGGGAGGGGAAGGGCTTTATGCTGACAAATGCCAGGTCAACGTATGACACGTTTATTAGCACTCCGTCTTGGTCAAGAGAACCAGACAAGAGAGAAGTGCTCAATATTAGGTCAAAAAGTCTGTTTAGTTTTTTCTGTAAAATCAAAGACACCTTTTTCATTTTCACTAATAACTCTACTGATGTGGGTGTCTTCTGTATGTCAGCTACCTTTCGCGTGGTGGCCAGCTGACTGTTCTCAGTGAACGTCTTGACTTGATCACTATCAACTGCAACTGGTGTTCCCGACTGTGGAGCGTCGTCCGGCGAGAAATCTCCAGCACGAAACTTTGCAAATCACTTTTGACACGTTTGATCAGTCACAGAACCTTCTCCATACACTGCACACATCTTTTTTCGCATTTAAGTTGCATTTTTACCTCTCTTGAAATAATAAAGGATAATATGAGGTCTGCCCAGAAAGTATACAGCCATATACTATGAAAAATAGAGACATTTACTGAAGATACAAGATACAAGGAACGTTGCATACAGGTCAATGATGCCTCAGTTCCCTCCAAAGTAGGCATTGGGGACCTCACATATTCTCTCGGTGTCACTTCCACTGTTCAAAACACTCCGCAGAATCCTTTACTGCAGTCGCCATCAACTGTCCCATTGAATTTTCCTGAATCTCAGCAATGGTCTAAAATCTCTTCCCTTTCAAAGGTGACTTCAGTTTTGGGAAAGGCCAGAAGTGTTTGCTGATTGCAGCCCGTACATGTCCAACGTTCTCAGGTGCTCTGCTTGTCGCAGGCCTTCCAGAACGTGGAGCACTTTCAGCAGGTTCTCGACCGTGTTGGAAGCGTCTGGCCACACCTTTATTTGCACGGCACGCACTGCATCATCCATGAAAGCCTTCTGCATCATCCAAATAGTTTCCATGGAGGCAGAGGAATGTTCAAGCTTGACACAAAATTTCATGCAGACTCGCTCTACTCCGTCATTCTGAAAGCGACAGCCATGCAGCGCACATGCTCTCTCAACGGCACCGACCACCCCTGCTGACGAGTACAGTGAGGTGGTCATTGTTCACGCATGTGCATTCCAGGCCACTCTCTTTGGCTCCCAGGTCACATCGATGTCGCACAAAACATCCTGGTTAACGACAGCTGGATTTTTTCCGGACAGACCTCATATGCTGAAGATGCTGCATATTATCTATCTTCAATATTAAACATCTACACAAAAATTCACCAATTTGAATAAGATTTTTTTTAATGCACACTGATATGACAGCTGTTACAATACAATCTAACAAAATTGTTTTGAATGAAGTTAAAGACAACTAAGCAATACTAGAACCAACGTATGGAAAAAACCAACTGAACTTTCTGGTCAACCCAATAATTCTTCAAATTAAACCTGGGGATGGGTCTCTCTTTCACCTACACAGGGTGGCCATACATTTGTCTCATTTTAATATCGTCTCCCGCCCTCTGAGTCGTTCATGCCGGCGCCCAGCCTTGGGGAGGCCACACTTGCGTTGCCTGACCTGCGGCTGAATCACAGGCCAGGGCACCTGGCAGGCGTTACTCAGGTTCTAGAGATGGACAGAATTATTAGAGAGCCGCAGATAATGTTCGGGGAGTAGCCAGAATAGTTCTGAAGATCAAGGTAATAGCTACCTGCATCAGCGTGACTCAGCCACATAGAGTCTGCGTGCCACAGCTCCCCGCCCCTCAGGTCGCCTTCCCCCGACTCCTCACACCTCTGTTCTGCCCTGGCCGCGATGCGCCTTCCCCGCAGGGCCCGCCTTCCCTGAACCGATCTACCCGCTGGCACGCTCCCTGACACCTCTGTCCCCATTCCCTTTCTCCTACGAAATCCCTCTCAAAAGCCAAAGGAGTCTCATCAGAGAGAACACATTTTTTTCTGAACCTCAGAACAGATTCTGCCCTCACTTTAGTAATATTTGGCAGGGCTGACCGCACCCCCTCATTGAACTGCTCCCCGGCTCCCAGAAAGGACCTTGGCAGGCGTGGCTTCCTCTCCTGCAGAGGTGAGAACTCGGTGCCAAGACCTGTCTAGGTGGACATGGTTGCTGGTTTCCTAGCTGCCCTACAGTGGGCGAGTCATCGGGCTCACTCAGAGCGCGGGACACACAGGCCCACGTGAGGCAGCAAGGCTGCCGAGAAGAACAAGGCTCCGTCTCTGCCTCCAAGGAGCTCGGTCTCGTGCAACAAGTATCTGTACAGCCGAGGTTTCCTTTCCTTGATTGTCTCCCGCAAATTATGAGTTGATCAACTTTCAGTGCTAACAAGGAGCTGTGGTCATCCTTGAATAAGACGTTAAACTTCCAAATTAAGAAATGTCTGTTTCTTAAGTAGCTCCCAAACTGAAAAAACAATGCGATTATGTGGTTGGCTTATCTCCCGGATGGGACCATGTTTTCTACTTTTAACTAGGATGAATCTTGTTTCTAAAGTTACAACTTACAAAGCATAAAACTAATCTAAATCATAGCATCTCTGGGTAAAGAGGGCACAGGAACCGTCAGCCCAGTCTCGAGAGTCTTCTCCCCACGGCCACTCCCTAAGCAGCGCCCGAGCCGTGGAAGGGACGGGCGCGGCTGTGCTTCAGCGCCGGAGAAAGCGGCTCGCACCCCCGCCGGTCGCGGGCAGGGCTTCAGCTCCCCTCTCCTGTGTCCGGCATTACCGGAGAATTCTTTGACGCAAACAGGGCTTAAATGAAATTTTAACATCAGTGAGCAATTTTTATTTCCCAGAAGTCAGTAAATAGAAAGTAGGGACATATATACAGATTCAACACATTATAAAATAGCAGACATCTCATGTGTAAAGAAACACGTTGATGGGAACGGTCCTCTCTTGCATGGTCACGGCCACAGCAGCGAGAGGGCTCTGCAAACCGCGGGGATGTAAAGCCTGCACAGGCAGTGACTTTTCTAATTGCAATGTTGCCACGCTTTTGGCCCCACCTAAAACAGCTGAAATTTTCTTGATCAAATAACACCTTCAATGAAAGCTTAAAAAGCACACATTGTTTCACAAGGCTATGCATTCGATCATTAACAGGTTAACACAAAAATTAAGCCAACTGACCAAAAGTGAAAAATCTGAAAAAAATGGGTTTAACTTACAACGATAACACTGAATGGAATGACTATTCCACCTAATAAGGCATAAGGGATGGTGTCTTCTTTGTAAGGGTACTTGATGGACTCATCGTTACAGAATAATCCTCGCTGGAAGGGGGCATGCCTTGAAG